TATCCTGCTCAGACGCGACAGCGGCGAGTTCCAGCGTTACGATGATATCTCCACATCCGATTCGGTCGACACTTCCTTCCCCAAGTCTCCTCTGTCGCAGGGATTCCCGGCTTATGCGGATGATGCGGAACACAAGAAGACACAAGATCACACTATTCAGGATGGGAAGACTGCTGGGCGGGATACCGTTGATGCAGATGGATTCTCTTCTGTGGCTCTCACGCCGAATGAAGGTCTGGGGTTGAAATTGAAGACTGAGGATAATGTTATCCAGAGCCAAAAGGAAACGGAGCCCACACCATCTGTACAGCCTGAGGAATTGGTGACTGCACCCCCCGTCCAAGAGGAGATGCATCCAGCCCAGAGCAAAGACTCGTCTGGTACGAACTAGCGCGCTGGATTTGGGAGCTGGGGGCTTGATTTGCATTTTTCGCATCTAGGGCGATGAAGTACTGAACAGACTTTCTGTCTTCTGTCTCGTTGTCTCTAGCTTTGCATAGCATATCCATTCTAGCATAGTTGTTATGTTGATTATACATAAATATACACTGAATATGGTCAGTACTTATAGCAATCGGAATATTCGAAGTTCTCATAACCAGCTGTCCCAAACAGAATCATCGATTTATTATGTAGTATTTTCAGAGAAAAAAGAAAGACAGAGAGCAAAGAGCAAAGAGGTCATCAATTGTTTGTCGTCTCAGCGCTATGAAGTGGAAAACGTAAAATAAATCGCCGACACAATGAGAAGAATTCATGCTCCTATCAGCCTGATTCCATCCGCCAGCTATCCATCGTATGAGCCCTATCTTGGATTAGTAGGAGTTCCATTCCCCCTTGCCTTGCCTTCTCATCATCGCTGAAATAGAAGGACAAGAAAGGGATACAGGAAGTCACTAGTACCCGAAAGAGACAGAAGCAAAAGCAGAGAGCAACAGAAAAAAGGGGATAGAAGCAAGTTTGTTGTGCAATATGGGAGGAAGGGGAGGGGTTGGTTTAATTTGATTTAAGCAATGTATGAGATTTCATCGCCGTCCATGCGCTCGATGTAGTCCTTCTCCATGAGGGCTTCAATGTTCTTCTTGATGTCCGGGATTTTAGGCGGGAAGCGGGATTTGACCTGCTGAATAACCTCCTGGACAAGCTGGACGTGTTTCATCTTCTTGCGCGACTTCATGATTCGGACAATGGCGGACTGCAGCACGGTTAGGACAAATGGACTGTGTGGGTGTTGAATAATTAGCTAGGAGACATACCTGGAGCAGAAGCTTCCTGTCCTCTTCTATGGTTTTGTGTGTGTCGTCGGCCTCGACCTTTTGCTCAGACTTGATCTGAATGTTCAGGTTGATTTTCACCTTCTTACTCTTGAAGTTGTAGTTCAATGTGAACGAAGTGGAGGGCTCGGGCTTAGCGCCCTCGGGGCTGGCGATGAGGACCTTGGCCTTGAGGAGGATGCTCAGGTTGGGATCGAGGATTTCAGATGCCAGAGTGGTGGCCTTTTCGATCTCGTCGTAGGACAGAGTGTCGGCTTCGTTGAAAAGGAGCAGAATGCCCATCTGGTAGGTTGACACCTGGAAGGTGTAGGGCACTTTGGCGTTTTTGATATAGTTAGCCTTGATTTCGCCCTTGCATAGCTGCCACAGCCATGTCAACTTGCGGCCGCTGTGCTTGTCAAAGTAGAATGTCTGGAACCGTTCGGCGGTTTTGACTATCTCCGGTGGTGCAAGGAATGGTGTAGTCGGCGCATTGAGCGGCCAGAAGCCAGTTCCCAAGATCTGGAAGTGGGCATCGGCTAGTCTCTTTCGGTCCTCATCATCTAGCACTTTATCCTGCCAGACCTTGTAGTTGTTATTGAGATCCTTGGAGATCTGCATATCCTGGAACATGCGTTGCAGCTTGTTGGTATATTCGAAACCACATGCTTCCTTCAGCTTGCTGATCATGCTTGTTTCAGCATCATCAGAAACAGAGCTCACGTGAACGAGACGTTTGGCCAGGTTCTTGGAATAGAACTTCTGGAAGACGTCTTTGTCTTCGATGTACTTGAATACTGTCATAATTTGCACCAGCATATCCTCAAGCTCCGACTCTTCAGCTGACTTAGAACCTTTCTTGAGCAATGAGTCTGTGTATTTTGCGAGCAGCTCGGGAGACTTAGAAGAGCTGGTCTTGCAGATACGGTTCCGATTGACGAACTCCCGGCAGGCGTTATCAAGAGACCGCACGAACTCGGCCTCACCATTGAAGGCCTCATCGACCAAGCTCTGGTACCGTGTGTGAACTTGCAGTAGAGCATCAACGTACAACTTAGGCTCGAGTGTTTCCCCTTCCGATGCAACCTTTTCAACAGCAGCCAGACCAGCCCGTCTCACGTGGTTCTCAAATGTCGTGCGCAGAGGATCCAAACCTTCCTTGATCCGTGATAAGAGTCGATACATACGAGCAAGATCCTCCTGGCGTTCGTTATCCAGCAAGACTTGGAACTCATCGCGAAGCAAAGTCGAGTGGGCGGTGACAAGAACAGACAGACAGGTATCGGTCAAGGTCTTGGTGACATCTGGATGCAAATACAAGCCGACCCGCTCCTTCTCCTCCTTCAGACGAGCTTCTGCCTTCTTCATATATTCCACCACACTATTTTCGGCCACAAACTGCCGTGACTCATTTTCGTAATAGGTTTTGGTGGCACGGATGAACGGCAGCTGGAAGTACTGCCGGTAGACATCCAGTGTTGACTTGGAGCTATCATTCTCATCCAAACCCAGTGACACGAACGAGTCCACAATGGATTTAATCTGTGACTGTTCGATGGTTTCTCCGTTCCGTTGCTTCTCGATCAGATTCAGAACAGCGTCCATGACCTTCTCATGAACCTTTTCGAAGAAGTCCCCTTTCCATTTGACCAAGTGCAGGGTGTAAACATCGTAGACGCTTTTCTTACCCTCGTCGATCTCACGCTTAACCCAGTGACGATTGAGATAGCGGAAAAGGTGGTTCACGTATTTGGCGGCGGTCGTGTAGCGGTACCATTCACGGATGTAAAAGCCAAGCAGGCCTTCCTCGGTATGGCTCTGTGACTGTTTGAAGACTCCACTCAGATGACGGGAGAGGTATTCGCCGAGTAATTTGTAAAGTTCCTCGCCCAGCAAATGAGCTTTGGTCCAGGTCAGCTCATCACGGGAAGCCGAGGGTGCGGCACGAAGGAAAGAAAACGAACCCCCACGTTGTCCTTGTAGGCCTTGACCGCTAGCGACGGCTTTTTGGGATGTGCAAAAATTATGGACAGCCCTAATATAAATTTGTGAGCGCAGTTCTCGTCAGATAAGAGGTAGGATCGAATCTTGAACACACGTGTATAGACCCATGTACTAGGCAAAACAGTCAGTCAGCTTCTATTTTCAAACACTCTCACCGGCAGGTAATAAGAATTTTCAACATTTCACTTACAGTCTTCATATCGATACCGGAGTCAAGGTTGAGCATGACGCTCTCGATTCCTGTTTCCAGGAATGACCAACTAACTCACAGTTAGCTCACGCTGTACCGCCGTGTTAAGCAAATCCCCGATCATTATCTGCTCACGTTGAATCAAGGTCATCCTTGTGAGGTACCGGTGGCATTGCGAGAGACATCGCGGTTGCAGGGGAGTCGAGTGGGATGCGGAAGAAAGCGAATGGTCGAGGCCGGGGGGTCCTGCTCCACTAGTCAGTAATGCGCTCTTGACTCTGAATAGTAACCTTCAAGCTACACATCATGAATATTACCTCAAGATGGTTGTAGCGCCACAGTCACGCCTCAAAGGATCCTAAGGTGATCAAATGAGTGTTGGCGCTTGGGAGGGGTGGAGGGGTTGGCAAGAGCGGGGTCCGGGCAATCAAAGAAGACAAGCCAGAAGAAAGAAGATATAATCCTCGGGAACTTCTGGTGTAAATATGGAAAAGAGATTAGGCAGAAGGGGAGCAGAGAGTGATGAGGCTGAGAAGGACCAGAGCGTGGGGATGGCCTTGTTGCCGCAGGCGGTGAGGTGGCGGAGCTTCCCGCCAAATCTACATCATCGGGGATGCTTCGACAAGTCTAGACATCTAATATAAATTTCAAGGATATTATTTACAACAAATATTTAATTTAGCGTATGATAATATACATGTTCTTCGGTATATTTCTCTACAATAAAACCTATATCTTTGTGGTATCACAACACACGTCTCTGACATCTGACATTTGATCCATAGATCTATGTTTCTTACTACTATTATAGATATCGCGTATCAAACCTAGACATATACTAGTAGCAAAGCTTGCGTGTAGAACAAGTACCTTGCTGTCTCAGAACCTTGGGAACATATAGGGAAGATTGGCCTACAACCTTCAAGTTTTCTGAGTAGTCTAGTCTGGTGTACAAATAAATATACTTATGACGACATTCACATATCCCGAGATCATTGTATATTTCTTTATGCTGTTAAGCAAATAGATTTCATATATTGACGATATTCATAGAGAAAGAAGGAGCCATCAATTGCAGATTTCCCATATACAGAATATTCTTGGTTCTCATCAGCTTGTATTGTTCCGCATGGTGTGAGAATTGTACATCGAAAAGTTGTCTAAGTGTACAATTCTTTCCGCCTTTTTCTGCCGTCTGGAATAAAAATGAGAGGAACAAAGATCCAAAAATAGATATAAAAAGAGTACAGATCTGAGAAGACTACCAAAAACACTACACACCACTAAAAGACATCACAAAGCCGCATAAACGACTATTCTTGTTTAATATAGAAAATAAATATACTATGGAGGCACGTGATTCCAGTTCGAGCTGGTTGCCGAATCACGTGTTACCGTTCTCTCAGATTTCTCTGTTTATTGGCTTTGAAGAGTGTTAAACTAATATTATATTACTACTAGAATGTTGACTAGATTAATTTCATATTCAAATTGCCCCTAGGCAGACATATGCTCATGGAACTGCAGACGAGGTCGAGACGCTCTCAATTTCCCTAGTTGGGTCTCCGGCCGAATAGGTTAGATGACGCCAGCATCAGCCCACTCTCAATCTCAATCGATCCTGCAGAGCAAATATGTTGTACGTTCTGGACGACCGAGCGGAAGAGGAGACTCCGCAGTGTGGCAGAGGTCACAATGGGATCGGCATAGGAGGACCCCAAACGACCATTGTTGGATTCCAAAAATTCAAACACCGGCCACAGCAGATGTTCACCCCCTGTCGCCATCATGCTTCCTTTCATCTGATGTAACCAGTTGATTCCCTGGCAAGGTTGAAGAGGGCTGCCAAAAGTCTGGTGGCTTGCTGTTGATACCGCGCGCCAAAAGTCCGGGGCGGCAAGGCCATCTGTGATGGACGTGATCTGCAGAGGCTGGCTATCATTAAGACCCGTTGTGTCTCGGTGTCCATCCAGAGTTTGACTGGTGATCAGGCCTGCAACGAGATTCACGGGAGAGATGAAAATCCACGAGTTGGAGTCCTCTTCACTGTTATAAAGCCCACAGGACACAGCAGAGCCTACCACGCGCCAAACATAATCGCTCACATTTGCCATCCCGTTGTCCGTGGATCCGATTATCCACCCTGGCCGAATGATGTTTATGTGGATATGCTTGCAGACCGAGTCTCGTTGAAACTCTTTAATAGCCAGTTCCGACATGAATTTACTTTGACTATATCCATCGCAGGTGGAAAGTAACTTGGCCACGCTGCGATCATCATCCATCTCCGAGGAGCCGGGTAGGAGGGCCGAGACGTAAGTGAAAGCCACCGGATAGGCCAGCTGTGCCAGGGCACTTAAGAGGTTGATGGTGCTTTCTGTGTTGACCGACTTGAGTTTGTGGTAATCCTGACCCCAATGAACCCAGGCGCCGTTGTGAATCACAGTGTCGAACCCATCACCCGAGTAGTCAAGGCCGCAGAGGATCTTCCACCGACTTTCGGACAGCCCCAAAAAAGGCTGGGACAGACATCCTCGCCATGTCCGGACCCGGTTTCGATGCGACTCTCTCCACCAGCCTGCTCCATGAGCGGTTTGGACGACACGCCTAATTGCTATCTTGTCCGATTCAGCGCGAACAAGCACCGTGACCGACTGCACTCGGGGATCTTCCAGCAGTGCTTTTAAGATATGGGTTCCAAGAAAGCCGGTGCCGCCTGTTAACAGGACGCGGCCACGACGGTCGCTCCCGTTGGAACGTCCACCGAGACTGGAATTCTCCAATTTCCGCGAATGCGCGCAGATACCATGTATTCTCTCCCGTATCCTGTGATACTCCGACCAAAGATCCATTGTCAGCGGCGGCTCTTGCTCTAGACCTTGGGAGGCAGGCGGCATTGAAACCATGAGAGCCACATCGCGAACGGTTAAGCCGGATCGGAAGAGTGGTGCCATAGGCAAACGAACGTCGAAGCGGCTGGAGATGGCTACGGATATAGCCATCATGTCAATAGAGTCCAGGCCAATGCGAGACAGGGTAACATTCTTCCCCACCACGCGGTTTCTGTCCAGTTTCAAGCGCGAATGAAGAGCATCAGCCACCACTTCGGATACTATCCACGCAGTGGTTTCTGTGGATGCCAACGGGACATCACTTGCCTGGGCACCGGAACACCCGAAAGTCAGGAGTGCCTCGGGCGTTAGCGACGTGGCCGCGGCTCGAACCTGTCGTCGATCAGCCTTGCCAGAAACGGTGAGTGGCATTTGGCGGGCGAGGAGCCACAGCGAGGGGATCATGACTGCCGGCAGTGTGGCTGAGAGCTCCTGCTCAACTTGACTGATCATCTTCACGAACCGGGAACTGGGGGGAACAAATAGGAGCTCGTCATTGGTCTGAACCTGGGAGGTGGACGTGCTAAACATCCCCTCGTCCGACGTTTCAACCATTGCCACCAGCATATGATGGGTATCTCCAATTTCTTCTGTCCTCGGTTTAATGATGTCCGCCATAATCGTGGTGAACTGGGCTCCAAGGGCTTCCGTTAGGTGGTGCTCGACATCCATCAAGTTCAGGCGCTGGCCGCGCAATTTCACTTGGTGGTCTTTGCGACCAAGGAAGAGGCAAGTGCCATCGGGATTAATCCGCACCAGGTCTCCTGTCTTGTATAATCTCTCCCCAGAGGAATTCATCTCAGTGGACCATTCGGTTTGATCCAGGAACACAGAACTAGTCTTTTCCGGCTCGTTCAGATAGCCTCGGCCAACGATGCGTCCTTGGAGGACTAATTCTCCGATCGCCCCGATCGGCATCAAACGATTGTGATCGTACTGGTCCACCACCCACAGCGTACATCCCATTCCTGTCCCAATGTTGCGAGGGTCAACGGATCCACCGTGTATGGTGTGGACGGTTGCTCCCGTGCAGCATTCAGACGGCCCATAACCACACAATAACGTGACCGCGGGTGCCCATACTGCGACCTGCGACGGTAGCAACGTCTCTCCCACGGCGACTACGGTTCTCAAGCTGGGCACCTCGGCAGGCGTAATAAGCCGAAGCATGGATGGAGTGGCGCACATCCATTCGGCGCGGTACTGTCGAATGGCCGAGCCAATGCCCCCGGATAGCTCTTCGGTTGACGGGATGCACACGCAGCCGCCGCTAGACAAGGTAGTGAGAATCTCGACTGCAAAGGAGTCGAATGCATACGACGACAGTTGTAAGACACGCGTGCCTGCTCGGATGTAGAGCTTCTCACGCTGGGCAATCATGGCGGAGCAGTATGACCCGTGTTCAATCTCCACGCCTTTGGGGTTCCCGGTCGACCCGGAGGTAAACACGACATAGAGAAGATCGCTGTGACGGACAGTATCTAAAAGGTCTTCCTGCGGAGCGGATGGCTGGATTGCTTCTTCCCGTACCACCTGGTCGGAGAATAGTAGGATTTGAGGCCCAAAGCTCTCACAATACCCCCTGCATATGGCGGATGTTATGACCCACTGCGCCGCCACTGTCTTACATATGCTTTGATTTCTCTCCCAGGCTGAACTTTGATCCAGCAGGACAAATGCAGCCCCAGTCTTCATGACGGATAGCATGGCGATGACAACCCACTTGGTGCGTTCCAAGCAAATAGGAACAATGGTCCCTGGCCCAATGCCCATGTCCCGCAGACCGATTGCACCTGTATCAGAAAATCGCTGTACCTCATCATACGTGAAAGACCCATCCCAGGAGCAAACCCCCTGCTCTTGCGGGCGGATCTGGCACTGAAGTTTGACAAGGCCATGGATGGTGTAATCGACGCGCGAAGGAGGAGGTAGTTGCCACTCGCATAACTGAACCTGATCGGCTATGTCCAAACAATCGAGTTGCTCTAGTCGGGTGGACTGCGGCCCATTCAATTGGGACAGGATATGACTGAACTGACGAACGATGCGCTCCCCCTGGGCCGGGGGAACGATTCCATCGTCCAGCAGGAGCTCCAACTCCCAACTCTGGTCCATCTCACCGGGAGTACAGATCAAAACCATCGAATACCCCGGAACAAACCCGTCTGCTCCCGTCCGCTCTTGGACGGAGTCAAAAACCGCCGAATTTTGTGGATCCTTACGTGGCTGGATTACGACCAGGGTCTGGAACATACACGCCGTGGATGCTTCGGGACTGACGCGAGAAATGGAGTGCAATCCCGCATGCTCCCACTCGACTGTGGACTGCATGTTATCCTGAGTCGCTTGGAGTGCCTGGTCAATGCGCATAGATCGATCGATCGTGTGCCCAAATGGGATGGTGGCCAACGTCGGCCCCATGATGCCGTCCATCCCCGGATAAGATGATAGCCTTCCATTGCTAATGGTCCCATAAACCACGCCAGGAGACTGCGTATATAGAGAGATAAGGATGGCCCATGCCAAATGGACTTTGATCGCCGGGGTCACCTGAGGGCCAACAGCTTCTTCCCGGTCAGTTCCCTCCCTCCCTGGTGGTGGACTCTGCGGGGGTTGGTGACGATAGGGTAATCGAATTCGGAGTTGGGCAGCCCGGTTGGTTGTGAGGGCTTCGGGGAAGACGGCGGCGTTGAGGTTGTGACAGTACGAACGCCAAAACTCCTGTTCGCCGACAAGATCCCGACCTTGCAGGAAGCCTACGAATCCCGAAAACGGACGCGGAGGCAGCGACTCGCCTCGGTAGGCGGCCTCTACATCCTGCAGCATCATTTCCCACGACCAGCCATCATACACTGCATGATGAATAGTAACCACAAGTTGTGCTTTGGGCGTGGAAATGCTTTTCTCTGTACCGGAAGACGTTTCTGGTACTATGAGACCGACGACGACTAGAGGAGTGCCGGGGCCCATCTCCTTCGTCGCGTCACTTGTCAAATACTGTTCCTCGGATTTGTAGGATGGTATCGGGAGCTCATGATGATCCGTGACGACCTGGTACACCCCAATGGATGTTTGGACAATACGGGTTCGCAGTATGTCGCTGGATCGAATCAACGTGTTCCAGGCTCTGACCAACCGAAGCCGGTCGACCCCAGGAGAGAGCGTTAATGTAAATCGATCGATGTATGCCTGGCTGCCAACGGAGGTGCTGGAAAACAGACCCTCTTGGATTGGTGTGCATGGGTAGATGTCGCGAATCGACTCTTCCCTAATGCCGCATTGCTCTTGGGCTGCCTCCAGGACCTTAGCGCGATCATCGCTATTTTCCGGGAGCATAGAAAAAGGAGGCATAACAGTAGATCCCACGGCCAAAGGGATTGATTCGCACTTCTGAAGCTCCTCCGCCAGGTCTGCTAATTTCCGGTCGTGTTGCAAAAGATCCATGGCTTTTAGAGAGATTCCTGACTTTCGAGCGAGACTGACTAGTCTCACGGCGGCCAAAGAATCCCCGCCCATGTGCACAAAGGCGCTATTCATATCGATATCTCTCGCCTCTAACCGTAGAGTCTCCTGAACCAGAGATGCCACTTGATGTTCGGCCGCGGAGGTCGCGATTCTTTTGGCTTTCCCATTTGTCTTCGACTTGAGCAGTTTCATCATCTCAGATTCTGATCGCCCGGTGAACATGGCGGCGAGGTGTTTCCGGTCGACCTTGCTAGTAGCTGTCTTTGGTAGAGCCGAGAGCTCAATCACAAAGGCCGGTATCATATATCGCGGTAGACGGTGCCCCATCTCATCACGGATCGCATCTTCTCGCCCATAACGCTTCATTTCTACATGCGCACTGTCTTTGCACATCGAGGACACTTTCAATACATCGGCTTTCGTCGATCTCTCTGCCACAAAGGCGACAACAATGTCTTGCTGGTATGGGCCGGGCGAGGTCAAGACATCCACGGAAATATCCAAGCTTGTCTCCATCTGTCGCAGGGTAAATTCGATGTTTTCGATGTCTACTCGTTGGCCATTGATCTTCCTCACATTGTCTCTTCGGCCCAAGTATCGCATTGAGCCATCCCAGTTGAATTGGACCAAGTCGCTAGTCCTAAAGAAAGCACCGCGATGTGGAATGGAAAAAGTAGACCTCCAGCTGGGTGCTGAAACGAAGACTTCCTCGGTCTTCTCTGGCTGGTTGAAGTATCCGTGAGCAACAATGGGTCCCTCCACGAGAAGTTCCCCTATTCCTCCAATTGGGGTCAGGGTGTTCATGTCATTTGGGTTCACTATCCACCCAATGCAGCCGACTGGCCTGCCAATTGTGCCTTCCACCCAGCACCGAGGGTCCATTCGAGTTGACACACATATGCTCACTTCGGCCGGCCCAAAGCCGTTGTACAGCCGACTACCCCATGTTTGGACCAGGTCATTGCCAACCGCCTCTCCGCCAACAACAATTGTTTCCATAGTCGGGAATTGCTCAGGACCAAAAGTTCTGAGCATTGTGGGCGTGATGAACGCCCATGTCGTTCGATGTTTCGCAACGAAAGACGGAAGATCGTGCAGCCTTTCCTCTTCGGATGGGGTATACACCGTCCCTCCTCTCACCAGTGCATGGAATATTTCATAAATGGCCATATCAAATGCATAGGATGAGAATTGCAGGGATCTGGGTGGTTTATCGATCCCCGTGGCAAGGCCGTGGTGGTGCATTGTTGTGGCAATGGCCCGGTGACTTAATAGAACACCCTTGGGTTGACCCGTGCTACCAGACGTGAAGAGAACGCACGCAACATCTTCTTTATCGCCGCTTGGGAGCTGCCAGCTGGCCGATGGCCGAGGCAATGATCTCAGTGTTGCCTCTGAAACGACCATGCGATCGACGCCTTTTACGCGCGCCAACCGATCGTATTCGGTCTCCGAGGTCAGAACCACCGTGGACCCTGTCTGCTCCACTACTTTCGTAATATAAAGATTTGGGTGGCTCGCACATATCGATGTGCTCGCCGCTCCGGTTTTCAAGACGGCCAGTATACTGACGATAGCCCAGAGCGACTTTTGGAACAGGATGGGGACAATTGCTCCCCCACCAATACCGCGCTCGACCAAGGTCGCAGCCAGAATGGATGATAGCTCATCCAATTGTGCATATGTCAAACATCCTTCAGTGGTGACAGCCGCGGGTTCGTTAGGTCTTTCACGAGTCCTGGCTTGAAATGACTCATGCAGCCGACCTTCCGACACCATAATCTGACCTGAGTTCCACTGCATCAGGGTGTCCTTGTCTTGGACACTGATCATTTCGATATCCCGGAGACATCGAGTGCGATCCTGCCGCATGAGCTGTTGTACAATGCTTTGGTATTGGGATAGAAATCGTTGCGCCTGTTCATCCATGCATTTCGTTAAGTCATAGTATACATGGACATCTATGGTTGCGTCCGTCTGCCACCATACCAATCGAAGGGCTTCCTGCGAGTGGAGTCGGAAGTTCCCACGTGTCTTTGGATGGCAGTCCATGATGTCCAGTGTCACATGGGATGCGTATTGGTCGTTCCCTGTCGCGTGGGCTTCTGATTTGACGGGATCGGTGGGAAATGTGAGAAATTCTGCTGCCTGCTCTAGGGCTGACTTAATCGAGGATGCTGGCTGCGACTCGAATGGGATCTGCGCCACGAATTTCTCGTTATCACAAATCGAGAGGAGCAACGTTTCAGATCGGCTGTATTCTTTCAATAGGATAGCCCATGCCAGTACCAAGAGCGGAACTGCCTGCTTTGAACACTCCCTTCCATGGCCATCCAGCACAGACCGAATCTGCCGAATGTCGTAGTCCTGTGTTTCCTGACTGGTCAAGTCTCTTGGTTGTGGAAACAAGCAATCTCCCGAGACTTTCAATCCTCCTTCCACGTTTTCCTCCGCGGTTGAGCCCACGAAGGAGTTGAGAAGAAGCTCGGGCACTTGGTATACCCCGACCATATTCAAATGAGTGACCTAGCGAATGACAATACAAATTGTGAGTACAATAAGTTATATGGTGGGCATAAGGATCTGTCTTATTGCTGCTCAATAACAGAAGGTTGCTTTAACTCTCCAGATTGATTGTCTGACAGCTTCAGCCAGCCATATCTTTGCCATGCCTTTTTCGCGATCTACAAATTCGTGCGCCTCCACTCCTGCACGTACAACACCATTAGAATGCCCATAGTCCCGTACCCTTGCTTTGAGCCGCCCTTGCTGTCCGCAAATACCTACCATTTAAGCTCTGCCAATCATTCCCACGCCAAGACAAACGAAAACACCGTAGCACTGGATAAAAGCAAAGAGCTGCTGTCATCCTATGACGACTCGTGCTTATACAGGCGTGGACTATTCTAGACTTCTATGCTAGACTATATAGGAGCAAGCAGGGTCATCGGGGCCCAAGAACCTTTCGGTAGCAAGTGAGTACTGACTATGAAGTATAAAATGCCAAATATCATTCTCTTATTGCCATAGGGATGCTCCCCGTAGCCTGAGTCCGAAGAAAACAGTGCTAAATAATATTGCAAGGGCCAGCACGGTCTAATACATCTGATGTAACCTTGGAAGTGCCCTGTCTTGTGTTATATCATTTTTAGGACAATAGTATTCATCTCTTTTAGAAAAGAATCACATATTAATTCCATTTCTTTCGTCTTCTTTTAATATATAATACACATGCCATAATAAAGCCGAGATATTGGATCATATAACACGTACCATCGTCTGCATACATGTGTATCGTTGGGTTTATATACATTCCTTGCAACCAAGAATAGTGTTAACATTGGCCAGTTGAGACCGGTGTATCCTTTCAATGACACCGTATGCGTTTTCCCATACAGAGTACATTGTTACCTTTTCATTTTACGTATTTTTAAGCTGAAAAATTTAAATATAGAGAGATATAGATGAGCTCGGGATCGTCGTGTAGATCCCGTCGGGCTAGCCATCATAGCTATGTACATATGTAGGTACACCGTACATAGTATAATATATCCACTCTGAAAATGCTAAAAAAAGTTTAAATAGTTGAATAGTAATTCTCTATTGGAATTTATTCATATAGGACAGCTTGTTTCTAGCGTTAGAATTTACATATAACATCTTAACCTAGAATCTGCCTAAGTTATGGTTCCGAGCTGTATCATTCGCGAGTTTCTGAATAAAGTCACGGATGATCGCCAACAAGGGGGCCCGAGCGGCCTGGCAGCTTCCAAGTTTTCTTATCAAAAATGAAAACTTCCGCTGTAAGGGGAGGATCCATTCCAGATACAGTGATTTAAAGATAGGGAGTAGTACCCCATATAACTTCACCCAGACCGCCATTTTGCTTTGCCTTAATTAGCTCGCATACCAAGACGTATAGGGTATGGATGCCACACCCTGAGTATCACTGAGAACAACGGATTGCTCCCTGAAGATTACTATCCCTTGCTTCCGATCATCAATAACTTAGTTTAACCATGTGTTCACAAATGACCTTAATTGATTCATCCATTTGAGTGGGACCATTCAGCCGAAGGAATCGTTACATGCTGAAATATACCATTCAAGGGACATTATCACCAATGCACGGCCTACGGAGTAGACAGCCTTGGTGTCAATTCCAAATGACTTATAACTATGTCACATCTCTGCAGTAGTGCATTGAGGCTTGCAGACTTAATTTCCATGTCACGGGGCAGGCTAGTCCTGCTGCTGAGGGATTTTCTTGTTTATTGATTCGAGTTGGTCTGTTCTTTGCCATCTATCACACTCATTGCATGCATGCTAGGCCCTGTATCTTGATATTCTCTGCCCGATGTAGAAATAAAACCCTAATCCCCACTTTATTCCATCTTCTATGGCCAGTGGAAGTACAAAAGGGGCTGCACTGCGTTCAAATACCGCCACATAGACTCAATGAGCAAGCCCGCCACAATTCCTTGGACTTTCTGAAGTCGCCTTCTTGTTTGATCTTTTTATCCAGTAATTGAAAAAAAAAAGAAAATGACGAGACAGAAAAGGGTAATAGCGGTTATTGGGGCGACTGGTGAGTCGGCCGATCCCAACTTCCATACTATATTCTCATACTAGTCAGGAAACCAGGGTGGCTCTGTTGCTCGTTCGCTATTGGATAATGAAGCCTTTGAAGTGCGATGTATCACCAGGGATGCGTCGTCGCCCCAGGCAGAGGCTCTCACATCCCTCGGCGCCAAAGTGATCCAGGCTGACGCTGCACAACGCCCAGAGCTGGAGAAGGCACTTTCAGGATGCTATGGGCTGTTTGTGAACTACAGTGTCTATGTAAGCTTGACAATGTCTCATTCTCCCCCACCCAGTTTATTTGCCATCGCGCTAATCTCACCGTTCCTCTCGTCAATAGGGCGCTGATATTGGCGAGGCAGAACGCCTGGGGAGAGAGATATTTCTTGCAGCGGCCGCAGCGGGGATCAAACAAGTTGTCTTCAGTTCTGAGCCTCATCCAGAGAAGCTCACGAGTGGCAGAGTTCCACTCGATTACTTGGATGGTAGGACATCCCGAGTTCTCCTGTCTATACCCAACCTTTCTGACACTGTCTCTTGTTTCTTTCTCTCAGTCAAGGCACGAGTGTATGAATGGGTCTACCAGACCCAGAACTTCGACTCTTTCACACCGATCATGCCCGGCTGGTTCATGGAAAACATGCAGGACTCCCTTATGCAAACTCTACTCGACGGATTCCCCGCCAAAAAGGACAACGATGGATACTTGACATGTCGCTCGCCTTTATGGGGTGGCAATGAAGATGTCCCCTGGATCAGTATAGGAGATGACTTTGGGGACATGGTGCACGGTATCTTCCTCGATCCAATTCGATGGAATCATCGGCCTGTCCAGGCGGTTGCGGATCCGATGTCATTTGGCGAGATGACTCGCATTTTCTCACTTGGTATGTTCCATCAAGATCCTAAGCCCTATGCAAGACTGAGGCATTGTGAGCTCACCTCCCACTTAGTCACGGGCCAAAAGACACGATATATTCCATGTGATCTCTCCGAGGTGGTGTTCGGGGTTAAATATGACAATCTAAAAAATCAGGATCCAGCCGCCTTGTTTAGATATGCTCAGCTACGACATGGTGAGTATTATGGAAATGGGCCTACTGAGAACCGAACCGCCAGTCAACTCAAGAAAGCTGCTTTCAAGGCCAAAGGGGGAAAGGGGCGAGAAACCCTTCTCACACTGCAAGAGTATCTTGAGCGAGAATTTACCTGAGAAAGGACTAGCATGCCGATTCAACGAGGAAGTCTTGGCAGTAGTACCTTGTAGATGGGAGGAGCACAGTCTATTGAAACAATTCAACTCCTTATCAAATCTTTGATACCTCAAAGCCAGGTAGAGGGAGAAAATACGTATTTATAACACGGAGCCCGCGCTGATAGGTCAAACTGGTCCTTCTTATAGAACCGGAAGGAATTCTATCCGATAATGCGGCTTGTCTCCTAATTATCACCGGCCTTGTATACCACGAAACGTGGTCCTATCTGGTCTCTTTTCCCCTTTCTATAGTGCGTGAGATATAAGCGATTTCATTTGGATTGAACAAGCCAAAACGCCCAGCGGATGGGCATCTATGGTTCTTATTGATATATAACCACCCCGAATACAGAGTCTATATTAAGTCTGGTGGCACGGAAGTAACTTTGGTTGAGATAATTTCCCTCCACGTTCCATTCTGTTATGATTGGTTTCCTATGCAAAAGCTCAAGAGTTCTATCATTTCTCATGACGTGGGATGTGGAATGAGATGGTGCTTCAAGTTTTGACCACGGCTTCCAGAAGCGTCGTATTACGGCCACCATTATTGTTTGGCGATGCCCAAATGTTTACAAGCTTCAACTGGGCCGAATCCAACAGAGCTCGCCATCCCGATGCAGATCGCTCTGGGGCGGAGAAGAGAGTCATCATAGCCCAGTCATCTCGAGCCTGTTCAGGTGAGAGGTCCGCAGGATTGTCGGAAAGAACCCAGTCATGGATGAGCAGAACCGAATCCTGATCCATGGCCGCTCGAATATTTTCCAGGATCTGACGAGATTGGACCTCAGGCCAATTGTGCAGTACCCTGCCCAAAAAGTAAACATGGGCGTGCTCGACTGGCTGCTTATTGAAAAAGCTATACTCCATGCGTTCCAAAGAACGATGAGTCCCGGTTTCCAACTCGGCGCCGTGGCTTTTGACATATTCTGGGCCGTCCTGTACAACGAATCGACACGGGATGTGGGAAAATCGACTCATCACTGCTTTGGCCTCATGTCCATGGCCTCCTCCCACATCGACGAAAGTCAGAGACTTCTTGTCCTTCTGAGACTTTTCATATAGCTCCTGGAATTTAAACTCCATTGGAAACCACTGAGCCCACTGTGCGGGAGTTCCATCTCCCGCAGTAGCCTCCATGAAACGGTTAAATGCGTCCTGTAGGAGGGGCTGGGATGGAAGCCATTCAAAGAAGGGCAATGATGTCCCAAATGTGTGCTGAAAAATACCACGATTGGCATTAGTTGGGTTATGGTACCCGTTGCTTTCGAAGAAAGAAAGCGTGTTTGCCGACATTTTCAGTGCGACATCTCTAAAACAGGGGTCAGGTCTTCATAGGAGGTCGACCGTGAATCAGGATCTCTCAGACTTACAGTGTCATTATAATACCATCCTGGACCATCGCACCCTTTTTGAGAGATTTGCTGGATTCGTTTAATTCATACTTTCCCTCTTTGGTGATATCAAGAAGACCCAGGCCAACCAAAGCCCTCAAAACACGCGCTTGAATCTCACTTCAGTATTCCACTAGAAATGGGAAGCAAACTGCTCGTTAAAACTTACAGGCTAATGCAGGATCACACCCACTCTGATCAGCTACATCGCATGGCCCGAAGATGGGTTCAGGTCCATCAAAAACCCCCAATTGAATGGCCATTCTGGCAATCACCAAGTCTTGGATCTATTTTACTGTTAATAAACCTACTCATTCTTCCATTCAAGTGTGTATAGTAATGGTTCAGAAATATTTCATACCTGGAAGGCTTGGTTCAAGAGTCTGTCCGCAGGGTCCTCTAAGACTTTGTTAAGCGAGGCACAGGCTTGACGAAGCTGGGCGACGTCTTCCTTTTTGGTACTAGGATCATTGATAATGTCCCTGGCCTCATTGATGGCAGAGACTAGGTGTGAAGGGAGCATGGCTAGTGATAGCTGACAAGCAATGTCCAAGAACGAGTTTGAGATTGCAATTTCATGAGATATATATTTGCGATGCTGTAAACAATTGATATATCAACGAGCTCTTGGTCATGTGCCCCTGCCTTCGACTACAACATTGCTACTCCGTAATCTACACCGCTTGATCGTGCGAATTTGACAAAAGGGAATATGTGGTTATGCCTACAGATAGATCATGTGGATGATATGTACTACCTACTCCGGAAACCTCAAAGAATATGGTCATTATGCATGGTGTGGCTAGCGTACATGCTCAATTGTGGGCGAGACATTATTAGGATTCAGATCCCTTTCCACACCTCAGCCAGCCCCACGGAATACTTAGAAAATGACAGAGCTTTAGAGAGTACTCCTATGCCGAACACATCTGTTATTGAGGCAAGGGGCTACCCGTGTAGAAACACTATTTATCTACATGTAGAAAGGCCGGTGTGACGCATTCCAGAGGAAATACCGCGGATTGTACCAACTTTGTAGTGGATATTAATCATTTGCATACTTCTGTGAAGTATATTGCATATAGAGTACTACCTACGGAGTATATCATGTTCGTTTTGGTAAATCTGATCATGTACTTGTGGGTAGGACGGAATTGAGATATACCTTACTCCAGATCTGTCACATTCCACTCTCGAAAATCAAAAGAAATTGCATAGAACGTCCACGCAAGGTTTTTATGCGGCGGTGAATCATAGAACCCCATTGACGTTATCCGTAGAGGTTAGCAAGTGCGATGACAAGTCCTCCTTATGGGAAGGGTTACAGCATTTATTGAGCAGTATCCTGCTTTCTTTTTATCACAGAAAGCGGACAAACCTACAGAGTACGAAAATGCTGAATAGGGTCTTGTATCCAAGTGGACACTATGATGTGTGGACTACTACTGTCGCAATTGGTATCACAGTAAGGCCACGCACGAGCAGAGTTAACCTTTAATATACTAACAAACCACATTTAGATAGCCTTGGCGTGGGCATGCGCTTTGTTACTGTTTTACACACAATTCGATTTGCTAGCAAGCTACCCGGGGCCAAAGGTTGCACGCTTCACTCGACTTTGGTATGCGATACATCTGTTTCGGGGAACATTGCTTGAAGAGCTCTTAAAAGCTCATGAGAAATACGGCTATGTGGTTCGGATTGCGCCGGATGAGCTATCATATATTTGTCCTGAAGCATGGGACGACATATATGGAAGCAAAGTCGTTCCGGAAATGACTAGGGACCCCCGATTCATGCAGGACGTCGGCGGGCAAGGGCAATCATTACTGCACGTCACCCACGAGCGCCATCGTGCGATGCGCAAGAAGCTGGCACATGGATTCTCAGCCAAGTCTCTCCGGGATACGGAATCCCTCCGAACATCCTATGTGGACTCCCTCATCCAACGACTTTCTGAAAATTCTCAAAATGGGGAAGTGTTGGATCTTGTCAAGTGGTACTCGGTACGTGTGATCACCATTCTATTCTACAGGAGAATTCTAAATCTAATTTTGATGTTTTATTATCACGAGCAGTTTTTGTCCTACGATATCCAAAGTGATTTGGCATTCGGGAAGAGCTTCGATTGTCTTAAGACGTCAAGCTTTCACCCATGGATGCAGTTAATAGCGGAATTTGACAAGATAGACCCTTTCTTCAGAGCGATCACGCATTTTCCATGGGCTCTGAAGTTAATGCAATATCTGACGCCGCGATATGTGGTGGATATGGAAGCCAAGCTATCAGCAATGTCGATGGAAAAGGCCAAGGGGCGAATGGCGAGACCCGTTGGACGGCCTGACTTCCTGGAGCACTTTATGCAGACTACAGATGCCCTGAGCGAGGCTGATGTTTGTGCCAATGCCGTGGCAATGATCGGAGCAGGAGGTGACACGACAGCGACTTTGCTCAGCGGAACGACCTTTTTCCTACTTCAAAATCCCCAATTGCTAACTAAATTGTCTCTGCAACTCCGTCAGTGTTTTAAATCAGAGAGCGAGATAGATCAGGCTGCCGCAGATGGGAATTCGCTACTACAGGCCTGTGTCCTGGAGACACTGCGTGTATACCCTCCGGCTGCTGTTGGATTTACTCGAGTGGTGCCCAAGTCAGGCGCAACAATTGCAGGAAGATTTGTCCCTGAAGGGGTGAGTGAGCCCAATTGAGCCCCATCGCATCTGGCAAGATTAGTTGCTAATTAATCTGCGGGATAGACCACGGTTTGCATACCACAATATGTAGCCTATCATTCAGCAGATAACTTTTCAAGTCCTGATGAGTTCTGCCCCGAACGCTGGCTTGAACCAAGCAATTTTGAGCATGACAAGAAAAGCATATTTCGGCCATTTGCATGTGGTCCTTATGGATGCCTTGGAGAGAGGTACCATGACCCCCGATCTAGCTATTCCAGCTCCATGCTAACTCTCCCCAGACTGGCACTTTCCAATGTCCATCTTGTTCTATCAAAGCTCTTATGGAGATTTGATCTTTCGCTAGAGCCTGGCTGTGAGAATTGGGAACGGCAAGCAGTGCATATCACTTGGGTGAAAAAGCCGCTCCCTGTTTTCCTTAGGCAGCGATCTGATTTGATCAAATAACTCAATGTCTGTTGGATGATCCCATCTCTCATTGATTGTTTGCCAGACATCAGGGTATATGTACCTTACTTTCTCTTAGATTGAATGTCAGAGATTTCTTCTTGTTCTTCCCTCTCTCCCATAGTAACCACAACAATATCAAGCATTGAAATATCATCCATGCGTTTATATTCAGTTTTCCGTATATTTAAACAGACAGACAGTGAAATCTGCTATAGATTACAGGTCCTATTAGCCGCGCGTGTTTTGGATGTCTTGGGCTTCCGCTTTCACAAAGAGGATTTTAAAAGCAGTATATTAAGAATGAGAAGGGGAAAGAGAGCTGGGAGCAACAGCCGAAAAACAGGCCAAAAGCATCGTATAATATTATCTCAAAGGTTTCGACATAGTCAAGGCATTTCTACTCTGCAGCAATAGGGGCGGAGTCTGTAGAGGCTATCTTTACTGTTGACTTGCCTTCCTCCTCTACAATCCCGTGTCGGCCATCATTTGGAATATTGGCTGGCACATACGTGCTGCCAGCAACAACGGCCTCGGCCGCCTTTTCAAACTCCTCGTATGTGGACTTCTGGCAGTCATGATCAAAGATCCACATCGCGCGAGCAATCAAGGTAGGTAATTTATCCTGTTGTTTGGCATCCCAATTTGCCCCATGAAGAGACTCCAACATTTTCGCACTCCCCTCCCCAATCAAGGAGACTCGCTGATATCTGTGTACGACGGTGAGTGAACTGTTCTGCAAAAGTCATGGGAAGAAAAGAGGGCCAATATTCGCTCACCTTAGCTTTTCCATGACCGAAAGAGCAAGTGGAACCTGCTTCTTTCCAGCTAGCTCTAAACAAATGGCAATGACTGCACCGTCCTCAATACTCTGACTCGCACCCTGACCAGATGTGGGAATAAAGGCATGTGCGGCGTCTCCGATGACAACCATGCGACCTTTTTCTGACACCCACCGAGACAAGGGGTCGACCGCCATGACTAGGTGATCCCAGCAGGTATTGTTCGGTGTGCATTTAATCACTGCCCCGACTTTGTCCTTTGCGGGCCAATCCTCAATCAATGCTAGTGCCTTTGTCACGTCGGAAGGTTGGAGCCATGACTTGGATACGCCGTCAGAGCTCTGGAGAGAATGGCAATCAGAGGGTCAGCATGATTCACAGACTCGGTTTCCTGAATGAGGAAGTGAATACGTACACGATGTAAGCACCCCCAGTACACGTCTTTACCGTGTCTTCCAGTGCCCATGATGACTGCAATGTCTTTGCCAATGAAGTGATTTAACTGATCAGCTTTGTCTGTACCCTCGAGAATCCACTGGGCGTCCGGTTGATTGTCTAAAACCTCAGCCGGATAGCCCGCGCGATATGTGGCAGCGCCACTCCTGTTGAGTGGCCTATCATCCCCGGTGATGATTGGTCGTGCTTTACTGTGAATGCCATCGCTAGCAATTACACAGTCTGCTGACAACCGTTCGTCATTCGCAATGACTCCTGCCTCGTGGTCGTCTTCCCAGTATCCCGATACTGATATTCCAAAGCGAAGATCGATGCCCAGACTTTTTCCATACTCGTACAGGGTGCAGACTGTCGTTGAACGGTTTAGTACTAGTCCCTCGCCCTCTTTGTACCCGCTCATGTCTTTGCGAAGCTTGATGTTGGCTGCTTCATCCCAAACAGTGATGCTAGCAACGTCGCAACGGACGGAGTCCAGGTAAGTAGAAACAGATCCATTGTCCCACTTCTGGATTACATTTGCTCCGTTACTAGAGATGCTGAAGATGTCGCCTGCCTTGCTGTCAGACCCATGTCCCTGGATTTTCCTGGAAGCAAAAATCACCTACCCAGGTGCGTTGGTTTGGGGGTTTTCTCCAGCCCAATCACGCTGTGACCTTTGCGGTGGCATTCGATCGCAGCAGTGAGTCCGGCAAGACCCAGTCCCACGATAATGACTTTAATACCGGATGAACCTGGTGGTGCGATGTCATTTGGAGCGGAATGGGTGACAGTCATTGTGTAAGGGCTCACACTTCACTTTAGTGGATTGGGACAGTTTGCAGAGGTGAATGCGTCTGGGCTCTCTTGACTCTAGGCTTATTATTTAGTCGATAGTCTCAATTACGTGTGATGCACCGGTTACGACGACGTGCATACTAGAGAGTTCAGGTATGGTTAAAGAACCCAGCCCATGATTGGTAGTCGTCAGCGCTGGAATCCCATTATCCGCCCATTTTAGGACTCCACTCCTCTGCAGCATCTGTACTATATATTGTAACTACATATCGACTCCCGTGGTATTCTACATTCTTCACCGCTACTCTTCCACCCGGGCATGCATGACTATGTGGCATCTGACTGGAGACCTTGCATCCTCTCGCTCAACGTATACTTCCAGCCGTAAGAGAACAATAGTGCCGACCAGTACAATGCAAGGATGCTTCTTGGGTACATTGTATTTGATGTAGCAAAACCTTAATACAGCGCAATGGTTGGTAATCCACTTGGCTAGGATGGCAGCTGTAGACCATGGAGTCGAATGGATGGTAATGCCACCTAGACCTCCGCAAAGCCCCCAAAGCCCAAAGCCCAAAGCCCATCATAGTCCGAAAAACGGGACTTTTTTAATTACCTTATGTTTAGATCCCGTTTTTAGCCCTTAGATTAGGGTAATATTTAATTATTTAAATTAATACGCTATTAATAATTAGCTAGACTTGTATATTACGTTTAAACACGCGAAAAAACGCGTTGTTTAGCTAAGTCTTAAATTATAACTAGAGGTTCACGTAGAAAGTGCTGATACTCCCGTATGAATGCTAACTAGATATATAACTATCTATTAAAACTTCAATATTAACCATTTTTTCAACATCCACTAGTCGGATTTTATTCAAAATTAGAATATACACTATAGCTATTTTAATTCCAAGTTCTAATTTTAAACTCCATATAACTAGTAGAAGGGTCAGAATACAGCGATTACAAGACACTAGTTGAACCCCCTGAATGGGCTTTGATGGGGGCCCATTGGGCCCCCATCAAAGCCCACTGGGTTGGGTTGGGCTTCGAAGCTTAGGCCCAGTTACAGGCTTTGCAAAGCCTGGCGTCCATTTTTGAACTCTCCAGGCTGTGGGCAATAATTGGGACAAGCGCACCTTCATTGGTAAGTCTCATTTACACCGCATATTAGAAAAGGTAAGCCTTGTGATGATCTGGATTTCTTGATATACGGGCAGTATTCATAATTTTATGCCTCTCAGAGGATGAGCACTTTTTGTGCAGCTTTCCACGATGTGTCGATGTATGCCATACTAACTACTCCCAGAGATCCTTCAGCACGTTGACTTTCAAATCAGATGTTGCACGGGCAACAATACGGTCGGCCCATTGTATCCCATTTCGTGACTGGCCATCGTCCGCCAGTTCAAGTGCAAAATGACTAAATATATAGGCGAGAACGGCGTATAACTCCATGTAAGCCACGCTTTATTCCCATTGTCAGCAGTACTCTCCCATAAAGTCCTAGTAATCAACCTGTCAACGTACCTCATTCCAATACAGCGACGAGAACCCTTCCCAAAAGGAACACTGTATCTTTCTAACTCCTCTCCACCACGTATCCAGCGATCGGGGTCGAACTTCTCTGGCTCGGGAAAGATGGTTGGATCCATATGGATGACAGGGTGGGCGGTAGAGACGCTGGTCTGCATAGTTAATTGTCAGTAAAACTCCCCGAGCATAAGCTATAGCAGGCCTGTTGCGGACTTACACCTCCGGGTAGGAAGAATGAGCCAATTTGAACGCCCTCCTTTGGGACTACACGAGGAAGATAGCCGGGAACGGGGTCAGCCATCCTCATTGTTTCTCGGATGACCCCTCCGAGGTAAGGCAGATTTTGAATCGACTTTGGGTCGAAGACATCGCGGATCGCCACCTTGGCTCTATCCAGTTCAGCTTGGACCTTGGCCAATACGGATGGGGAATTTAGGATATTGAAAGTGGCCCAGGATAGAGTATAGGCAGTTGTGTGAATGCCTGCGGTCATGAAGTTAAAGGCACCATCGAAGACCTCTGCCACGTTCGGTAGCGAGTCTTTGCGACTGTCAATTTCCAAGTACAGATCGAAATATGACTTCCTGGCTGGGACATTGCCGGATAGCTTTCTGTGTTGTGCCTCTACCAACCGGTCATCACAGAACTACCCCGTTGATATCAGCTGTGCCCAACGGAGATATGATTCCTTGGATTTGAACGTACCTGTCTGAACCTGATAATTTCCGGACTTAACTTGTGACCTACAGACGATGGGAGAGCTTTCATGATCGTCTTGATGGCCGGAAACTCCATCACTACCGAGGTTAGATTGAAAAGTCATAAATGAAGCGACGAATTGACATACTGAGCCAGGTCATCGTCCCCAGATTGTCGATTTCATTCAGCAGAGGGTGGCCTTCATCGCCGGAGTCGATGAAATCGTAGCTATGCGCGAACATCAGATCGCATACGACATCGCCCTTGGATATGAAGTTAGCATGAATGACATTTAAGGTTAACGTCAGACAACAAGTCTTACAATGAGCTCGCTGTAAATCTTTTGTATATCGACTGATTGATCTTTCGCGGCTGCTGTCTGAAGATGACTGGCAGCCTTATTCAAGGTCTCTAGAAGCCGGGGCTTCAAATCCAGCGTTGTTTGCGCGGAGAATAGTGAGCTCAGGTAGCTACGATGCTTCCGGTGCACTGCCGGGTCAGTTAGAGAGGCCAGTGCTCCATCAGCCCCAAGCGACTGATAGAATTCGGGTTCTTTGTAAAAGGGCGCTCCTGCACGGAATACACTATTGCAGGATCGTCAACATATAGCTAGTTGTCATGATCGGGATAGTTCGTACGTCTCATAGAACTTCACATCATTGACATGCACTCGGTTGGGCCCAACGCGAATTACAGGTGAGTCTGTGATCGCATGTCAGATGTTATGTTGTGAATTGGAACAACCACAGCGAAGTGAAGTGCTTTTTACCATATTTTTCATGTAACTCGGAAAATCGTTTACTGTATGTGCCATCTTTAACGTAATTGTAATAAAACCCATATAGGGAGGTGATAGCGGCGAGTCTTGGGCCTGGCACGGACGAGATTGGGTGAAGGTAAAGACGGTCGAATACCTTCCACAGAAGTGAAACAACGTAAACGATTAAGAAGCCAAAGAGAAGCTCCTGCCAATGGGAAAATAACAGGAAAGTCCACTTCGTTCCCTCTACCGACGTGATAGTAGATATGTCAACCATTTTGAATTGCACAGCCACTTGAAGCTAAGCCACTCTGAAGGCAATAAGAAATGAAGTGACAAAGCGAAAAGAAAGCACTGAATGGATAGTCAATATACCAATCCTCATCACCCGAAGAAACCAGGAATTAAGCCTTGAGAATGGGAGAGGCAGTGGGATAGAATAACATCAAACCGCTTGAACAGTTGCATTATCTTTGCACCGACGGAGTATTACATTGCTATATGTAAGGGGTATACAGATGCATTCCTTCAAGTTGGATTCGTCTGGTAAGGTCTGCATAGCTTTAATGGACTCCATAGCTGAGATGACGTGTAACATCCTGCCGCATCCAATAAGTTGAATTCGGCTTTGAGATGACATCGCACATCTGCCGGACTACCTTGATGCACAAGGTTCTCCTTGCATGAAAAAAGGAGTGATATGAATGGCTGAAGTGGAGCTGCATTCTAGAATAGAGAACAAAGGATTGATTGTGCCCCTACCTTCACCCAGTTCTCACACCGTATAGTTTTGGTCAATGGGGATCAATGCTTGAATACCTACGGCGCGGTACGAAGGTTTCTGATCTTGAGAACATAGCCTAGCCCAGAGACGAGTGGGGGTGTCAGGAAACTCACCAACACAACCCACAAGATTGGTCTCTAACAGCTCCAGCTAGCAAAAAGCAACAGGTCACGGCATTCATCGTATCTGGTCTAGAGTCGTCTTACCCCAAACTCCGTAATTGATTGGTTCGGCTCAGATCAGTGAAAGTTCTATGCCCAGTGGAAGATCGTTCCGGATAGTCAATTCAAGCCGTCGTACCTCAGCGACCGCGGAGGTCTTGCTGTATTGCTGAGAGTGTCTGTACTGATCATACTTCAGCCATAACCATGACGGCTATCGTCAAGTCCTTTTCGCATGTTGTACTGGACATCACCGCAGGTATAGCCCTTCATCTTCTAGTCCTTCGACATGGGGAATGGGATTTCGTCCTGCCGGTCATGATTGTCAAGTTGATTGGTATCTGTGTGCCGATTGTGGCCATTGGAGCACTGTTGTTTCATAATCGAATCGATATTTTCTGGGCTTGGCTATCAACAATAAGCCTGCGTGTCTTCAGAGTCACTGGAAGCCTCTGCGTGAGCATTTTGATATACCGATGGCAATTTCATCGGCTGCGGCGGTTCCCAGGACCCCTTGGATCCCGATTGTCGACTGCATATATTATGTGGAAATCTGGCACGAGCAGCAATGCCTTCGAGATGGTCGCAGACTATCACGAACAGTATGGGGACTTTGTTCGAGTGGGTAAGTGCCCTAGTCGGTTTCGTTCGCCTTCTCGCAACGGCGGAGGATATAGACTAACTCGAGTCAACTATTTAGGCCCAGCGGAATTATCAATCAAGCATCCAGATGCCATCGCTGCCATTCACTCTTCCAAGTCGTCATGTATCAAGAGCCCGTGGTATGACATATTACAGCCGCATCGGTCGGTGTTTGGGGCCCGAGATCGAGGGGAGCATCAACGTCGCCGACGTGTATGGGACCACGCATTTCGACCTGCTGGTAAGTGTGCGATACAAGCTTCAATATTTCCACAAGTGCACTCCCTAACCCGGCCATGTGCGGTCCTGTCTAGCTCTGAAGGAATACGAGCCCTCTATGCGAGCCTGCGTGAATCAGCTAGTTGAGAAAGTCAGCAAAAATGCAGCATTGGGTACTCCTGTCAATATGACTGAGTGGTTTGGGTGTCTTATGTTTGATGTAAGAGCCTCGTCTGAATATTGAGGTACTGCTAACCACTAGCTCATGGGCAGATCATCGGTGAACTTGCGTTTGGGGAATCGTTCGGCACCCTTGCCAACGGAAAACCACATTATATGATGCAATATCTGCACGACTCAAATGTGTCAACGGGAATAATGATTCGCGCGGTGTGGATTATCATGGTGTTCCGGACTATACCGATCATCAATAGAGGCTTGCAACAATTCCTGGATTTCTCCGAGACAGCAATGGAAAAGAGACTGAAGGTGACTTGCCTACTGATTTTGGAACTTGTTGGCTATGAACTAAGCAAACACCTATGCAGAGAACGGATCAACCGCGAGACGTCTTCGCTTGGCTTTGGAACGACTTTTCTGCCAAATCACCCCAGACGATACAAGCTAGGCAGAACCTGATCGCTGATGCTTCGTTGTCAGTGTTTGCTGGAAGGTACAGTGGAGCTCTAGAAACTTGACTCGATGGTCTTTCGCATACGGGATTCTAATATTTTTGCGATAATAGCGACACGGTAGCCATCACGATGACGGGGATCCTGTACTATCTCATGCGTTACCCAGACTACCAAAAGCGACTACAGGATGAGTTTGATGAGGCCAGAGAGCGCAACAATGGATCGGACGTTCAAGATCTTACAAATTTACCGCTTTTCAACGGCATCATCAATGAATCACTCCGACTTCATTACGCTGGCCCCTCGGGCTTTCCCCGAATCACACCACCCGAGGGGATACGGGTAGGGGAGACGTTCATTCCCGGCAATGTTAATGTCAAGGTCCCATTTTATGCTGTCTTCCGGGATGAGCGCAATTTCAAGCACCCCGATGAGTTCATTCCAGAACGTTGGTACAGCCGTCGCGACTTGATTCACCATCCAGAGGTTTTCGTCCCTTTCCTGATGGGGGCATACAATTGTGTTGGCAAGAATGCTGCTCTTATGCAGATCAGATGGACCATGTACTCGCTTTTCAGCCGGTTTGAGGCACAGCCGTCAAACAAGGACCAGCTCCAGCAATACTGGGACCAACGAGCTGATGGGTTCAGTATGGGGATTGGCCCTCTTTGGACTATATTCAAGGAACGGCCAGCACGGGGGAGCTCCACAAGTCACTGACGAGAGACAAAAAAATTTCCTGTGGGGATGCTTATGTCTACACCACTATCATACCAAAGCCTCCAATGCCTATGTACCCGTTTGTTCCCATATATTTCTGACAAGGGGATTAAAAGTCAAACATACAAAACCTACAAAACAATGCAAACACTTCTCATAATGTCAAGATATTCCTTCTGCCTTAGGTGTCATATTTGTAACCACGTTTGCATAATTTGCACAGGCTTTTCGTCAACCCATCAAACGCAGGATATCATTCCCAGCTTGGCCCACCCACACTTTGCTTGTTTTTTTTATGGACACTCTCAGCTCGGCATAACATACCACGCGATGCCGAAATAAGGTGACGTCGTATTCTTGGCTCATTGAAGTAGTATTCGGAAATTGGGACATAATCACAATTCCTAATGGCTAAAGAGATGTGATCTGTCATGCGCAAGTCGCTGATCCCTACACCGAATTCACTTCCACTCACATGTATCATTGAGTGAATAAGACAGATACATACTCTCAGGCGTGAAGAAGCAAGTATGTACCTGTCACGCAAGGGAAGGTCTCATGACCCACAACAGTGTTCACGCATCTTGGTCATTTTTTGGTTCGCTTGCTCATCCTGATTTGGGTTTGAGGTCTCAGATGATGATTGCAGGTCCTCCAAATGCCTAATTGGCCGTGGAGACTTTCACTGTAATGGGCGGTATCTCTCGCACATCAGCTGTTTTTAAATAAATTTGAATTATTGGTCTAAACCATAGCCTGTTTGGTTCTCATGCAGGCAAACTGATCGGTGTTAAGAGCGGAGGAACCCCATTGGACTAGAGCAACATATATATAAATACCTACACAGTGAATCAGACCATAATCATAACTGACTGAATCAACCTGATATCGATCTAAGACATAGACCCTACGCAGTAATCATGACTATTGAAGCGAAGACGAAAAAAGTTATCACAGTATTTGGAGGGACTGGTAATAACCTTCCTAAAGCTGCACGAAGTTATTCAAAGCTGACCGATACAGGAAACCAGGGAAGTAGTGTGGCACGTTCCCTACTGGCGCACAAGGATAATATTTTTCACGTCCGTGTTGTCACGAGAGACCCTCAATCCGAGAAAGCGCAAGCTATTGCCTCGCTTGGGGCAGAGCTAGTTCAGGCAGATGGACTTAACTCAGTCGAAATGGCCAATGCCTTCGCTGGCAGTTGGGGGGTTTTTATCAACACCAATTCCGATGATGAGGTAAGTTCTCCACCAATATTCCCATGTTCAGTGGGATATGGGCTTACTGAAGTTACGCCTCAATAGGCTTTGAAGTCATTAGATGGCCCCAGTGACTATGACCTTGGAGTGTCGGTAATCGATGCTGCGGAGAAAGCAGGCGTTCAGCATGTGGTCTATAGCTCTGGACCATCCATCACAAATGCCACAAAGGGCAGAATGCACATCGAAGGGTTTGAGAGTAGGTAAGAACCTTACCACTATTGCTACATGTACTGATCTCCCAAGCCAAATACCACGTTGAACAATATGGGCGCAAGAAAGCATTTGCCAGCTTCACTCCCATCCTGTGCGCCTCATTCATGGAATGCTTCTTCTACGATCCATTCGTGGATGCTTTCGGTGGTTTCCCTTGGAATCCTGACCCGGAGACAAATGAATTGGTCTTTCGAACCCCGCCATATGGTGGCAAGGGTGATATGCCCTGGGTTAGTTGTGAGGTCGACCTCGGGGATATCGTGCATGGCATCTTCTTGAACCCGTCCAGATACCATCAGGTCCTGGTTCAAGCAACTAGTCAACAGATTGCAATGCGTGACGTAGCAGAGGCATACACACAAGGTACGCCCTCTCCTCCTTCATTCATAGGCGCCCAGTCGTTTCATGTAACTAAGAGTCCCTACTACAGCCACTGGCATTCCTGCTCGATACGAGGAGATGCCATCCTGGTCCAGTATTAAGCTCAATGGTACGAGGTGCCGAATCGAAACGCGCCAAATGTTCTGGTACATGAACTCTTGTGGTGGCCGGTGGTTTGCCGAGCATGAGAGCGACATGTCGACCGCGACAGTCTTGAAAGACTCAGCAATGTCGGCTCGGGGCCAGAATGGAGGTCTCACTACATTTCAGACCTGGTTTAAGAAGGCGCATGTCCTCAAAGCCCACAATGTTTGATGCTTCAGAGATATGCTCGACAACTAACACCCTCCTCTCATGACGGCGACTGAAGGCAGCATGTTTAGATAGTGCTTACAATGTGCCATTCTTGTTATCCACTGCCTAGGCAAATTATGTGTCATACTAGATCCATATATAATCGAATGGTTCCTAACAAATGTCTTTCATTCTTTTGCTTTTGGATCAGAGGCAATGAGCTATATATAACTTGCGTACTCACAAAATCAGAGCATCGAAATTCAGCTACCTAACCTATTCTAGAGTTCAGACATCGTACACTTCATCATTCCTCTTTCTGGTATGCACTTACTCACTTGTATTCGTAATTTACTAAAGTTTGGTATATCTACTCATCCTAGTATCTAGAATAATGATCAATAGAATAGTTTTAATAGTCGTGGACCATTTCTCGAAATATTGTCTCTCTTCTTCTTTGGGCTGATATAAATTCATAGAGGTTGATAGAAGTATTCTAGGATACCGTCAAGATAAGATTGAGGTTACTATTTACAACGGGGCCAGGCTCGTTCCACCTGCTGTACTGACAGGGGGGTTGTGAAAATTATAGTAGTACTATCTATGTCCAATAATGTTATGGGGTCACGGTAATGAGCAAGGTCCGTGCCATTAAGCTGTGGTTCTATCGTCCTCGCTCAGGGCACAAGACCTTTAGGTTGAAGAAGGGTGAATCAAAGAGTAGTGAAATTAATGGCCAACCCGTATGTACCTATCTGCAGTGATAGGTCTAGGTGCGATTTCCACTGGCGCCCCTCGCAATGGCATGGGGATGGGCTGGCTGAGTGTTCGTGGGCCAGACTGTCGGAGTATTGTCTACGAGGGACCGCTACGCCACCCCAGCGAGCGCATGTCCCCATGCAAAATCTGCAAGGAGGATCAACTGCATAGAATTTGTGTTTTGTGGCATTCCTCAGTCCCTGGCGTCTTGGGGTAGCTCAAGAGCGCCACCGATCTGGAAAAGATATGTCAGCGAAGAAAGCTTGTCACACGAATGAAGGGATGCTTAGTAGAGGCGGTCAATTAATGACGGACGCATATACATCAATGTACACATCATATAAATATATGGTAACTGCTGCAAAACTATAACCCCCTGTTCCCACTTTGGAGGGTAGAACCGTATTTCTTTGGATGACCAACCCAGTATGGACAGCCCAGGTATTATAAGTCTCGTGTACTATCAGTTAGGGCGTTTCCCAGAGATCAAGGCTGTCGCTGGCTTTCTTGCTATCTGGGCGCTTTTCCGCTGGGTTCGCTACTATCGATCATGGGTATGTATCCGAAGCTACTCCGTCGATTTTACAACCATGACTAAACGAACCTCTAATAGATCGATCTACCCACCGTTGGGCCTAAGGGCTTTCTGGCGTCTAGATGGTCCGGGCTAAAGTGGCCCGCAAACTGTGACCAACTCCTTAACGAGGGATATGTCAAGGTTCGTTTGTAGCACGGAATAAAACCCCTATATATGGAAATAACTTACATGATCTCAAGCATGGCGATTATGCGTTCCAAGTACGGACACGGGACAAGTGGGAGGTGTGTGTATGCAACGACGACATGGTCCGCGAATACCAAGTCCTTCCTGATGAGTATGCATCTCTGGACGCCGTCAGTGAAGATGTGAGTTTCTACTTTTTATCAGAGATTATGGTGCCAAAGCAGTATCCTGACATATTGGTATCTACAGCTTTTTCAGACCATGTACACTTGTCCAGGCGTCGCGGACTCGCTTAAACACGTTCCCGTGGCGGCTCTCTCAAAGGCAGTGGTTTGGTCCCGAAACCGAACAACAGGGAAGCATTCGACATACTTCCAGGAGCTTGTTAAGGAGCAAGAATTTGGGTTGAAAGCCGAACTCGACGTTTCTCCAGGCGGTAAATTGTCCCCTTAGCTCACGAAGTGGTGTAGCTCTCAGCTAATATTCACATCTGGGATCAGAATGGAAGGAGTTCAACTGCCTCTCGGTCGCACTGGCATTGATGCTACGCATGATCGGCCGAGTGTTGGTCGGCAACCCACTCTGCCGGGACCCAGACGCCATTTCCTTATTCATGAGGTATGGCTCGGCCGTCCCGGTGAGTGGGCATCAAATTTCGTGGCTGCCACGCGTGTTAAGACCGTACTCAATCCCCCCAACCTCCTCTTTGAGACGCAGTTTATTTGGCTAACTTTTCGCGTAGCTTGTTGGGTCCCCGATTTGCCGCTTCTCGGATGCAAGTTGAATTGAGCAATCTGATAGTCGACGACATGATACGCAATGCCGGTGCAAAGGATGACCAGCTGGTCCGTGTTTGACATCTGAACCCCCTGTGATAATCAACCTAACAATGCCTACAGACACTTGCGCAATGGGTGTGGCAGTGGACAGAGCGAGAAACACCCGGCGAGTACACCCCATTCGATGTGGCTGGACTGCTAGTATCCTCCATTTTCGGCGCGGTGCACACTGCTGGCTCGGTACGGACACCTCTGCATATGTCTGAGTTTCAAGATGCTGATGGGAACCCAGGTGCTAACAAAGTCCCTCTATGAGCTCACTCAAAGGCCGGAGTACGTTGAAATTCTTCGTAGCGAAGTCGAACAAGCCATTCGCGACCATGGAGGGGTTGGGAGGGAATCCATCGAGGCGATGACAAAACTTGACAGTTTCATCAAGGAAACCTTGCGACTACAACCCGTGGGTCCAGGTAAGCTCCACCGCGCCTTCACTTTCTACCAGCAATCATGATGACCTGACCTTCTCCCACAGCCGCAGTGCATCGAGTCATGAAGAAGGACTACACCTTTAAGAACGGGGTAAAGCTACCAAAGGGAACATTTGTCTTCGCACCAAATACACAGCTACATATGGACGAGCGCCATTATGACCAACCAGAAGAGTTCGATGCGTTGCGATTCCACAAGCTCGGGCAGGAGTCGGGGAAACCCAATAACTACAAACTTGCTGGCTCCAGTCCTAAAACCCGTCAGTTTGGTGATGGAAAGCATGCTTGGTGAGTTTAATCCAGCCTTTGTTTATCAGCAGTTGCGCGGTCCAATGCTGATTCATCCTAGCCCGGGCAAGCAGCTCGCTGCGGATCTGCTACGTATCATCATGGCCCATTTCCTGCTCAACTTCGATATCCGGAAGTGCGACGAGGGCGCAAGCTACCCGCCAATGGAGCAACGAGGCATGTCGATTAAGCAGCGCACGTCTTCAGTATGAAGCCGTAGGATAAGGAACTTGACTATCCATTCGCCGACCAGCATGGCACTTGTACTATGTGGAGATGCTGAATTCAGCAATTAGGAGTGAATAATTTTGCTCGCCGCTAGCTAGTAATGGCTTTAGAGCACTAGGCCTAGAGACATCTCATTTTCGGGTCACCTCATTGTGTGTTATAGAACCTTGATTAAACCAGTATTATCTTTCCTCTTCTGACATAACTCTCTCCGTGACATAGGACGATCTCGAGCACATATTTCCTTATTAGGCTGAATGGGGTGTAAATATACTGCAAATATGTACTCCGTACAACATAGACGTACAAGTTTAGTGTTCCCGGCACTGGTCCATGAGGAGGTATCCAGGGGCCCGCATACCACACTGGGGCCGTATAGAACTGTCATTCTCTGCATACTAGATCCCACCGACTATGAATATAGCGAGCCAAACTCGACAAGTCACGCCATGCACGCTTCTCATCTGAAAATGCGGTGAAAATAACCGTTATGTACGGTCATCCATGGTGTGACGAAGTGAGATGTCAACTTCCAGCCCCTTGCAGGGCCATTGTTGGGTACCCATGCCCCACTCTCAGCAGTGCGTGCCATCTTTGAAGTGTCTTCTAGGCCCTGGCCAACTTAACTTTTCCCCCACCGATCCCCCCGGTGCGAAGCCCGAGACACGGTGTGCGTATGCATAGGCGCTGGTGAGTGTGAAGAAGGCCCCTCTTCATCCCACTGAATATTTCCAGTTCAATACATCTTGCTTCATCTGGAATTTCAGTAATCAAGAAAGTAGGAGCTTCTCATCCCTTTCTTCTATAGAACCATGACGATTTCTAGCGAGCGCAAGATAGTTACCGTGGTCGGGGCTACCGGTGAGCCGCACATATCCCATATTCCGTTTGACTTCATTAGGGGCTTTGTGAAATATCTTTGGCGTTGTTTCTAACTCGACTGGGTGTAAACAGGCAAACAGGGTGGTTCGGTTGCCAGGTCCCTCCTTCAAAATCCCGAGTTCCATGTGCGATGTCTCACCCGGGATGGGTCGTCGAAAAAGGCAAGCGAGCTTCGTGCATTGGGGGCGGACGTCGTGCAGACAGATGGCTTTGACGATAGTTTGACCCGTGATGCCATCTCTGGGAGCTGGGGCATATTTATTAACAATGGATATTCAAATACGGTAGTTTAATCCTGTCTTATGGTCTTCTATCCCCGAAGACCTGAGTTGGAACGGCCCAATTAACCATCACCAGGACGATGTGAGAGCAGGCCGGTATGAACTGGACTTTGGGAACCGTATTCTACAGAGCGCCGCTGCTGCCGGGATCGCGAACGTCGTTTTCAGCTCCCAGCCATCGGCAGAGGAGCTCACCAATGGCAAAATTCGCACCCCTGTTTTGGATGGTATATAAGCTCCCATAGAGTGGACGAAGGCAATGTGTTTTTGAGATATGCTGACTGATTCGCGACAGTCAAGGCATGGGGCGAGGCTTGGGGACGAGCAAACCCAGTCTTCACTGCGTTCACCCCAATCATGTGCTCTTGGTACATGGAAGATTTCCTCATGCCATCATTCTACCAGGGGTTCGGCGGGTTCCCGATGGAAAAGGATTCGGATGGATTGTTCACATTACGGAGTCCGCTACTTGGCGGTGGCGAGAGAGTCCCTTGGATTTGCATTGATGAAGATTTTGGCGACTTAGTTCATGGTATTTTCTTGAACCCGGGTCGTTGGAATCGTCGCACCGTCCAAGCCGTTGGTGATATCCTCTCCTTTGCGGATGTGGTAGACACATTCACCCGAGGTATGACATATTATTTCCTCCCATCTCTCCTTGCGCCAATGCGCTGTTAACATTGCAGTTACAGTGAGGAATCAACCGGCACGCTTTATCGGATATGAAGACCCGGAAACGTTCCCAGCTTTCGAGAAGCCCGAGTTGAAAGAGTCCAAAGATGTATTCTCCTTCTATCAAATGCGGGATGGTGAGATATTCGGGTGTGGAATCACCGAGTCTCAAACTGCAGCTGAGTTGAAGAGAGCGGCGACACAAGCCAAAAAGTCCTCTGGGGGCCGAGAATCCCTTATGACATGTGCGGAATGGTTCGCAGACGTCTTTCCACGGCACACGTAGTCTACAATTTACTCTACAATCAACCAGCCCAATTGATTTGGCAAAGGCTGTTTGTTCATTAATAGATGCCCAATCTTCTGTTTTCTCGCGATCCAAAGATATAGCCATCGAGAGCAGTGATTCTAAAGTTAATTAAAGCTGGTGACTAGCCATGGATGGACTACACGGCCCGATCCGCTATAGAGTTGATATGTGTGGGACCATACCTACCTACTACTAAAATCAAAAAGTATAAACATTATTAAGGGACTCCTCCATCTCATCGGCCGTTGTAGTATGGTAATGAAAGCCTACGAACCTGTTCTCGCAAATCAACACCTCAATGAGAGTTGCAATCAAATGGTTGGTTGATTGGGAGGTCTACAATTGGAATGGAACGGTACTGCAACGCGATAAGAATCGAGGGATGATCATTCGTCACGTAATATTGGATCCCTTGCATCTGCCTTGACATCGTGCAGTGGTACTCTCTTGATTCCTGCCATCACTGTCCCTTGCCTCTTCGGGTTTATTCGGTCATCGCCAGTTGCATAGTGGGGAAGGCGGGGGGAAGGCACGGCATGCATATTCTTGAAGCTTGATATTGGAACTTAGCTACATACTACATACCACAACAGCCCAGGTGAGACGGCCTTCTAATGCAATGCACACGCATGCACGCCGCAAACCCTCTTTAGGAAGTACTAGGTAATGCCAATACCAATAATTAATATTAATTGATTGAAAGTATGTACCTCTCACCTTTTTCTGTATCTAATGACTGTATGCATTTGACGAAATACTGTATCTTAGATCGGCGGTGTGCGTACATGTGCATTGCATTAGGGGATTTTCTCGCCCGAGCTGTTGTAGTAGATACGCCTGGCCGCCCCAGCGGAGCCCTTCCGTCATCTTTGGGGCCGTTCATGGTTATTAAAACTCCAAAATCTTGGACTCTGTGCCCAAGGTGGTCCACCTTACCCTCGGTCGCTCGTCATGGCATTCTGGTTGGCTGGTGTTATTGTGCTCTTCGCCCTCGGGCTGGGGCCTTACCTGTCTGATAGCTCTGGGTCTCAATGTCGGTGTGACCCGAGTGATGATTGCTGGCCCTCGCCGGCGGCCTGGGGCGCCCTCAATAACACCATTGGGGGCCATCTGGTGCAGTTACGCCCAGTCGGAGCTGTGTGCCATGAGACACAATACTCCAATGGCTCTTGCGCTGAGTTGATTCAAAACTTTCGCAACACCACATGGCGGGTTGAGAATCCAGGTAAATCCAATCCGATGCTCTAGAGTCCCCGAAGCAACTGCTGGCCATACTGACTTCCCGCTCTTCACAGCCGCGTTACAGGTACACACATGGGAACATTCGCGCCCACAGAAGCAAAGTTGCCACGTCAGTGACCCGCTGGAACTCGGCCAATGCAACCAGGGCCGCGTAGCACACTACTCGGCCTATGTGCAGTCCGTGTCAGAAGTACAGGAGGTGGTTCAGTTCGCCGCCTCTAATCGCTTGAGACTCGTCATTCGCAACACTGGTCACGACCTGGCAGGTCGTTCATCGGCCCCCAACTCCCTACAGCTCCATACCGCCGGTCTTAAAGGCATCCAGCATGTGGACTCGTTCACCCCTCAGGCTCCAGACGGTCGGTCAATTCCGTCAGAAGGCCCCGCCGTGACAGTGGGGGCGGGGGTTCTCACGGGAGAGCTCTACTCGGCGGCCGGAGAGGCGGGATATACAGTGGTGGGAGGAAGCTGCAGTACGGTCGGCATTGCGGGTGGTTGGATGCAAGGTGGTGGCTATGGTATTCTCACCCCTTCGCGAGGCCTGGGGGTTGACAATGTGTTAGAGGTTGGCGTTGTCACAGCACAGGTAAGTGGCCAGTTGGTCCTCCCTGAATCCCATATGGCTTATTCGATCCACTGTAATCACCGCTGATATATCGGGTACTTCAGGGAATCTATGTCACTGCAAACCAGTACCAAAACCAGGATCTCTTCTGGGCCGTTCGTGGAGGTGGCGGGGGCACGTTTGGTGTCATTGTGCACGTCACATTCCGCACCTACCCTGATGTGCCCGCCGTCGTATCGAAGCTGAATATCTTCAGCCCCCATGGGCCAGACTCTGCCTTCTGGGACACGGTCACCGATCTGCTCCAGACAATCCCCGTACTGGTAGATCGCGGCGACGCTGTTCAGGCATTTGCAATGCCGGTCTTGCCTGGCAATCAGTCATTCCTCACTATCGAGACCTATCTCATCCATGATTCCCATGCGGATGGCCAGGATATCGTCGATAAGCTAAGTAAGCGTATCGAGGACCGTGGATTGCCAGTGGAGTCTTCCGCCGAGTCCTTCGATCAATTGTCTACATATCTCGCGCTTCCAAAAGGTTTGGACCAGGCTGGCATGGGCATGATGACTGCGTCACGACTGGTTTCGCGAGATATGATGACATCTATCCAGGGGCCTTCTCGGATTAGCCAGACGCTCGCCCAGCTCAGCTATGGGCCCGGAGATGTGCTCAGCCTTGAGGGGATGGTTGGCGGGCCCGCGGTCCAGCGCAAAGATACATCAGACAGCGCAATCCATCCATCCTGGCGATCTGCATTGATGTCTCTGACTCTCGGTCGCGGCCTACCCTCAGATCCAGATTGGGACGCCTACGACCGTATCCAGGGCGAGGTGGCGATGACGCAGTTGCCGGTGCTTGAGTCCCTCGAGGAAGGAGCAATGGGAGGCTATTTGGGAATACCGTTCCCGTACGAACGCAACCCTTCTCAGGTGTTTTGGGGATCCCACTATGATCGGCTTCTGGCGCTCAAAGGGCGCTGGGACCCTGACGATTTGTTCATAACTCGATTGGGCGTGAGCTCGGAACGGTGGGATGAAGAAGGCATGTGTCGAGTGGATCGGAAGCAGGTTTACCTAAGGCAGTATTATGACTTTATAGACCGCGTGCGAGCATGGACAGCACAGATGGTACTCAAAAGCTAGCTGACTTGAATTATCATGCAGAGGCAGTTGGGCGCTCACATCATGTTCAACCGCTGGGAATCATTTTACTTTGGGCAGTGGAATAGATGCTGGCCTTCTTTCTGCTTCCATCATGGCTTCTAATGCAAATATAAAGAGTTTAGACAGCTATACAATTCAATTTCGGGTGATAATTCCATGAGTATCAAATAGCTTTGCAAGGTCTTCATCCTAACATTGCATGTAGTGTAGTTTTATCTATCTTATTTAAGAAGTTTCTCTCTACAACCTACGCCGTACGCCGGGCTTATACCAAGGTGATAAGAAAGCAGTTTCAATGATAAACATAGATATAAGGAACCCGAACAGGTATGTCATCGAAGTGACTTCTATTATGCCATCCTGTCTACAGAGAACTGTGGTAATAAACACTCAGATACACGCCTGTCTTCTCCGAATAAGCCATTGAAACATATTGTATCAAGTTTGAGGTCTCTCCGGATTCAAAGTTCGGGCTGTTTATTAGGCGATTAGCAGGGGTGGTCACCAAGGTATGCGATGAGGAGGGCAACGTACAAGTATCCTTTGACCGAATCGATGTAGCTTGCGGCCAGGTCATGCCATCCAATGGAATCGTAAAACTTGACAATCGCCTGAGCATTTTCCATGTCACTCATGCCGTGCATAATGAAATAATACTTGGGGTTAGGGAAGTCGGTACTCCCTGGCGCCAATTCGTAGCTCCAGATGCCAACGGCCATTTTGTCCTAGATTCACACAGTAAGTAATTGTAGCTGAGTATCGTTAAGGTAAACTTTGATCACCGACCTGATCCGAAGTGAGAAGCTGCCAGAATTGTTGAATGAACTGCAGTCCGCGCTGTGTGGTGGCATTCGATTCAAATCGACCGCCCAGTGTCCATATGTCTCGTAGCTTGGACCACGTCACGTCTTGAATCGTGTTATATATCTTGAGTCGAGACTTGGAAACTGTGGTGCAATCGATGCCGATGAAGGAATACTGGTTATACAACCCTGCACCCTGAAGATATTCATGGATAGTATCTAAAGCAGGGTAAGAGACCTCATCGCCGAGCGACTGCACTGCGTGGCTCAACAATTGTCTCAAAGAGCTGCCCGTCAAGTGTGACTTCAGTGCCGGATACAAGTAACACTTCACAGAGACCTCTCCGCCTTTGAGATCGAGCCCAAAAGATACTTGGTTCTTCATCCTGAGAAGATACAACTGATCCCGATCAACCTCGGCGGACTCCGCGGGAGTAGCAGTGAGACATCTAATCATATGGTTGAGGAACTTGGTGTCGAAGCCCTTGAGATTGAGTTGGGTCATTGTGTCGATTGCCCGGGTGATGGTGTCATGATTGATCGGGTCTGCTGGGGAACCCGACTTCTGGCTCACAGGTTCCCATCCAATCCGAGCTGTTGGAGGGCCGTGCTGCTGGAAGTTGATGCTGAACTCCACTGGAATTCCAGAATATGTGATAAAAGAGTCCCAGGTATGAGGATGTGGGCCGAGCCGAGGAATCAGAACAGTCCTATACAGCGTCATGTAAAGATACTGGTTTTGCACACTGTACTGGGCGGACTGAAGGACTTTAGCCAACAATGGCCCCGTCTTGTCCCACCAGGCCTGCTCGGTGGGGTTCTGGAAGGCGAAGCACTTCAAAGGTGGAATTGAGCTATCGGAGACATCATTGTCTCTGGTTTTCACCGATGAGATGGGAGGATTGACAGTCATGGTCGTGTTGCGTTTGGAACTCAGTTGCACAGCAGGATGGGGGTGTCCAGGAGACAAACTCGGCACTACAACATAGATAGATATGTACCTGTCTAGTCTCGTTGATCTTTTTCCAAAATTGGTCAATGCCGGTTGAGTGGATTTACTTGAACCTTGTACCCAGCTAATGCATGCGCTAGAAGTTTTCGTGTCCTTTGCCGACATCTCATTCTTTCCATTATGCATCAACGTGTAACCTGTAATATGCAAGGACTCGATCGGCGGTATGTGCTGTTCAGATATGACATAGTTGTGTGTTGCAGCTGTAGGATGATGCACGAGAATGTAGATTTATTGAGTGGCTACCAATGAGAGAGCTGGGCGACGAGAGAAGCTGATGAAGAAGCAAGCTGAAGGGGAAATAAGCATCGACTCTCTAGTTGATGGTAAGCAAGGAAGAAAAAGTGACATATCTGCATCGATATGCTATGACAGAGAAGCAGAGAGTTGATTCTCAAGCCACTGGCCGAGGTGCTGTTATAATTGGTCAAACTAGAGGTGGTCTACGACATAAGTGATACAATCCATAGTGACAGATATTCCTTATCTCATTCTAGATAGACATATTGACGAACTAACTCCCAAACTAGATTTATTCTCTCTAAAAGGTCTGCTCAACGGCTTTGTTCGGTCTCCTCTAATTTCAACCATGGGTATTCATCAGATGAGTGGTAGTAGACACTCAGGTAAACCCCCGTCTTTTCCGTATATGCGAAGGATATCCAAGATGTCAGGCGAGCTGTTTTACTCAAATCTCTCTCTGGGCTGGTCACAGTTAGCGGACCGATTGACGTTAAGTGGGAGAAGGAAAAGGGGGAGGGATGATATACAAATAGTGCTGCACTGTTTCCTCGTAGTTATCACCGTATTTGGAAAGCCCGATACGAGACAAAAACTTCGCCAAGCCAGTGATAACATTGTAATCACTCTCTCCGTGGATGGGAAAGTAAAACTTTGTGAGTGGACTGGCCTCGCCCTTCTTCATCTCGTAATTCCACACCATCGGGCTGCTGGTGGAGACTTTGCCGTCGTCAAAGCCACCATTAAAGTCACGATCCCCCTCAGACAGCTTGGTCAATTGCCAAAGCTCCTTCAAGTACTCCAATCCTTGTTGAACGACAGGAGACTTAGCCCGCCCACCGAGGGTCCAGATCTCCTCTACCTTGGACCAGACGACGCTGTTATGGGAGCTATAGAGTTTGAGGCGTGATTGGGCAGGGTCGACACAATCAAAGGACCAGAAAGCAAATTGGCTGTAGCCGTTGGTCTCTTCCAAGTAAGCGTGCACCATATCGAACGAGGGGATGGGGCCCATCCGCGCCGCGAGGGGTTGCATTGATTCGGCTATGAAGTTTCCGAACCCCTTCTCGTTGACAGTGCATTTGATAGCGGGGAATGTGTACCCCTTGACGGAGATGGTCTTCTCCTTCATGTCAAACCCGAAAGCGGCCTGGGAGGTCAGGTTGCTCCCTTCGATCTTCTTTTCCTTCAGCAGCCCTCTTTCGTGGGTGTTGACGGTATGTGCGTCCAAGAAGTATCGGAACAGCTCAGGGTCAAACCCGGAGATGTTGAGCTTTTCCAATTGGTTCAAGAGATCGACCGGTGGCTTTTGGTTGTAGGGGTCTTGTTCCGTCCCAGACGCTGCGGTGACGGGTTCGAATCCAATGCGAACTACCGGGTCAACGTCTCCTTTTTGCTGGTAGTTAACGCTGAACTCCACGGGGAGCCCGCTCCGGGTAATTGCGCTGTGAAATTCATATGGGTAGGGGCCCAGCTGTGGAATCAAGACTTGACTGTAAAACGTGAGAGCCTCCAGGCGGCGGGCAGGGTTATAGCCCGCCGAGGCAAGAATTTTGTCGAACAGGCGGCCAGTCTTCTCCCACCAAGCCCTCTGATGGCTATCGGTGAAGAGGTAGTATCGACTCAGCACATCAAAAGTAGTGGAGATGGGAGAAGTGGAGGCTCCCTTGGCCATCATGCCTAGGGGCACCTGGTTCTGAGCCGTTTCGATCGTCATGGTGACTTGAAAGTATCAGCACATGTAAAAATATCGATATAGCGCCAAGTTGTTCCGACCTGGGCTTAAAGTAGTTTTCACAGTAAATATAAGAGCCGAACAGGGCAAGGCCAAGACAGATGCCAACATTTGAAGTACGTGCTGCATCACACGAAGGTAGCAAGACCACGTCACGAACAGACATACCTGACCGATCCTTTCCTCCCACCGCTAGTCGTGATCGGTATCGGAGTGCCATGGTCGCATTGCAGCTTGACAGGCCATCTTAGGCAAGGGGTGATGCAAATACAATAATCACACTATGCATGGCCACATGTTTATTATACTCACAGCGTTGAGAATCACAACTTACACGTCACTAGATTGTATTTTTCACCGAATATTACGTCGCGGTGGGGATTCCAAATTACCAGCTAGGCTTTGCAATTTCCACGCACTGTATGTTTAATTGAATGGCGATCTGATACACTTGAGACAGAACAACCTGAGACTGTTGGCTTATCTCTAGGCGGGCAGGATCCAATGTACGCGATGAATGAGAATCGCCTCCTATTTACTTCTTCAAGCCAACAGCAAGCCCCCATTGGTCTCCAACACGGTCCCGGTGACAAATTGGTCTTTCATAAGATACAGGTAGGCTTGAGCTACACTCTCTGGGGTGCCGGCACTACCCACCAAGGACTTGTCTTTCGCCATTTGAATGGCCATGTCGTAGTGCGGGCCTAGCATTTCCCGCACGACCTCAGTTATAATCGCTCCCGGAGAGACGGCATTCACGCGGAGAGGCTTCAGATCGACGGCCAAACCCTTCATCATCGTCTCAACCGCTCCAATGTAGCCAGTAATGGCGGACCAGCCCGGATCAGGCTTGTGGCCATGGGCGCCGCTCGTAAGAGTGAGAGAATTCTCCGAAACTCGGTCCATGAACTGGGGTAGATATTTGGCGAAGATCAGTGGTGCCGTATAGCGAATGCGGCTTGATCGCTCTAGACTCTGGACAGTGATTTCAGTCAGCGGCGGTGGTGGAGGCATCATGTCTGCAGCGGTGATAATAGCATGGTTTATCTTCCCCCCGTTGGCGGCGAATCGCAGCACGGATTGCACATTTTCCTCCAGGTTCTCGGCGTCGGCGAGATCAATAGTAATCCCTCTCAGTCGTGTTTTGGAGCTTTGCGATGGATATGACAGCTTGAGTCTTGAGACAGCCTGCTCCAGTTTGACTGGGTTGGATCCAGCGATAATCACAATTGCATTGTGTTCCAGTGCGGCTTCTGCGACGGCGTAGCCAATCCCCGAAGTTCCTCCCACGATGAGCACGACTTTGTCGCCTAAGCGGCCCACGTATTTTCCTGCCTGGCCGGTCATCTTTATTTTCTTGGAGAATATGGACGATATTCCTTGGGCCTTTATCTCTAAACTCAAAGTCTTGTAATATCAAGATACGGTGTCAGCATGGTAAAAAAACCCGACATGGTACTTTATAGCATGTATGATTAGAGATCTAGGCCCTAAGGAATGAGACTCATCTGCAAAGCTGACATGTCTGCTGAGGATGATTTCATGTAGAATGCAAGGGTTAGACTGCATACATGTTCAGATGCGCGTCCCTTTTGGGATTAACCTTACTTTATTTTATACTGTCTACATGCACTATGCACCTAGCTGCAAGATATACGCGCTATGTTACTCTATTGGTTTTCCTAGAATACTACAGTGTTGATGACATTTATTCTAATATTTGTTTATTCTGGGATTTTATAATATATTAGTGATTCTGCTCTGGGAGTATAGGACCTACTTCAAGTAGTTCCTCAAGTTATATGACCTTAAGATGAAGGAAGAACAATACAAAACACCGATGGAAATATGAATAGAACGCACATAATACAAATCAATTGTAGAGGATACATAAAAGGTAAGATATAACTAAATAACTTCTTAGTTAACCAAAAGCTCCTTTCTTACCTGTTTAAGTACATCTATGTAGACGTCGGGCCCTTTTATACTTTCTCTTTACCCTGTTATACTTATTCATGGCTATAAACATCTAGATCGATCATATTTCTCAATGATGATTCATACATAAAGAAGTAGCATCGAAGAAATAAAATATAGACCAGGTCTTAGGGCATGGTTACAAATGTATCAATGTACCATATTGTGGCAAATCTACATAGTGGGCAGTACTTAGCGAATTTAGCTGTGCACAAGAGTACGAATACAACCCATAGCTGAGTGAGCAGTCCTCAAACATGTTAGATTTAACTGCTAATATAATACAGTTGATCATTAACCTGGAATATCATATTAAACTATGTATATACTAGCTACCTTGACTGGCCCAATGAATGACGTCACTTGCATGCGGTAGATTACAGCTTGTAGATTTATCCAATTCAACCCAACTCCTTTCTCCATGCAAAAACCAGCAAACCAAAATAGAGACCCCAATGGCCATAACTCCAATTTCAAACACTCAAGTGACCACTTGCCAGATTCCCGAGTGGCACCATATACCGAACACTTCAATCCAATCCAAGCCGCTCATGATATACCATGGAGCCTTTGATGCCACACCCACAGAGCTCGAGGAGCACCTGGAGGCAGTGGGCGAGGTTGTTCCTCAATGGGTATATAGCATGTACAGCCAGACCCACTTCCACTCCACAACGCAAGAGGTGCTCGGGGTCATCTCAGGGAGCGCGCGTCTTTGTTTTGGAGGCGAGGATAACCCCGAGCGATTTGAGCCGACGGTCCAGCGCGGTGATTTGATAATTGTACCGGCGGGGGTGGGTCATCGACTCTTAGAGGACATGCATGTGAACCAGGAAGAGTTCCAAATGGTTGGTGCATATCCACACGGAAAACAGTGGGATATGTGTTATGGGAAACCGGAAGAGAAAGCAAAGGTGCAGAGAATCAAGGATGTGGCGTGGTTCCGTCAAGATCCGTTGTATGGCGTTGACGGCCCAGCGTTGCACGTCTAGCTAAAATTGCGCCTACCCAAAATCAAATCCCGCTTAGATGGTATATTTAATCAACAGCCAAAAAATGCAAACACAACAAAACTCGGCTATCACTGTGCTACTCTTTCGACAAGCCTAGGAGAGTGTTAGAAAATGGAGTATGCCAATTATAGACAAGGGGACTTACCTGAGAACACTAATCGAAAATGTCATGAGCCAAGCCAAAAGTGCAACCAGCAATACGGAAGCAAGTGCCTTCTGTCGCACACATATACCATTATTTTGAGGATTGATCCGTTGGTTGACTTCTGCTTCAGTGCAGGCTCCTGTCACCTCGGAGAGTGAGAAAAAGGCCAAACTTAGATTGGCGGAATCGAAGACGATAAAGAAAATATCCAGGAGGAGGAGACGCGTTTTAGCCGAGGCAGAACGCAAACCCAACGGTTTTGACGTGTACTCATCGAAGGTGATGTATAGGAGGTAAACCAGGGCGACTGCATCGACGATGATTGCCATCAATGCAGATGGGCCTTGGGAGCGGTGCCCTTGATTAGCCATGTGCTGAATTGATCCACCCAGAGCTAGTGCAGAGAGCGAGAAGCACCAAACAGTCATTCGAAGAATCATGGGTACCATCGGGCTTCGCAGAATTGTGTTCTTGAAACGCTTGAACCAGATATCCCTTCGGCCTCCACTGTGTAGTGGATACTCCGGACTATCGCCCTCCAAGTGCTTTCCTCGCCATGGTTGCAAGTAATCACCGTGATTCTCATTCAACCATTCTGGCGAGACATGTTGTTCCTCTCTACCGGCTTCTCGGGGGTATTGGATGGTTCGGGAAAATGTCATCCAGCGTGATTCACGGTTGACGAATGGTGAGTCATCCTCAAACAGGCCGTTGTTGATCGCGTGAGTGGGTTGGGTCTTGGACGATGCGTAGGGCGAATGGTTATGCTGAGCGACAAATGCGCCATTTGGTTGGGAAGGGAGTAAGCGATCGGTTGCCGTAGCTTCATCGCCATCCTCCTCAGGCTCATCGACCGACCGAATCCAGGCTACAAAGATCTCATATTAGTGAATGCTCGTCAATTCAAGCTTTAAATGGGACCATACCAGGTAGAGATCGTAAGGCGGAATGTTGGGAGTACGCGATTTCTTCCGCTGTCTGACCATCTGTACGTGAAAGTGTTGAATCGGAGGTTTTATTGCGAACGGCAGACTGGATATCGACGCTAAGCTGGTCTGGCAGTGATGACTCTGGGATGGTCGGGATCTTCTCTGCCAGCTTCTCATTGAAGACTCGCCCCGAAGCGTTGTCTTTGGAGCTGTCCATGATAGGTAGAGAAGCCAAACTTGAAATTCGGGAGTCGCGGGAAACCTCAATCAACAGTTTGCCCGCGAATCCCCAATTGTTCAAGTTAGGAGTTCAGGGCAGGATGATCTCAGGACGAAAATGGCGCCGGGAATGACGTCTGGATACCTGCTTACTCCCGCGTCTATCCCTTTTCACCACACTAAAAAAGTGAAAAAAAACCTTCACACTATTTATTGTGAAGTCTTCTACTATTTCTATTTCTCTATCCTGAACTATTTGATATCTATCATCTCCGTTATCTCTTCTCGATTGTCAATTGTCTTAAGACATCCACCATGCGCCTCTTCCTAGTTCCGATCTCGACAAAACGAATCCTCATATATGCTCGACCCCTTAGCAAGGATTTAGCTAAAGAGCTTTCAATCATCGATAGGGTCACAACAAAGGCAGCCGAAACATGGGCGAAGTGGGAGGAAGCCGACAAAGGATGGAAGATGCACCTTGTTCGCTGGGGTAATAGTGTCCAGCAACGGATACCATACGAAGAATGGGCCCTCAAAAGCATTCCTTCATTCAAAACCCAGCAGCGAATTAATGGAGATCATGGAAATACCAAGATTGATGTGCTGTTCCCCGGTAATGCGGTGCGGTTGGACCGAATTCAGGATGTGTTGCGCAAGATCGCCACAGAGAGACAAGAACTTCACCGGAAGAAGATGATGTGGAGCTTGATTGCTGCGCCGATTACAGCACCTCTTGGGTTGATACCAGTGTATGCGAATGCCTTGAATCTTCTTCGGTGATTCGTTATACTAATACAGAGCAGGGTTCCGAATATTCCGTTTTTCTATCTGGCATACCGGGGCTGGTCCCACTGGCGCGGTTAGTTTGATCTTCTACAGTGACGTGGCCTATGAAACTGACGAGAATCTACATAGCATTGAATGGCTCAAAACATCTAGAACTCCTCGTTGAAAAGAATATCCTCAACCCCATCTCATTACCGGAGCTAGAACAGCTATATGCCAAACGCGCATCTGGAACACTCGAAGGTACTACGACCGAGACACCATATTCCGAGGTTGCCGACGACATAGAACAGAGTGAGGATCGGGTCCTGTTGAAGATGTCGGATGCCAAGAAGTTGGCTACAATCTTGGATGCACCGGAGCTTGCGCTGGAAGCCGAACGAGCGATTATTCAAGTCAGGGAGCAGCTGGAGGCTGCAGCGAAGGCTAAACAACAGGGGAAAGATGAGAAGAAGGATTCTTAACGCCGAGGATTTACCCACTATATTCTGGGGAAAGGAGATATCGAGCTCTTCTACTCAATACGGAGGTCATTTACGATAATGACAGGAACGCATCAGATTCCAATAGATATAACCATATAGACGATAATTATTATAAAGACTTCCATATGAAATACAAAGAAGAATTACATTGTGAGTCCAATGACCTCAGAGCCCCTGACGGAAGTAGGTAAATCCGAGTCTCTCCCCCCATTGTTCCCACCTCATCCACCACCCCATTCATCGGAGCTCCATACATCATGTCTGCCAAAAAGATTGAGCAATGGGAGATTGAGCGATATTGGGAGATTTTCGCCTCATTATCAAATGGCCAAAAACACCTCAACAGCTCCCAAGCCGCCTCCGTGCTGAGGAACAGCCGGCTGAGCGATGACCAACTCGAGAAGGTCTGGGACATTGCCGATGTCGACGGAGACGGGGAGCTGGACTTTGAAGAGTTTTGTGTTGCGATGCGCCTGGTCTTCGACTTGGTCAACGGTGTAAGTGACCCACCCTCTCAAATCACTAAATCGCTCTAACACGGCATCTTTACACAGGAACTCCAAGATGTCCCGAATGTCTTGCCAGATTGGCTAGTCCCAGAGTCCAAATCACATCTCGTCCACGCGACCCGCGCACTGAGCAGCGGACAAGAGCAGTTCGAACGGATAGAAGACGAGGACGACTCGCTCGGTCTGAAGGACGGCTTTGATTGGTATATGAAGCCCGACGACAAGAACAAGTACACTGAGATCTACGACGCCAACCGGAACGCGCGCGGCCAAGTAGAATGTGAGTAACCCGTACAGCGCGCTGTGCGCGCCCAGAAAAATCCCTCGCTGACCACGCCCCCCAGTCCAACAATTACAACCACTCTACGAATCGCTCGACGTCCCCGACACCGATGTCCGCTCCGCCTGGAACCTAGTCAACCCCTCCGCATCACCCGCAATCAATAAAGATGCCACACTCGCTTTCCTGCACATCCTGAACTTCCGCCACGAGGGTTTCCGCATCCCACGCACCATCCCCGCATCGCTGCGCGCCTCATTCGAGACAAACCAGATCGACTACCAAGTCGACAAGGCCCGGCCCGCACAGCGCTACGGCGCAGACGGTGACATGGAAACACGGACGGGTCGTAAGGCCAAGTTCGGTGATACCTACCTTGGCCGTCTGGGAGTTGGCGGCAAGGGATCTTATCAGCCTAAGGGAACCGATTTCAGCGACACAATCCAGGATGAGGAGTGGGAGAAGGTGCGGCTGCGCCGCGAGTTGGCGGAGTTGGAGAAGAAGCTGGAATCCGCCACTAAAGCATCCGACTCTCGCCGGGATGGGCCGCGCCATGATGGCCGGCCCAACTGGGTTCTGATTAAGAAGGAGGCGCTTTCCCTCTTGGAGTATAAAGAGCGGGAGTTGCGGGAGCTGCGTGAGGGCACTGGCCGTGCTAAGGACGGTCAGGAATTGGAGCGACTTCGGGAGGATGTCAAAGCTGTTGGGGAACAAGTGGACGGGTTGAAGAGCCACATGGCCCAACGGCATGATGTCCTTTCGGACCTCCGCCGGCAGATTGAGGACGAGAAAGCTCGGCGGTGATTGATTACCGAGTGAATATGGACTAGCGGAATCTTTGGTCTAATACCTTTTGTTGCTTATCTTCTTGCTATGGCCCCTTTAGCTGCACATATGTCCTACCTTGTTGATTCTCGCGAACTATCATGTACAGCCATTTTCTTGTTAGGGAGCTTCAGGCGTCAAATGGATATCTTTGCTTTTTCATTCTCCCTAGTGCAAGAGACATTGAAATAATTTAAGTCATGGTACAGGAGTGAGACATCCCGGTCTATGTTCTAGTACTTCACACATGGACAAGTCATCCATCATATATTAAAGCCAACTAACTCAGTCAACCCATCATAAATCAGGTTGTTATAGCCAAGTAACTACTGGACATCATCCGGTCCATAGCTTGAATGGGAAATAAATAGAGAAAGTAGACAGCCATCAAAGACAAGAGAGAATGCCCTCGCCCAAGATTGGGCTTTAGTTTAACTGTAACAAACGCAGCCCCATTCTGACGGAGCTCGAGAGCTCTTAGGAGTAAGTATCTAGGTGGATCACATATTAGCTATAGGTCTATACTGTATATGCTAGCGCTACAAACTAGACCCCCTACATTTGCCCCTGGGAAATAGCCACTTTGGATGCGCCAGTATTTCTATCATATAGCCCATTCCGCGAGCTGCCGGTCCCCCTCCACACCCTGGTGTTGGGCCTCGGCCCGATTCTGTCCAATCATCAAGGTCTATCAAGATGCCTCTCGAGCCTTACTGGCCCGGGGCATATATGATGATAATGTTCTGCGCAGACATGTCCTAGTAAAGAGAATCTTGATGCAATATCACGCGTACCTATTTTTTAGAGTTTAAGGGGAAAGTTCGTGTATCGTGAAACCGCGGTGGATAAATAGGATTATTTGTGGCCGGCATCATATATATCTCCATAGATTCTCCATTGTTTCTCCATAGTTTATTTCTACCCCCGTAGCCGTTAGTGGAGTCAGCTAAAAGGACGTCAATTGGGACATGCGGGGACACAGTTTGAGAAATAATAATAATCGTCGACTTAGCTGGCTGCGATGCTGATTGTCATGTACCTTTTATTTCGGTTGGTGGATCTTGTAATTGCGTTGATAGTTTCAAGCTTGCAAACACAGCCACAATGCCAATGCTTAGGAGTTCTTGGCTTTTGTCCCATTCACTAAGACTGTGCCTTGGTATTGGTTAGATATCTGCCAAGCCGGAGAATCAGTTGTTAGAAAATGTCTTATATTCCGGCGGAAATGTAGAGATAGAATTCATCCAATCCGAATTGGGACCTGGACCCTGCGTAAATAGTGGGATTCGCGTGGAGTAATGCATCAAAATCCATCCAGTCAGATGTCGCTGAATTTCTTCATGGATAATGTGGAGTCCGAAGTTGTATATGCCACTTGAGACAGTACGGAGTAAATCCTGTCTTGTTATGACCTCCAAAGGTATAAAAGGCTACCCGTTGGCCCCTCGACTTGATCAACCATCAATTCAGCAAAATGCATTCCAGCGCTATCATCCTCGGCCTCATTGGCATTGCCAGTGCCCAGACCCTGAACATCCCCTCCCGCGTGGGTAGCATTGTCTCTTTGCCTGCTCCCAGTGTGATCAAGGGCAGTGTTGATCTCGGAAATCGGGAGTACGATCGTGGCCGTCCCTGCAACAGTGATGATGATACCGGTATGTCCACATAGAAAAAGATTCCAAATGAATGGAGCTAATTGAATAGGTGATGCCAACGCCGTGTTCATCTTGCAAGATGGAGCGTCGCTGAGCAACGTGATCATTGGAAAGAACCAACTCGAGGGCATCCACTGCAAAGGATCCTGCACGCTGACCAACGTCTGGTTCCGTGATGTCTGCGAGGTGAGTCCCACAGATCTCTGTCTGGTCTGTTAATGCTAACGTACCCCCTATAGGACGCCATTTCCATCCTCGGAACCGGAAATGCCCTCATCAAAGGTGGAGGTGCTCAAGAGGCCAAAGACAAGGTGGTGCAGCACAACGGCAAAGGAACCGTCACCATTGATGGATTCACTGTGGTGAATGCAGGCAAGCTGTATAGATCGTGCGGCAACTGCAGCAGCAACAAGAGCAAAAGCCCACGGAAGGTGGTGATTAAGAACGTCAAGGCCAATAATGTGGCTACCTTGGTCGGAATCAACTCCAACTACGGCGATACCTCGTCTGTCAGCGGCACGTGTGGATCCGGCGTCAGCCATGTGTGCCAGGAGTTCGAGGGAGTGGATAAGTCAGAGAAAAGAGAGAGCCCGAAGCTGAAGACCACTGCTTCGTGCAAGGGCCAATCGTCTATTTCTTCTTGCTAAGTTCGAATTGGTCTCGATGGAAGAGGGAAAGGATAAGGAGGAAGAAGGAATATGAGAGGAGGTTGTGGGCAAACAGATAGGGAGGTCATTCCGCTTAGACTAGCTATCAATCTCATAGAAAACAGCGTTGAAAACCCCGAAAGCTTCCTAATAACTAGTGAATAGCAACACGGCACGGTAACCTTCTAATCCAACTGTTCGATCTATCAGATTTTCCATTTAACTATTTTGCTGTAATAACGCATAGAATATTATACTTCCGCACTGGCCGGATCTGACATACCGGCGTTTTCTTAAGGCTCTCTAGCATATTTTTGATACCATAAGATCTCATTGCCCTGCTGAAACAGATCGCACAATGTCGAATATTCAATCTAATACGGTAGGCAGAGAGTCTGCGAAGTCAAGTAAACTGAGGCGGCCCTAGGCGGCTCGGATGTTAATCCGATTGAGGCTCAAGAGTCAAGGGTATCCACTTCCGACCGTTGACCCACTCATCCACTCATCTCTCTTTCATTTCTTTTTATTTCCCACCAATATGCTGCCTGCTAAAGCAAGAGATGCGCAAGATACTATAAGAGTTGCATCTCTGTTACAGTTGACTGGACTTTATTCTTAGATGCCATCAAGAGAGCTCAGAGGGAGTTGACGCAGCTCTCCCCTTGCCTGGTGGAGCAAAGAGATAAGGAGTATTTTGTTCTCTGTTCTTTAAAAATCACCCATCGATATCTTATGCTAGTTCTACTGTGTAGCGTATACGATATCTCGGTCATATAAGGTGTTATGGCAGTAGAAGGCGGGCTATATTGGGAGAAGTGGATCGAATTAGAGAACACTTTTCAGATGTCTATGTATCATATTACCATCAGCCGGTTTGTCACGTATTCCTGTTGCTGTTTGCTGTTTCCGCCTCTAAATACACCGTACTTATATTTTTGTACAGCATAGCTTAGGTTATTCGAAAAAGGCCTCAAGTAACGGCGAGTACTAACCAGCCTCGGTGTAGGAAACCTCCAAAGGTCCAGTGGTAACAGAAGATAAGGCTAGGGAGTTTCAGGCATATGAAATATTGGATATTCTTTGCATTTGTATTTCTGATTAGTGCAAGAAGCAAAATAATCTAACATATGATACAATAGCAAGGATGTATCACCAGAGACATTGTTACAGTCTAGTACTAGACATTATCCAGCTTATAGCTTGGATGAAAGCAAGGAGATACAGTACAGTCATTGAACACCTCAAGAGAGAATGCTCTCACCAGAATCGCGCTTCGTTTCAACAGCAATAAACGCAGCCCCTTTTTTATCCAAACCCTTCTCAGCACGCAGGTAAGCCTCTTCGGAACGATCGGTCAAGATGTCCAGATCTTCATTCGACAAGATCGAGGCAGGGTCAACACCGACTTCGAACCGCTCGAACTCATTCTGACCAAGAACCTTGCGCAATTCGTCTATATCCTGGGAATTCGCACTGGGGTCTAGCAAAGAGCGGAATTTGCCCTTCTGAATCACCAGACGCTCGAGACGGCGCTTGGAATCCGCTTTCTCAAGGAGTGTCTGCTCAACGGTACCCTTGGTCGCCAATCTGTAGATAATCACTGGCCTGGTCTGGCCAATGCGGTGAGCTCGATCCTGGGCCTGGAGATCCTGCTGGGGGTTCCAATCCGAGTCGAAAATAATGACGGTGTCGGCGGCTGTGAGATTGATTCCTTGACCACCAGCTCGGGTGCTCAGGAGGAAGAGCTTGTGACTTTTCTTGGTATTAAAATCTTTGATCTGAGCCTGGCGATCTGATTGTGCAATGGCGCCGTCGATTCGGCAACACTCCCAGGAGCGGAGTGTGGTTGCCCACTCTTCAATGATATCAAGCTGTGTCTTGAACTGAGAGAAAATGAGAATCTTATGGTCTTTCTTAAGCAAACACGAGACCAAGCGGTCCAACAAAAGCATCTTTCCGGAGGCGGAGACGAGTGTTTCGTCTACAGAGGAGGACTCGTCCATCCACGGCCAGTAAAAGTTGTGTGGGGAGTTGCAGGCAAGACGAGCCTGCAAGACGGGGTTTTGCATCTTCTTTTGCCCAATCTCTTTCTCTGCAAGACGATATTAGCAACACGGCTAGGGGATGTGATTTGAAAGTGACTTACTAGCAAGCTTCAGATTCTCAGCCTGTTGCATCTCTTCAAGCTCAGTATCGCTGGGCTCGCTCTTCTTTTCCTCTTCTTCAATTCCCAGCTCGAGTTTGCGCAAATGCTCATCAAATTCGCCTTCGCTTAGATCATTGTAACTCTGACGCGTGCTGCGTCGGCGACGGCGGTCAGAGTTATTTCCATTACTAGCCGGCGTGGATGTCCCGCTAGATCTAGCACTCTTGACTGGCGTTGCATCATCGTTGCCATTCCGTTTGCGCTTCGTACTTTGCGAGCGTTTAGAGCTGCCATTCTTAGTTTCCAGACGCTCCAGGGCCTTTCCCTCGAGGTACTGGCGGCCTGTACCATTGATGATCTCTCGATAGAGATCTTTCTGTTCAGGGGTCAGAGGTGCGTACAAAATGTACTCCCGCTTCTTGGGAAGCGTGGTTTCCACGTCTGTTTTTAGACGACGCAAAAGGAAGGGTTTGAGGATGGCGTGCATGCTGGTAACTAGGTTACGCCGGCGTTTTTCAATAACATCTGCCTGGCCCTGGTTGTCCAGCACAGAGGAGAAATCAAACCAGCCCTCAAAGGAGTTGAGATCGTTGAAAACCTCAGGGAGCAAGAAATGTAGAAGTGACCACAACTCTGAGATATTGTTTTGAAGGGGTGTTCCGGTAATGAGAAGACGATTGGCTGAGTTATAGGTCAAAAGCTCTTTGATGAGCTTGCAATTCATGTTTTTGAGACGATGACCCTCATCCTATACATTGATTAGCGTCTTATAAATGAGAAAAGATTGAGGCAAACATACGACAACGATGTAACGCCATTGATATTGCGCCAAGAACTTCCGATCATTCATGCAAATCTCGTAAGACGTGCAGACCACCGGGAAGTCCATGTCTCCCTGGTTTTTCATCTTCATGAACTTGTTGCGCATGGCAGCGCGCTCATCTTTGGAGCCGTGGTATAATATGGTTTTAATGCCCGGTGTCCATCGGGCGAACTCATCTACCCAATTGCTCACCGTACTCAGCGGTGCTGAGATCAAAAATGGCCCTGAAACGTTCTTCTCTTTCAAGAAAGCAATCATTGAGATTGCTTGAACGGTCTTTCCAAGACCCATCTCATCGGCAAGAATGCCACAAAGCCCATTCATCCATAAAGTCTTCAGCCACTCGAGGCCTTCCAGCTGGTATGTTCTCATTTTGCCACCAGTCACAAGTGTTGGCTGCTGTGTCGCGACCAAGTCCTGCTCACCAAGAGCTTTGGGATTCGCTTCGTAGTCATCTGCAGCCTTCTCAAGGGCTTGCTGCACAGAGGGGTTTTCTTCAGTCACTTCCACATCGGCCTTTTTAAAGTAACTGGAAATAGGGTTGCCATTGGCGGCCGCTGCTCGCTTAGGACGGCCTCTGGTGGATGCCGAAGGCTTTTCGGCATCCTGTCCACCGGTTGGTTTGTATCCCTTCTCCGTCGCATCTTGGTTTGTTCGAGTTCGAGTGGTCCGGTGAGCAGGTTCAGGGGGAGATTTGGATTTCTTCTCACTCGCGACAGTTTGCTCGTGGTGCTTGATTGCCGCCAAGCGCGCGTCTTCTTGTTGCTTTTTCATTTTATCTGACATGATGGCGACAAAGACCTGCAGGTACGAGATGATATCAGACTACTGTAGTCAGATAAGACGAGGATGGGATGGAGACGTACTGAGCTCGTTTTCAACAAGTGCATCAAGGCCTTGGCCTTGGTATCCATCTCCTCAATGTCATCTGAATCAGTCAAATCTGCTTTAGAGTTGTCATCTTTATTATCAGAAGGCTTCGAGTCTTCGGCCTCAGTCGCCTCGGTCAGTGGCGACGAAGGAATGACCGACTCAGGCGCCGTAGTTCCCGCACGGGAATCCGTGGGAGTGGCTGTCTCCTCAGCAGACATCCTGTTTAATAGAATAGAGTAACAAAGTAAAGCGAATGATCAAAAGCGAGCACTTGATGATTGGAGATGATACGTCATTCGAAGGGGTGAAGAAGTTTTCGCAACGTCAAGTTTTGCTAGGGGGCGAGGGGTAAACGAATGTAATAGCACAGACTGAGTATACACGAGTTTCCGAAAAATCGACACTCGTACTTCAGACAGACCCTGCGCACGATTGGATGTTGGTTTGTGATATATCCAAGATCAAAGTATGATCGCGTCCTCGACGCGGCATTTTCGCGTTCAGCGCACGGACCAGGTTTAGATTAGACCCCCTGGGAACTACTTAGACTTGACTTCAGCATCATTCAAGACTATCATATATGAATATTATCATACAAATAAAGCGTACACAAAGTTTGAGATGAAGAAGATGGTATCATATCCTTGAGCTCTTGATTGTTTCTTGAATATCGCTTTGGATCCCTCTACTGCGAAGAGGAACAACCCTCCGTCGGCACCAGCATCACATCATCCATGGACACATCAGTAATCGAGCTGATGTCACTCGGACTTTGTTGCTCATCAGGCTGCTCTTGCTCGTATTGCTCGGGCTCGCTTCCTTTGGGTATCAAAGGAGGCTCATAGCAGATAAATTCATCCATGAGGCGGTCAATGCTCATCTTGGTCATTCCACGGTACGCCCGGGCGAAGAAGTCCGAAGGCATGTTTTCTTCGACTGGCTGGGTCACTGGAAGTGGCTGAGGGATTCCATGTCTGGGACTGATTCCAACGCCCACGCCATTCACCCGGAGGTCTGGCTGGAGGTTGTACCGACGGCGCATCGCCTCTGCTTGAACCTGTATTCTTTCAAGCTGGGCCTGCTGGATTTTTTGCCGATACTTGGATTGAATCTCGGATGGGCTAGAACGTACCGAAGGCCAGTTCTCAGTGAGGACTCTGCTGAAAGGCCTAGCTGGTTGCTGGAAAATGGGCTGGGCGTGACTCACATTCCGTGGCCCCCTAGACGGTGTTTCTTGTGGAAACTCCGGCGGAGGTGACTCTGGCATGGTGGTCACTCGTCTTGGAGAGGTTAATTGTCGGGGTCTAACACCGATTTGCTCGTATTGCTCGATTTGCGCGGCGTTGTGTGAACCGAAGTTCACCTTGACCATTCCACCGAGTCGGGGTTTTGTGGTGTCCCACGACAAGTCCGGATTCTGTTCATAATACCTTCCCCAATTCATTATGGGTTCCGGGTCAGTGCTTCGTCGTACTAAATCCGTTGGGTTTATTGTGCCGCTCATACCAATGCTATGAATGAATTCAGTCTTGGTGCTACTGATTGGGTCCAGAGAGGGATCGATTGTGGTCTCGATATCATCAGGAGGCGGACTGAATCTCAGGTTCTCTTTCCATTCGAACTTGTCGGGTTCATGGCAGCTTTCCTCGGATTCTCGCAGGACCACCAGGCTGTCACCCCAATCGCCAGCATATCTTCGAGGTAGCCCGTGCTGATGCAAGTACTGTCTGGCTTTTAAGACATCATGTGCTTGACACATCAAGAGGTCCGTGTACTTGGTCACAAATAGATTCCGATTGGTGTCTCGGGCGATCCTTTTCAGCACCAGTTGAGGTGGCGGCTGGAAAAGCTTCAAGTCACTGTTATCAATTCTCATGAGCGCCTTGCGCTGCTTGAGCCGCATCTGCTCCAGTCTTTTGTTCTCCCGCTCGATCTGTTTATTGCGAATGCTTATGACGTGCTTGAGCTCCGTTCGCTCGTCTGGCCCAAGGCCAAGAAGGTCGCAAACACGTCTCCAGCTGTGATATCTCATTGTGTTTTCGATGATTTCAACTTGCATAGCTTTGTGCAGATCTTTCCATTTTGGGTTAGGGATCTAAAGCAACGACTCACATCAGACTCGTTCAATTGCCCTGACACAGAAAAAGTTCACGATATACTTACCGTATCAAGGAGTGCCTGGGTCGCATCTGGGAGTGTATCGTCATCACTATCCGGAGAGGTGACCATGTCCTTTGGATTTGGCGCGGCATGCATACGAGTCATGCGCGCCATGTTCATGTTCTTCGCATACACCGGATTGTCCATGTTGTTACTGGAGACGTGATTCTCGAGCTGGTTCATTGGTACTCGTTCAATCCCAGACGCGGATGATGGAACGATTGGCGTTGACCCAACATTGCGGGGATTAGGTGCAGAATCCCTTACTTGTATGTTCTGTTGGCTATCGGCAACGGCGTAATTCTCCTTGGAGGTTGTGGAGTTACGGCCTGGCTGTTCTCTGCTCAAACTGGGGAACGCAGCTGGTGGTAGCTTGGGGTTGAATGGCACAGTGTTCGTCCTGCGCCTCTTTTGTGGGCGTGGCCTGCCTGATTCACCAAGCTCCATGGAGTCGTCAAAGCACTCATCGTATCCGTGGCGCAGCGAGATCCGTGATGGTGTTTCGAATTCGTCCTCGCCATATCGTACCGGCGCGCGGATGCTGTCGCGCAGTTTCATGCCGCTCATTTTGGCGGCGCGTTGAGGTGAGGCGTGAGGTATGGGATGAGGGGTGATGCGCTTGATGGTTGGTGTGGTGTATCGATCGTAGGTACGTGTTAAAGGTTAATGGGAAGCATGCGCTCATCGTAGGGGTGGGATGGGTGATCAGGGTGGGGTGGTCGAGAGATAGAAGGTTGGTCGCGCGAGATGAAAAAGAGAGGAGAAGGGAAGATCGGGGTCGCTTTGAAGTCACGCAAAGCCAGCGCGAGTCTCGAACTCTGAGATTTGAAAGGAAAACACAAGGTAGGGGCAAATTGAGTCGAGAGTCGACAAGGTGGGTTCAAACGTTGGGTCAGATGCTTGAGGGCATCAACCAAATTGTGCACGTCTTGAGACTTGCCAAATTCTGATATTGACCCCATCATTGGTTTTCCTATGCAAAATGCAGACACGATCTACCTTGAAAATTTCCCATGTTCATGATCTTACGGATATGAAGGTATAAGAGCCTAATGGCCAGTGGATGGCTTGGATATCGGGAAGATAGCATCAATGAGCAACTGCAGCTGGGTATTTGCATACAAGAACCATAAAGCAATAAAGCAGACAAATAAAGCAGATATAAAAGAAGATCAGACAGCCGCCCCTATTCTACACAATGTAGAGATTCCCTCCATTCCCGTTCCTTTTCAACATATCCATCTCTCTCTCCATCCCCATAGCCGATCACAATTCGATCGAAGATACTCGCAACACATGAATCCAGTTCCCTCTAGACCATACGGTCTTGGAAGGGAGCATTCGGCTTTCGCTCATAGAAGGGGTCCCCATCCGCATCCATATCCATTTCACCCTCCCCCACGGCAAGGTCGTCATCTCTATGATCTTGAAAACTTCGCTTCTTCGTAAGCATTGGCGGTGCGGATGGAGGCGCAAGAGTTGCAGCCCCACGAACAGTAGTCTGTTTAGCACGCTGAACATCCCGCTTAGCAGAAAGAATGGACTCGAAAGCGGCGAGGATGCATTTCATATTGTCCTCGATTGAGACACAGAAACGACGCTGCTGAATCATGTGGATGGCTTCAGCGGAGTGAACATTAAGCATGACCATGACATAGGCAATGACGGCACCAGCGGAGCGTTCATTCCCGGATTCGCAAAAGACAAGAACTTTCCTTTTCTGTTGTTGACCGTTTGAAACCATCCCACTCGTTCCAATATCCACACCAGCCAGGTGATCATTGATGCGGCGGATAGCGCGTGGAAATGCAGAAATGAGCTCTTGGTTATCAAGGACATCAATCGTGTCCGCCATAATACCGACCTCGGCGGCCGCCTTTTCGCCAGAGACGAGGCGTGCCAGGGCAGAGTGGCGACTTCGAATCGCGAGAAGTAGTGTGAACCCTTGGCTCCGGATGTAATCGGTATCACGGAGACATGATGAAGGGCCAAGAGATAAGAATGGAAAGACGGATTGGGCTTGGCGGCGCATATCGTAGTTCCACTGGGAAGGGTTGAAGCGGCGGGTAAACCCACCCAGATCGACATGGTTGAAAAATCCTGGGCAAACAAAGTCTCCCTCTGCAAATTCGTGGGAGTCGCGGTCGAAAATTTTCGTGTCCACGATTACAGTGTCATCATTGCCCGTGCCTGACAACCCAAAATAGGCTGGCCCGAGAGACCCACCTACGCGCATGGCGTTTGGATATCGTGGCGTAGCTGTGTACTCTTGGGTGCGGACATAATGAGACTGCTCGTCGTGAGACATTGGCACTTCTCTGCGTGAATTGCCGTTGGACATTGTGTTTTGCAGGCCCGTGGACCGGCTGATGGGCTCCGATGTAATAAGTATCAAATGCTGCTAGGTTGACTTATTGGCAAAATGGTCAAATATGTCATAAATCCAAGCAGAAAGATTGCATGTATTCAATTCTCGAGGTCACTAAGAGCGAGACACACTTCCTTCCATGTAGTGGAGGTGCAGGGAACGAATGTGTCAAGTTGAATAACCCTAGCAGAATCGCTTGAATTATTTTTGCGCAGATAGTATGAGCAAAGTGATTGTATCCAAATATTAGACTTCAATAGATTCAATGACATGAATGGCTTCAAGATTGCAACATCCAACATCTTCTATGAGGGGAGAGGCTGGCTGCGCGCGGCTCCGCGTCTTGATTAGGTAAGACGCGAATTCCTCCAGGGCTAGGCAACATTGGTTTCCGGACCTGGGCTCTTCCATATATTCTCTTGACTTTGGCTTCAAACTTGAGAATCTTGATCATTCGCGTGTTCTGATTCCTAGAACATGAAGATAGCAAAGCATCTTGTTTTGAAGTGCAAATCATTTTTGTATCCGGTCAATACCGGCATGACGCGAGCTCGCCAATGACCTCTTAGCTAACTCGCATCACGCGAAACGGTGCAAAGTTGATAGCCAGATAAAGATGTTTCAGTTTTAGATTCAAGTTTGTGCGCTCCTATAAGGACTATTTTCACCTTACAAGCGGCAATATCCATGTCAGGTCTCTTGGGACTATCACAATATGCCGTTACCCGGAAATGAGTTCACCCGTCATTAGATTGGTTGTGCACTACGAAGACATATAGGACTCAGGGTTCAAAACTACATGAATTCTTGAGCATTTTCAAGTCTAGGCATGTTTGCACTGTTTACAAATCCTCATATCCACGGATGTCTTATGAAGACCATCCCCATCCGCATCTGCATTGACTACATCGTGCTTGTCTTTTGTCCGCTGAAGATAGGCTGACCAGCACACAATCTTCAGACACGGCATTGTTCACATAACAAAATAATGCATATTTGCTAGCTTGAAATAAAATGTTTCATCAGCCCTAGCTAGATCCACAAGAGCGGTTACCTAACTGGTATAGCGGAAATCCGGATGTACATCTCCCAATGCTTCAAGCTGCTGAGGCAGTTCCATGCCATCAAGCGGCTCAAGGACTCTGCGCCTATATTCCGGGTCATCTTTTTGGGCATTTAGATGCCTATACAGGAGAATCGTCAAACTAGCCAAGACAAAGGCAATGACAGACAACGAAAGAATAAACTTCGAAGCAAACGGATAGTACGGCGCTTGGGTTGTAGGGAATATCCAGGTACTGACGATTCCCCCAGTATTAGTGCTGATGAAAGCCATGGCGATGGCTGTGGCACGTCTAGTATGCGCGGCCGTGTTATTCGGAACCCAGCTGATGAGGCTGGGGGCAGTAGCATAAACCCCAGTGATCATCAAGAACAGAGAGGTGTAGCGCACAGCCATGCTCCGGCCCTTGTAGAAGATGCACACACCGATAATGGCAATGGCCCATGTTACCATCGCGGCAATTCCTCGTTGGCGATATCGATCGGACACATACGCCATTACCAAGGTAACAATGAAGGCAGAAACAAACGGTGGCACTGTGAGGAGTTGAGTTTTTGTTGTGCTGTATCCAAATCCATTGACGATCGATGGAGTGAAGTATGCCAGACCGAAGAGACAGACTCCGGAGCAGAAGAGCATCAACACGTGAAGCCAAACATGTAGAGAGCCTAATGTCGACAGGACCGCCTTGGAGCTAAAGCGTTCGGTGCTCTGCAGGTGGACGTCCAATCTGAGTCGCTCTTCGCATCGACGAATTTGTTCTGGTGTAAAACCAGCAACTTCACCTGGGTTGTTGGGAAGAACAAAAAACGCAACCACACCAACGATGACGCTGAGCATGCCTTCAAGACAAAAGATCCAACGCCATCCACTCAAGCCCCCTACCCCGTCCATTTGAACTATTGCGGCGGCCAGAAGCCCAGAAAAGGCCCCACTGAGTGCGGCAGATGCATAAAAGACCGCAATACGAAGCTGCAGTTCATGACGCCGGTAAAAGAGGGAGAGATAGAGGACGATGCCTGGGAATACGCCTCCTTCTGCTAGCCCCAGGAAAAATCGAGAAGCGAGGAGCCCTCCATAGCCATTGATCAGACATTGCAAGGTAGTGACAATTCCCCACACCACACAAAGAGACGGTAAAAGAATTCGAGGCCCGATCTTGCGGAGTGTGAGATTCGAGGGAAGTTCAGCAAGAATGTATGGCACGTATGTGATGGTGATGGCTGCAAAGGCTATGCCTCAGTTTCTACAACACAAGTATGTAGGATCATGTCAATTGTCTTACCTGTCTGGTACTGGTTGTCTGTCAAGCGAAGATCCGTTTGCAAACCAGCCTAGATATTTGTTAGCACCAAAGCCCGGTAGTTAGGAAGGCCATCCTTGGGTGTTTGAGACTTACTACTCGAGCATTTCCGATGTTGCCTCGGTCAAGGAAAGACATGAGGTATATGAGAGCTACCATAGGCACGATCACGAGGTCCATCTTCAGCAGTATCTTTCGATCTCCCTCGTGGTTTTCTTCAGGCATTGCAAGTTCGACCTGGACATCTTTGTCCTGATTGACTTTATCTCCCGCACTCTCGGCGGATTCCTGCATGGTTAGTTGGGCCGACATCTTAGCCAGGCTGAGGCTCGATTCTATTGCCGGCATTGGAGAAGGGAAGATAAAAGTCAGACAATGGATATTTCAGTAGCGGAACCACTTTGATTTGATCCAGGTATTTCTTCCTCTCGCCGATCCGAGGATGATTTGAAGAATCTAAGGTCTCGGCGAATCCTTCAATGCCTTCCAAGTATTTATATCCCTGAAAGTAGCCCCAATTTATAGAGTTCCGTAATTTGACTCGATAGAATGCCTACCATTTACAGGCAAGAAAGTGGATGAGATCAATAGAATCTAGGCTGTTCAGGATCAGGAGCTAATCCTCTTTTGTCCTATCTGATGGGGCTTTAATTGCCCAGGTTCTCTCCCATTGGACAGACGGACCGCCAATAAACGCCCGGTCGGAATTGGATGTGGGGGAGGAGACGCGGGGAAGAGCGGCTGGTTCCGCGTTCCAATTTAACCGGCATCTCTTACACTTCAACTGTACGAAAAGCATACAATATACTAGCGCATTGGGCAATCTAAGAGTTTTGGCAAGGTTTGGGCCCTTGTTCTCTGTTCACCCCTTATCGGCCTTTTTTTTGTCAATTGTCCGAACCAGGTCAAATGACACCCCCGTTGGGAAGCGAAGTCTGCACCTCAACCTACAAAAGTGGTTCCGCAGCCTCAACTCGGCTAGATATCTTGGACAGCTCAGCACGCTTGAATTGCAAAATATAGTTCGCGATGAAAATTCTGATAACTGGCGGCGGAGGGTTCATTGGCCAAGCTTTGGCTCGAGAATTACTCCAAAACTCCGCGAATCGATTAGTCCTAACTGACAAGATTGATTTCGCCCTACCATCAGACTTACCAAATCCAAAGCACACAATCACCATACAAGCAGATCTACTGGAAGAAACAGATCGGGTGGTGACATCCGACCTCGATGTGGTTTTCATCCTCCATGGAATTATGTCGTCTGGTGCGGAGGCGAATTTCGACCTGGGTTTCCAAGTCAATTTTGATGCAACACGAAAGCTTTTAAACTCGATAAGGAGCACTGCTCCTGGGATCCGTGTTATCTACGCGTCGAGTATAGCAGTTTATGGACGACCATTTCCCGAAACAATCACAGAGGACATCTTTCTTGCACCGGAAGGATCCTATGGAATACAGAAAGTCATGTGCGAAGCTTTAATCAACGAATACACGAGACGGGGCTTCATCAATGGCTTTAGTGTCCGTTTGCCGGGGATAGTCGTCCGACCTGGGCTGCCTGCACAAGCAGCGAGCAGCTTTCTTAGTGGAATTATCAGAGAGCCCCTGGCTGGCAAACGGTGTCTGGTACCGACTACGGAGCGCTCGAAGGAATTCTGGGTTTGCTCTCCGAAGGTGTTAGTCTCGAATCTTATGGACATCATGTCCCTTCCACGTCATGCGTTGCCTCTTCATAGGCGAGCATTGAATCTTCCTGGGTCATTGGTCACTATTCAACAAATGAGAGACGCTCTTGAGATGGTGGGAGGACGGGACAAGTTGAACCTCATCGACGAGGTTGAAGACGCTGAGTTTGCACAGTTAGTGTCGTCATGGCCGGCCAATTTCGACGTGTCCCTGGCCCTGAGTCTTGGTCTTCGCCAGGCGGAGAGCTTTGACAAGGCGGCTGAGGAATACGTACAATTTCTGGAACAATCCAAAGTCAAAACATGTTGAGCTGCGCGTCTGTATGAGCCTCCGAAGCCGCCTTCTTTCGATCTTCCAAGTGATGGCCGATAGGTTTAAATGGGGCAGTGTGATATGCTGTAAATTCCAGTTATTCAGATTGCGATAAAATAGCATATTCCACATGGATAATCTTTCATAAGTAGATAAGATTTTCGGATGCCCTAGGGGGTCCTCTCATCTCTCAACGATTGGTGTACTTGGGCATAAATGAATTAATCAAAGGTTATACATAGAAAAGTCTTAAGCACAAAGTATCCTGTTGTTTCCGCCTTTTTCTGCTGTCTACCTGGGTAGAAAATATCTTGTAAGATATAGAACTGAAGTATATAGATACAGTAGTAGCAGTCTGTACCCCCCTTAAAGCGGGATTCCTTTCTGGGAAGAGATCCACTGATAGGGGCCCGTGCTTAATTAATGTCAGGGTAATCACGTGGCCTGGTTTGTGTATACCAGGACTGTAGATAGCTCCTGCTACATTCAATCGCCTCTGTTATTCGCTACAATATATAAATTAACAGGGAATCGCTGTGCATATTTTCTAATATATCCGCGCAGTCTTTGAATTCGAAACTAATAGAACACTTTCGTGACCTTCGACGACCCATTTTGTGGGATATATATATTGCCAACGTGTCCCTACAATTTCTTATTTCATATCTTTCAAAGGCCAATATTCATATTTATTCCATTTTCTTATATCAGGATCATTGTAGTATTCTTTGGTAGGTACTCCCGAGGACGATGCAGGCAGCACTGGACTTATACTTGTTGTCGAGGCTGTACTCATGCAGATAATTATCCTCAAACCAACTCAGCACTTGAAAAACGCTTGCGCTCAATTAACTAATTTGAAATCAACTTCTAGTACGATAGTGCCTTGTGTTATCGCACCAATAGAATATGAATCAAGATTGTCAGGGGTAAAAACAAGCTCGGCCATGGCATTCCTTGTATTTACAAACCCCGAACTCCGAGCTCCGAGTACCCCGCGGAGTTATATAACAACATGATGTCAGGACTAGAGTCTACACTCACCTTCTCGCGTGTTGGTGCACTCAATAACCAAACAAGATTGACAAGTCAATCATGGAGGAAAAGCTACTGCCGGGGATTGTTACCAGAAAGCGGGAGAGGCGGTATCCATACCTTAAGAATTGGGCCCTCCCATCAATATGGACACTCCTCGCATTACTCATTCTCTGCAATCAATACAACCTATACCCCAGATCATATCCCTGCCGCAGTCCAAAGCCCCTCACATACATCGGCGAGCACATAACCTGGGAACCATGCGGCGACCTACACGGCAAATCCCTCGAATGCAGCAGCATCGAAGTGCCAATAGACCAATTCGCAACAGAAAAACAAAACCCAACAAACTCCAAGAACTTCACAATCCCACTCATCCGCCTACGTAGCGAAAACGCAACACAAAACCTCCTCCTAAACCCCGGCGGCCCAGGAGGCAGCGGTTTCGAATTCCTATACCGCCGAGGCAACCAGCTCCAGACCATCCTAGGCTCAGGTTTCCACTTACTGACATTCGATCCGCGCGGCGTGAACAGCTCAACACCCGCAGCATCTTGTTACCCAGACGCCAAGACCCGACAAGAACAGTCTCATATTCGAGCGCGCGATGCCGCAGCCGATAGTCCCGAGATCTACGCGTGGGCGCAGAATTTTGCGAAAGCATGTCCGGAAACAATGGGCGATTATGCGCCGTACATCAATACCCCGCAGACCGCAGCGGATATGAATAGTATTCTCGATGCGGTTGGTCAGCAAGATATGATATATTGGGGCTTTAGTTACGGTACTCTTCTCGGACAGACGTACGCTGGACTATTTCCCGAACGATCGAAGCGCGTCGTTATCGATGGAGTCGTTGATCAGTTCGTGTGGTACGAGGGTGTGAGTGATTCTGATGAATTCATCGATACGGATAAAGTGCTCGATGGGTTCTTCGATGAATGCATAAAAGCAGAGGCTGGTAGCTGTGCGCTCGCTTCGCTCGCAACGTCGAAAGAAGAACTGAGCGAAATAGTCTTATCGTTCATGGACAAGATCCGTCATCAGCCGATCGATGTATACATTAACAACACCGTCTACGGAATCCTAACCTACGAAAAAGTGTGGTACAACGGCGTCTTCACGGCATTATACAAACCTCCTCTATGGTCATCCCTCGCACAAAATCTCTACAGTCTGATCCAAGGAAACGCAACAACCGCTTTCCTAGCCTACAATATCGGAGATGAACTGAACGACGAGTCCAACGAATTCGTCACGCTGAACGACGGCCTCACAGGCCCATCCCACTGGCCACAGAGCAAAGACGCGCTGTTAGCGCAGATCACACCCTGGCTGAACCAGAGTCTCTTCAGCACCTCGTTTCTCACATCATTCTACCAGAAACAGCAGTGGACAGTGCCGAGGACGCATCCGTATGTACCGCGACATGGGGTCGAGACCGCTCATCCGTTGTTGATCATGTCGACTACCTACGACCCTGTGTGTCCGCTTGTCTCGGCGCGTGTGGCCAATGAGGCTTTTGCTGGATCTCGGGTTGTGGAAGTTGAGGGGTATGGTCATTGTTCTGTGGCTGTGGGTTCGGTTTGTGCTGCGAAGCATGTGCGGGCGTTTTTGTATGAGGGGAAGCTTCCTGATGGGTATACGCGATGCAAGGTTGATTCTGCTTATTTTGTTAGTCCTGATGAGAATGGGCACATGGCTGCCCAGACGTACTTTGAGGACCCGGAGGACCAGAACGTTCATCTTGCGCAGTTGGAACTTATGGCGGGATGGGAGTTTGCGAGGCCGATGATGTGGTGATTCTTCGTTTGTGGCTTTAGATTCTGGGATGATGCGGCAAGTATACATAAACGGAGACCTTGGTCTGCCGTTATTCACTATTTCTTATAGGAGAAATTGGGCCTGCAACTAAATTTACAAAATCAACAAATCTTACAAGGACTATATGCAATTGGAGATTGGTTTCATTATCCGCTATTTGTGTGATCGGACAGAGAGACAAATTCTTGACGAATGCCGCACCACCTGAGCAGTGCAGAAAAGCCACACAATAGATACAGACAGTCATGTCCCAGATATGAAAAAAGGGGGACCCAATGGATATTCCAATGGGGACGAAAGATATTCCGGGCCAAGAGCCTTCAAAAACAGAACAAAAATGGTAAGAAAAGAGCCCGTAGAAGAGGAGCAACGACCGTAGAGAAAGTCAATAAATCCGTGCGTCACTCACACCGGAACATAAGGATTGACAAGAAAAAGGGGGGGATCATACCCAAGACAGAAACGCCCTGAGAAGAAAGAAATTCGTAATGAGCGTCTTGGATGGACGCAGAAATAAGAACCGCCGATGAAAAAAAGAATCCACAGGAAAGCTGAACGGAACACAATATGTACAAATCGGGTGAAGACGCCCACGCTGTCGAAAGTGGGAAAAAAGCAGGGGGAGTAATGTGATGTCTCAAAATAATTGCCAGGATGTCGCTATGCCGAGGTTGCGCCGTAAATCGAAGTAAAAATATCAAAGCCAAAGCCTACGACTGCGGCCGTTCATTTGCTGGTGCCGTCTCATTGGATAGCTTTTCCTTGTCCTTGGGTTTCCAGAAGTGCATCATTCGGCTGAGACGGCGGCCCTTCTTCTTCGTTTTGTCGGAGGCGGTGCTAGGGGGTTTCTCCTCCTGGTTGAGCTTGCTCCGCTCAGAATGAGGACCAACGACCAACTTGGAAAGGCTGGCTAGACTGGAACGTTTTGAGCCGTTAGCCTGGCTGGTGCGTCTGGTACCAGCAGCCGAGAAGGACGCTGCGCGGTCGGCAGAAAGACGTCCACGGGGAAAGAAAGAAGCCGCCGAAAAACGATTCAAGGTGTTGGTCATGGTCGATGCGCTGCTGGTCAAAGATGGAACATCTTCAACTGATGCGTAAGGGTAGTCTGCCGAAGAAATATGATGATAGGAATGACTGGAAAAGTTCCGATCCGTCATCGAGGATTCCGCAATGGACCGCGGAGCATCCGGAGATGGGAACGACGAGTCAGACGGCGATACCCCTGGTTGTAACGTGAATGGAGGAATATTAGGCAGCAGCTCGATGGGCGAGGTCGCTGGTCGTTTGTCGATAGCTAAGAAACGAGGGGAAACGTCGGGACTGGGAGGTCCAATCACTTTGTGCGCAGGTTCTTCGGTCTTCAAAATTTCCACGGGTGTTCGAGGTTTGCCGGCGAAAGGATTACTGGCAGTATGGACCTGCTCAAGGGCACTCTTTTCTTCCAGCTGTTCCTGGTTCGCCTGTTTATCGCTTTGTCGAATACCCAACCCAGCATTCTGAGAGGAAATACTACCGGTCGTGGGACGAGTCAGAGTATCACTACTGCCAGAGGTATCGTTGCTGCGAATAGATTTCAGATCGTCCTCCGATGACGAGAAAACCGCGTTGTCGATCGATGGCGCGTTCACCGGAGGGCGCTCGCCCTTGGGTGACTCAGAAGCAGCCAGGAAAGCATCCTCTTCCTCTTCGTCAAACACATCGGGCGTTTCGACTGCCGAGGTAGGACCCAAACGGAATGCGCCGAGAGCAGAGCGGTCGAATGGTTGCATGGCTGGAGCGCTTTCCGTGCGCCGATGGTACCGCATCTCTGGGCCAACAAATTCACCCCGTCTTCCGCCACTGTACATCCGCTGAGTTGCAACCGAGAAGTTATTGTTGGGCGCACCTTGCGCCACCGGTCGCATGTCGGGAGTGTTGAAAGGACCAAGCGCAGCATCGAGGTCGATGATAGGGCTACTTAGTACATTGTCGTGCGGGTCAACACTCTGTTCATAGAAACTCCTCGGTTTCCACGAGGTCTCTAGAGTTTGTGCAGGCAATGGACAACCCTCGGTTTGACGATTGTTTTGAATAGGCTCAAGGGCAGAAGGAGGCATCGTCGGATTTGTCGGGGTTCGGATGACAACGACATCGTCGTTATCAAAATCAACATCTAAAACCGATCCGGTCCCTGAGTTGGTCCGAGTAAGAGCAGGGGGGCGAGGTGCAGGAGCGCGAGGTACAGGAGGCTCCTCCTGCGTGTCAGACTTCGCATGGCGCTTTCCCTTACCCTTGCTCTTGCTTCGAGTTAGAATGTGACCGGCCCAAGAGCGAACACGCTTCTGCTTCTTCTTTTTAGACTTGATGGGCGATTTGTTGTCAGACGAGTTCTCTGTCGCTTCATCGCCAGATGTATCTGACCCGTCGTCCGAAAACGAAGGTCGGTAGCTGTCTGTCGAGTGGACATCATCGGGCAAGAGAGTAGAATCGAGATGGGGTGTCGATTTGCTCTTTCGAGACCGTGAGTGCCCTGCGGCTGAGTGTGAACGTTTGATCGAGGATGCCGAGTCGTCATCCATCTGCATGAAATCCATCACCAAAGAGGCATCGGCAGTTTTCGGTCGAGGTTTCGGGTTGTAGTGAGGCCTTGGGGTTACTAGATCCGATAAATTGGGCTTCTCCACCTGTTGCTGGGCCTTGATTGTGGTCGCACTGTCCGAGGTACCATGCGAGACAGCAGAGACTGGTCGTTCGACATTCGAGGTTTGGTTGTTCAAGGCCATTTCCGCTTGAATGGCAGCCGGAATGGGAGGCACAGGAGGGACGGGAGGGAACTGAGGAGATGCAGGAGGTGTGGGGCGTCCAAGACTAACAGCCGATTGCGAGAGTGGTCGCGAAGAAACATCAGATGTAGATTTGTGGGAAGGGTCAGCGGGTGTAGTAGGCGCACTTCCCACCCCAGAATTAGGACCGAGTGCCTTGGTGATGACATTTAAGTCGACACCAGAGATCGCAGCCGAACGTCGATGAGCATGATTCCGTCGTCCAGGAACCCTCCCAACACCAGGGCCCGGGGGCGGAAGAGGTTGGTCTGCCATCGAAACCGCCCGTCTGTGACCGGTTCCCAACATATCCGGTGCTAACAAGTGGTCGGTTCCAACAAACTCGCTTGGTCGCCGACGGTGTCCGCCCGCGCGAGAAGTTGATAAGGACGGTGCTGAGAGGTGTGGTGACTGCTGTTCTGATCCGGGATTGAAAGAGAAGGCGGGCAATGCGGCCCGTTCCCGGCGCTCAGGGGTCTCCGATTGGGTTGAGGCATCGGGGTCCCGTGCTGGAAAGACAAATGGCGGATTAGGCAATGGTGCGTGCATGTGTTGACGACGATCGCGGCTGGCGGAGAGGTTCGAGGTATCGAAATGTGGCGGGAAGCCCTGGGACTGCGGAAGTGAAAGCGAAGCCATGGTTTGAAAACAGAAACAAAAGGATGTAAAGGAATTTAGCGGAGTGACAAAAGCCCGAAAAGGTCCAGGGCAAGAGACCTCCAGACCGACTTCCCTTCAGCGAGAAAGCCTAGGAATCTGGAGGTCAAGATTAAGCACGGGTGAGGGTCATTGAAACTTCCGCGCCAGGCAGAAAGGAAAGATCAAAAGAATCCAAAAGTATGGAAAAATGAATGGACGGCCACGACGAAGGCCAGAGAGGGGGGGAAGGTTGAAAAGTTGGTCGTAGAGAAGTTGAAGAAGAGAGAAGCCAAAAGAGAACAACAAATCCAGGAGGGGAAGAAGGGAGCTGAAATTACCATACACGGTATCACCCGTTGCCATCCGGAACCAATACAATATGTACGGATAGTACTAATAAAACATCTAAAAAGTACGTTGAAAGTTCAAAAGTAGGACTTTCTCTCTTAGGAAAAGGGTCTCTCCCCTCAAGGAATTGATATAATACAGTATTCCAAATACCAGATATCTCGGGGCAGATGCCAGATTAGGTGACATCTGTCAAAAAACCAAACAGGAAAAATGGGCTTTTTTAAGGAATGTGAACATTTTCACTCTAGATCATGACATTATTAAATACTAATACTCATTTCCAAGTAGGGGACGTCATGACTATAAAACTTAGCGTTCCTCCGTAAAAAGTGGTTCAGTACTTTGCATCCACTCGTATATTGTACGATGTTCTGTAAAACCTCTTTTAATCCTGGGGTCCTTAAACCACCAATCACCAGCGAGTCACATCCGGAGAAAAAAGCGGGTATTGTGACTGCCAATCATTCGGTCTAAATGACCATCCAAATCTCGCTTGATTTGGTGGGTCCGGATAGTGCGCCACGCTGGGGGCTGCAAGTCAAGGGGATTATATTGTCGGGGAAGAGGTGCTTACTGCCGAGCCAAGACTAGGCCCTGAATCTATCAACTTGAATATTCTCATAGCTTGGTCAAAGTTCACATTTTCCAATGTAAAAGGTGGATTCCGGGAGATTTTCAGACTTGAAACCGAACTTGCAACTCTTCCCATTGCTTGTCTTGGCTGCGGAGTCGGATCGGATATAAATAGTGGCGCGAGACATATCTTAGCGCCATTTGACAGGGGGTGGAAAGATGAAAGACAAACGGACTTGCTGTGAAACATTATTTCCCCCTAGCGTTCGGTGGACCGGTTTCTTTGTTTAGCCCAATAACAATGGAGGCTTTGACGAAGTTTGGGGGGTATTGGGTCGTGGGGGGGGGGGGTATGATGCTGATGAAATCAATTGGTAACGGGAGATCCTGGATTTGAATCTGGATATGGCCTGCATATGCATCTGTACGGCGTCTTTAAAAGTTAACCCGAGTAGTTCATTTCTCACCGTTCTTCTTTATACTTTATACTAATTTACATTAAAACTATGCTAAACTCCCCGATATACCTGAAATGATTGAAATGATTGAAGATTAATAGTGGATCTGATGTGCGAACCATGCCAAGGCAAAAAGGAAATTAACAAAACGAAACGTATTATTAAGTCCGGATATGCGGGATGCCGACGGGAAACACATCTGCCTACAAGCTCGGATATGCCCGTGATATCATCATCAGATTTTCGTCGAGATGGGCCAGTTAGAATAAACCGACGGAACCATGGAATACATAATCTGGGGCAATATGAATTAATTAAGCCGAAGTTTCTAGACTGTGGTCTACTCTTACTGTATCATCTTGAAGCACGAGAGAAAAAAGAAATAATTCTATACGTCAAAAACACTGGACACTAATCCAAATGTTGGTATGAAAAAAAACCCCGAAATAAAAATAATTAATCTATGCATTACTGTCAGACATCACTGTCAGACTCGACCTCATCTTGCTCTAGATGCTTCTTCCGCTCCTCATTCATCTCTCTATATGTGCTGAAGCTCAGCATGAAAAACGCCACCATAATCAAAATGCCTCCAATGATAGAAGCCATAGAAAGAGGTTCGCCGGTTCGGAACCAGTCCACAAGAGCGACGAGGAAGATGGTAAGGAGACCGGCTACTGATGATAGAACAGGCGACGTGAGGGAGATGAGCACAAGGAAAGAGCCCGAGAATGCTACCTTAGTGTTAGCCTCTGTGTCTGTATTGAAACGCTGATCTGGTACTTACTGGCATTGGCACCCACGGAGATGAGAAGCATCCATGCTGTCTCACCAGTCGGCCATTCAAATGTCTCCAACCCAGTCCAATGCAAAAATGGCAGTGGTATCCATAGTACCAACAGGGTGAAAACCCCTATTAGACTGCCAAATGTATTGGCAAATATCGTACCCCGGCCAGGGCTGGTACCTTCTGGGGGACAGGCGAAGCGTTTATAGAGGACCTCGTAAAGGCCATATAGGATACTTCCAATGCCAATAATAATGTTTCCAACCAATCTGTTCTGCGCCACGGTGTCCTCCGCAGTCTGTTCACCGTTTGAGGCCTTCTTATCGGGTCGATCCCCATAGGCAACGACCATAACGCCGATTGTAGCCACAGCCACAGAAAAGACCTTGTCGAACCGCAGTTTCTCGTTCAAGAGTGGAATCGAAAACGCATACGCGAAGAAGGCGGAGCAGTTGTAGATTGCCGTGAGGTCACTGGCAGTGGTCATGTTGACTGCCACGTACCATGATCCTCCGGCAACGGTGAGTGCAGTAGTCACAAAGGCGGTGGTCTTCAGCATATAGCGGACTGGGGATCGACTGGATGCGCGAGAGCTTAGGTGCACTTCCCGGGATTCTACCATCTGCGCAGTGGCGCGAATGAGAGAGACGTGGCGCCGCCAGAAAGCATCCCACGAGAGCTTCCGTTTCTGTACCCGAAGGATGCCTAGCTGGACCAGCCAGAGCAAGGACCATGACCCGTGGGTCATATAGCTGCATAGGGAAAATAAAATGGTAAGCGTTTACATTCCGGGAAATGGGTTTCGCATGGGCTTGTTGCTGGCATCTTCGCGTTCGGACTTACAGCATGCAATACGGTTTCTTCCAGCCCAGCTCATTTTGAATGTGGGAAGCTGTCTCCGTTTGGACGACGAAGCTAATCAAACTGAGCAAGAGGAATCCAGATGCAACCATGTACTTCTTGCGGGTTGCTTGGGCAGCGTCGTGTTCCGGACTTCTACTCCGGATGGTCGGCCGTCTGGTTTCATGCAGCATGGGCCGGCCTTCTGCGTCGCCATTGCCGAAGCTGGAGCGGGACCGGCGATGACGATCATCTTTTAGGAGAGGCTGTTGCGAGCGGCCATCTGTTGGCCGGTGTAATGGGGGGCGATTGATAATCATCTCGTCGTCAGAGTCGAAGTCGTAGACTGCGTCCGGGGTAGAGGTCACCCGCGGCTCTGAAAGCTCAAAGCTATCTGAAGCCACAACGTCGATGGGGAGGGAAGGGGCTAGTTGGCTTGACTACCTCGACATGAATACCACCGTCAGGGGTGTTCTTGTCCGATTTACTGCGCTTGCGAACGATAAGGGATAAGGAGCCGAGATTTCCACGAGTGAATCGTCAAAACGCCACTCATCCAGGTGATGCAGAAAACGTGACTAGAGTTTATTCTTCAAAAGGTTACCCATGAAGCATATTCCACGTGTTCAATATTCCCTGCACTGGGTTCACAGGATACATGTGACTCGGCACTGATCAAGGATAGCTGTAGCTCGAATGGTAGGGTTCAACCAAAAGAGTAACGATTATATCAGATGTGAATCAAAACGAAGAATTTATCAAAGAAACACTCGGATTGAAGATCAGAAAATCTAATGAGGCGTAGCGAAATGACCGCCTTCAGGTGTCGTCACATCCACCTGTTACCTAAAAGCGGGACCCCTGTGACTAAAACACGTGACTTCCAAGGCGCTACTCCAGATCCGGGTTAGCGTATATGTGTCATTCGGGGTATTTCTAATCTTGGAAGGTTCGTACTCGAAGGATTGGGGAAATGACAGAGGGAAATTAGTGAACACGTGGTCTGTGGATGTATACCTGTACTGTATGGTATTAATATCTATGGGATCACAAGAGCAGCTGACCATTATCAAAGTGGATGTTTGGCCTTACCCCAGAAATGTTGGACCGTACTGGATAGCTTCGAAATTCTTTGAATATCGTCATTGGCTTTGACTAGCTATCATTCATCTATGATGGTCCTATTGAAAATCTTTAATATGCCCCTACACCTTACACCTTAGGTCCAAACACCGCCTTCTGAGTATCATAACTATACTCCAAATCCAAATGCCAGTAATTGGGGGAATTGGCCTTGGCAACTAGCCAAGCCTGGTCCAGAGCCTGCACGACCTCTTCCGGGAGTGGTCCCTTTTGGAGATCGGCAAGGTTAGTCTCAAGCTGCGCGAAGCTGCTAATTCCCACCAAGACTCCATCGCGACCACTATTGTCCATTCTCAGGGCAGAGTGATGGTGAACCCAGCGCAGAGCCGTCTCCAGCATTGTGAGACCATGTTTCTCTACGACAGGCTCAATGATACTCAGAGCTTCGAAGGTGGCATCTCTGAAGTAACGTTTGCGATAGTTGAGTCCGGTAGAGCTCGAGTCGCTGTATCTACCTTCGGCAGGGATATCCTTTGATTTGTATTTTCCAGAGAAAAGACCTCCGGCCAGCGGGTTGTAGATGACAATATCGAGACCGTACCGGTGACAGGCGGGAACAAGTTCAGTCTCAATGTTGCGTGCTAGCAATGGTGTCAGCTGAGTTTCCATGATCCGAGATATCGAAAATAAGAGAAAGGGCATCACCTACTAATCGCGTTATACATGGCCTGGTAAATGGTGGGACGGACCCATCCCCTCTCAGCGCAAAGGATGCAAATCTCGGCCACTTCAAAGGCTGTAAAGTTGCTCAGACCGAGCTGTACGAACTTGCCCTCCTTGTGCAGCTGGTTAACAGCCTCAAGAGTTTCAGCAAATGGAGTGGCGCGATCTGCAGCATGCAGGTAGAAGGTATCGACTGTGTCGGTCCCCAACTCCTTCAGAGAAAGCTCCAATTTCTCACGGACGACCTCCGGCTTGTGGAAGCCGGGCTCAGACGGGTACCATTTGGTGGCCAGAGTCAGTCCACGCGACTTCCAGTTCGCCTTGGCTGTGAATGCTTCCTGTTCTCCACCGATGTAGACACGGGCGGTATCGACTTCGTTGAATCCTTGCTGCTGGAAGTAATCAAGGCATTTGTTGAACTCATCCAGCGAGGTAATCCGAGCACCTTTGGCCTCGGTTGGGCCAAAAGTCATCAATCCAAGAATCACTCTCGGCTGGGGGTTTTGTGCGATCAGAGGCATGATAGGAATTGGAATTTGTTTGTGAGGTGAGGTGAGATGACGTGTGAGGATGGCGGGGCTGCTGGGTGGAGTGGTTCTTTTATATGCCCTGGAGCTGGTACGATGAATTTGTAATCCAGAATTGATACTACCTAGGTAAGGCTCTGAGGTTGACAACGAATAGATTCCAAGAACCTCGTAAGTCCATATCAAGATTCGAGGAGCTTAACCTCTCTCGGTAAGTGTTATCCGAAGCCACCAAACATATTGCATACATCACTCGACCTTTTGAGAAGTAGTCCGCTAAGCTCCTAGGAGATGGTGGGGTTGCGGAGGGTCCCGATAACGGATAACGGAGGTCATCGCAGCCTCCGCGGGGACTCATTTCTTCCCGAGTAAAGAACTGTCCTTCCTGTCTATTCAAGACACCTTATTCTTCCAAAAATGAGTTCTCTTGAGCCGCGATATGACGCAAACAAAATCCTTCAGCTGGATCCGAGGAAAGGCGAACGGGATTATAGCATATTGATCATCAATCCCAATACGTCAACGCACATGACCGAAGCTCTGAAGCCCATACTGGCTAGCATGAACTACCAAGACGTGCACTTCGAGTACATCACTGCTCCAGACTCAATTGTGGAGGTCGATGGAGTCGAGATTGAGCCAATTGCCAGCATCAACAACGCCGAAGAATCGTGCAAGTCGGCATTGAACTGCTGGCCCGTACGGGAGTTTATCGGCAACTACGATGCATTTCTTGTGGCGTGCTACTCCGCGCATCCATTCGTCGGCAGGCTCAGGGAAGACATCGCGGCAAGTGAAGAAGCGAGCTCGACGAGAAACAAATATGTCACTGGAATCTTTGAAGCGTCCATCACCGCTGCGCTCTCCTTGGTCAGTGGTTTCACATTGAACGATCACGATCCAATCAACCCAGCAGCGAGGCTACAGAAGTACCAACAGAAGGGCAGCTTTGGCATTGTGACCACCGGCTCCGCGTGGAAAGAGGAGCTCACCAATGGGGTTCAGGGAGCCCTGGGCTACGACTATGAGGACGGGAGCTCCATGCACTTTGCGGGCGTCGAGACCACCGGCCTGACAGCAGTTGAACTGCACACCACGGAACCAGAGGAAGTGCGACGGAGGATCATCGACGCTACCCGCAACCTGCTTCGGAACTCGGAATCGCGTGTCAAGGTTGTCTGTCTGGGCTGTGCAGGTATGGCTGGCATGGAGGAAGCGGTACGGGAGGGGTGTATTCAGGAATATGGAACCGAAGGCCAACGTGTACGAATTGTCGACGGGGTAGTTGCTGGTGCTGGAAACCTCATCACAGCCTTAAAGGCGGGATTCTGAGTGGTAAAGTGGTCTAGGGCGACAGATGGCCAATAAGATCACTTGGGAAAGACGATATATCAAAATTTCAGCATAGCTCGGCGGATCGAAAAGCATTTAAATTTATATTAATCAACTCTCATTCATGCACAAATCTATTGTACAGGGCATTAAAATGTTGTTGATCTCCAACGCAAAAGGTAGCAAGAGCTTCTGCCTGAGGCAACATCGGCCAAAAAGTTCCCCGCGTGAACGCGATACGCGTTAACGAGCAGCAACACTCGACGGCTTCTACGAAGGAAATATGCCAAGGTTCGTTCACTCCTTCGATTCAATTATATTAGAGGGCTCTCTGTCCAGCTTGAACACTGATGCTAATATTGGTGGCAATTGCAGAGAAATCATCACAATCCAAGCCGGCCAGTGCGGCAACAACGGTATGTGGCTCACCTCCGCCATCCATTCCGCGAAACCCTTGATCCCATGTTTTTGAACGGAGCGCGAGAAAATATAGTTCATGTCGCTAATATCTCTATCTAGTCGGCAGCCAGTTCTGGCAGCAGCTGTGCCAGGAGCACGGAATCAGCGCAGATGGAAACCTGGAGGAACATGCGACTGACGGGGCGGCTGGTGATCGCAAGGATGTCTTCTTCTACCAGGTGTGTATAGGACGCTTGGCAGAGCATCTTATTTGCCATAGCAAGAACACTGGCTGACATATGTGGACAGAGTGACGACACTAGATACATCCCTCGGGCGATTCTCCTCGACTTAGAACCCAGGGTATGCTACCCTTCACCGATATATCACATCAACACACGATGATTAACACGAAGCTTTTGTCCAGGTGCTCAACGCCATCCAAACTGGCCCCTACAAGAATATTTACAATCCCGAGAACTTCTTCGTCGGACAACAAGGTATCGGAGCTGGAAACAATTGGGGTACTGGATATGCTGCCGGCGAGGGCGTGCAAGAGGAGATTTTCGATATGATTGACCGCGAAGCAGACGGAAGCGACTCACTAGAAGGATTCATGCTTCTACATTCGATCGCAGGAGGAACAGGCTCTGGATTGGGAAGTTTCATCCTAGAACGCATGAACGATCGCTTCCCGAAGAAACTCATCCAAACCTACTCCGTCTTCCCGGACACGCAGTCTGATGTCGTCGTCAACCCTTACAACAGCTTGCTCGCCATGCGGCGATTGACCCAAGATGCCGACTCTGTGGTCGTTTTGGACAATGGTGCTCTATCACGAATTGTCGCAGATCGACTCCACGTCCAAGAACCGTCATTCCACCAAACCAACCAGCTCGTGTCAACGGTGATGTCTGCATCCACAACCACTCTACGATACCCCGGATACATGCACAACGATCTCGCCGGTATCATCGCCTCGCTCATCCCCACGCCACGCAGCCACTTCCTCCTCACATCATACACACCCTTCACCGGCGCCAACATCGAGCAAGCTAGGACAGTGCGAAAGACAACCGTGCTAGACGTTATGCGTCGCCTCCTACAGCCTAAGAATCGCATGGTCTCCGTCAACCCCAGCAAGTCCAGCTGCTACATCAGTATCCTCAACATCATCCAGGGCGAAGCCGACCCGACAGACGTGCACAAGTCACTGCTGCGCATTCGGGAGCGCCGCCTCGCCTCTTTCATCCCCTGGGGCCCTGCCAGCATCCAGGTGGCTCTCACTAAGAAATCCCCCTACATTGAGGAAACCGGACACCGCGTTAGCGGGTTGATGCTGGCGAACCATACCTCTGTGGCGACGCTCTTCAAGCGCATTGTGAAGCACTACGACATGCTTCGCAAGCGTAATGCCTTCTTAGATTCATATAAGAAGGAAGCACCATTTGCCGACGGACTTGGCGAATTCGACGAAGCACGGGCCGTTGTGATGGATCTGATCGGCGAATACGAGGCAGCCGAACGGGAAGACTACCTGGACCCTGATGCCGGCAAGGCAAATGAGCTTGGAGTATGATATGAGATGCTGTGATTTCATATCCAACCTGTTTTTTTATTTTATCTTTTTGCTAGTTCGGCAGGGCAAGGGGGGTTTGGGCGCATCGGTGTCTGCGTGTCTGCGCCGGGGTTTTTATTCACATTTACATTTTCCTTTTTTTTTTTTTGTCCCCGGTCTCAACCCCCTAACAGTGGACATATCAAACCAATCCACGCTAGTCGCTATTTAAAATTGATCTTGAACACGTAGCCCGTATAGAGGGTGTCAACGTGGTAGGATTCTGATTTGTACCGATTAGCGCGGGCAGAAGGGATCCGTGGGTCGTACTACATAGTAGTAGATAGGGCGATGTGGAGATGTGGAGATAGACGGTGAAATATTGGGTAGCGGGATCGACCTTCGCTTTAGGCACTTTAGGCCTAACCCGGGAAATGTACGGAGTAGACGGACTTGAAAGGCATACCTCTGCAGTCCTGCAGTCCTGCACAGGATGCTCTTACCGATGCAATAGCTCCACGCGGATCATCCGTGCCTAGACGGACTTGGCTCGGTCGACTCATCCATTTGTACTCCGTATCGAATATTCACTTGTAGAGGTCATAGCTCCTTTTGTCGACTTGCACTGTGGCATTTTTTTTCTCCCTTTTGCATTGGATTGAGTGGTATCATTGGGTGCTATGTAATCCATGGGATATAGTAGAGTCATGTTGCCTGAGTACCGTAGTATGATAAGTCTGGGTGAACACCTTGCCACTTTGGTGGCGCGGCAAAACGGAAGACCGATATTTGGGTTCGCTTCCAAGGGTTGTCTAATTCGATTTTAGTTAGAAGATTTGTACGGAGTAGTTAGTACGGGAGTAGTGCCAGTTGGTTCAGAGATGTACACCTGACTCCTGAGTCATCACGTGAAGGCGCCCTTGAATGCACGGGCAATTCTACATTCCGATCATTGGGCCCGAGACCAGGCGTCTGGATACGTCCGCGTGTACCGCGTGGGTATGCATCGGTAAAGTCAAAGAAAGAAAAATATAAAGAAAGAAGAAGAATGAAAGAGAAAAACGAAACAGAAAAAAAAAAAACTAAAAGTCTTAAACTATATAGAGTATGTACTCCGTATAGGAGGTCCAAGGATACAAAACCCATCTATATAAAAACCAATTAATTCCAATAATTTCAATTCCACATCCAATTTAAAGGCCAATTAAATTCAATTAAATCCACTAAAATCTAAAAAAACCAAACTAAAAATCCACCTAAAAATCCCAAATTGCCTAACTTTGAACTCCACTGATTCCGTCACTGTCGCCTCACTGAGTCAGCCCTTCTTTGGCCTTCTCCCGTGTCTTCCGACCCTATATATAGGCTGGTCATGCTGGCCTATTTCCCATCCTCCCCCCTTTACTACTTTCCTCTCGCTCCCTTGAAAAACCCCGGGCGCTTATCTCAAACCCTTAACTGAGCGCCTAACTCTACTGCTACTTCTACTCCCCTATTTATCTCTCCTCTCTTCCGCAGAAGTACCTCTATACCCCTCTCTCCAACCCTTATAACCACAATGCCTCCCCGCAAGCCCCGTTGCAACTTTAAGGAGTGCAAGGAAGCCGCCCAGCGCATCGTCGGTGACTGCAGCTTCTGCGCCGGCCACTTCTGTTCCAAGCACCGCATGCTCGAAGCCCACTCTTGCACCGGACTGGAAGACTGCAAGAAGGAATCGCATGCCCGAAACGCCGATAAACTGAACAGCGAGCGTACCGTCGTGGTCAAGGGCGTATGAGAAGGAGGAACTACATCCAGAAATGGGGACTACAATCAGAATGAGAAACAGCCGCTCTGTTCGCTTTTCTCTCGACTGAACAAAGGGGGAGGACTACGGATATGACCTGCCTAGTCGATGTAGGCCCGGGCCATCTCGCCTCCTCCCCCCTATCTTATCTGCCTCGGCCGATCAGCTGCTATCCCTGCTTGGCTTGGCCACGATTCGGTTCGATTCGATCCGGTTCTTCCCTTTCTTTGCCTCTGCGGTGATCTTGGATTTAGCGCGGTGTTTCGTTTTACCATTTTACTATTTTACTATTTTATTATTTTCCCTGTTCTCGGGTTCTCGGGGATGGGGGGTCTTTCTCTTGTCTGGTTCATGATCTATATCTAGATCGGATTTGTTTTTTTTTGGCTACGGCTTGTTTGGGGCTTTAAGGTCTTCATTTGCATGGCGTTGTGCTGGGTGTTGACATCTTTCCTTTGATCTTTTGACATTTTAACTTATCTAACTTATCTACTGTTGCTGCCACTGCCGTCTCGCATTTTGGGCATGCCTCTTTTCTTTTCCGGGACTGCTAAATAGAACTCTTCTGGGTTCTTTTAGCCATGAACTATACATATCTCTGAAATCTTGATCCATTTTCTCTATCATAAGATATACTGATATTTACGGGTAGTACCTCAGGCCGCTGATGGGTCATTTCTGAAACATGGGGAATTTTGACATTACAAAGTTCAGTTGGAGATAAAGCTTTGCGTACAAGTACAGATATGGTATGCTAAACTAAGATTGTATAATTGCACTGAAACCCATTTGAAACACCGTAGAACCCATTTAGCCCGGTCCGATCTTCGGCCTATGTAACAGTCAGCTTATAGTCCTTCAATGTCCAAAGAAATCGAAGGTATAAAGAAAGAGAGTAAGACGTACATATCGTGATGCTCACTGAGCCGACTGAGATACTTATTCAGCTCCTCCACACGCTCCTTATGAGTTTTGACACCTTCGCGCTGAAGCCGCTCATGCAACTGTCCCGAAGAGTCAGTTCTGTCTGTACAACAAAGCCGAAGTAAAAAGAGCCCGAGCCCAACCAAAAAATACGAAGGAAAAAAAAGACAGACAACACATACCCGTTTCCGCCGAATCTCTTCGGCTCTCTTTTCAGCCTCGGTCTTCCCAGGCGCATCCCTATCCTTCTCTCTGTCTTCCTCAGACCTCACACCCTCATCCTTTTCATTTTCTGGTCGCTCCGTATCCGGCGTTGACTCTGGCTTTGGCTGTGTCGCTTCTCCCTCCTTTTTCTTTGTGCTCCTCTTTTTCTTCTCTATCCGTCCTCCGCTGACTTTACTCCCCTTCAACTTGAGCTTACCCCCACCGATGGAGTATTCGTCGCCCGCCATGCTTGTAGCGCTGGTTTCGTGGATGCGGTAGGATGATATTATTCAGGTTCCCCTCTTTGGGTATGACGTGCCGCTCGTAGATGTGTTGGGCCCGGGGAGATGATAGGCGCGCGCGGCGTGCGGAGTAAGAGGCGGGGTGGTCGATCGGTCTGGTTTGTTATAGATGTGGGGGATTCGTTGCCGTTTTAGGATTTGTAGTGCGGTATACGGCTGAGTGGATAGGTAATACTTGGCTTTGTGTTGTGGTGTTGATTGAAAAGGGTTCTCTTGTCGCGGTTTGAGGTTGGAGTTGGGCCAATCAGAGGCGGTGGCGGGTTGGATGGTTCTACATTTTTCAGCTTTTCAACGACTTCCATAAGAAAATACAAATAAAATTCAGCTTGAAAGCCATCTATTGGACATTAGTTGGAAAACATACTACATCTTCTTGGGGTATTTTTCCAGCCAATATAGGGGGCCTCCAGGGCTAATATGCTACTGTCATTATGAAGTAACACCTTTTCGCATAGCTTGTCTGTATTTGTATCTGCTTCTGCTCCCTGGGTACATACTCTACTCAGGAAAAAGAATACTTCCACATAATGGTGAGATCTCTCGGCGTCGTCGAGTATGAAAGTGAGGTGGAACGCTTTCTAGAGGACCTACCTCCTTCCAGCAGATACACTTATAAAAGGAAAGCGCAACTCGACGAAATCCTACAAACCGAATATCACCGCCTTGAAAGCTGTCGCGCTGATGCCGAAACTTCCGAATACTTTGTCTATGTTGATATTAGTCCCTTCTCTTTCAATCAAACATTTTTGCTACCCGATCCCATCGCAGGTCTTCGCTTGTTTTACAACCCAGAACTCCATATCCTCATCACCAGAATGTCGACACTTGAACAGGTGCAGACTACCAGCGCATTATATACTGCAGTCGCAGAAACTTTTCGACACATGGGGCTGAATCATGCAACTCAATGGTTTGGAGGAGTAAACGTTGACGTCGGCAACGGAAAGACGAAACAGCCCGATGGAGGCTGGAGCCCAATCCGCCCTCCTCCTGGTGGTGCCAGACGACCTGGAGTAGTCGTGGAGATTGGACTTTCGGAGCCTGAAACAAAACTGCCTAATGATGCAAGAATGTGGGTGGATCCTGGCAAAGGTGAAGCTAATATGGCTATCACTGTGAAAATCAACCGACGCAAGCCCGAGCTGAAACTCCATACATGGGAGTGGAATTTAAATCTCCAAGGTTCTCATGTCACACAGTCAACTGTTATCACAAAGACTGGCGATAAAGTCACCGTCTCCCAAACTCCACTTACAATACCATTCCACTATATCTTCCAACGCTCCCCTGAACACCTCAGAGAGACCGATGTTCAACTAGAAAAGCAGCAACTCATCGATTGGGCAACTTCGGTATGGGACGTTCAAGGGATATAAAGAGCGGGAGAAAATATGGTTGCAAAAGACATCTAGACAGAATATCTCAAAAGACCACCCAAAAGACCACCCAAAAGACCACCCAAAAGACCACCCAAAAGACCACCCAAAAGACCACCCAAAAGAATTCTAAATCGCCTTCATAAGGCCGCCTCAGCGGCTAAATATTCTTGTCCCAGGGTATATATAGAAAAGGGGTCTACAAGCTTAAAACTTCATTCCGCCTTACATACGAAGTATGAAAGATAAGAGCGTCCGCGCCGAAGTAGAGTAGACACCATCACCCAATGCAAAGCTCGTCAGATTCTCAGGCTGCTTTGAGTCACTAGGTTACATACTAATGTATAAGTACATAGAGGAGTAAGTTTAATCTTGAACAGCTAGATTAAACATAAAACAGAAAATTATTCAATCTCATCATCAGGATCAATACGACGGTTCCCTTCAGGCGTCAACCAAGAATACTTCAAATTCCGAAGCATTTCCACTACACCATGGTGACCCCTCTCCGAAGCGCATGCTTGAATTTACTGCCCATATGTCGTTGGTTTGCCACTGTCACCTTGGAGTATAGTTCCGGTGGTATCATCATAGCATGGTGACCCCGATTCTCGCGAACAAATGATGTGAGGATCAAATCTGTCTTCCTGTTCCCGGCTTCCTGGGTGGCTTCCACCACTGAGGAAAAATGCATGTATTTCAGGCTAACCTGGGTAATAAATAGATTAACTCTCATCTTCCAATCTGGTTGACAGTGTTGTAAATAGTGATGTAGAGTATGATGCACTAAACATACTTCAGATTCGGGGATATCAAGGTCATCCACGGAAAGAAGTCCACAGCAACTGCCAATGATCAGTCGAAGTGGAGGAATATTATCAGGGTCCCATTCTTCGTCTCCGAGCTGTGTTGCGAGAGCATATTGAAGCTCTAGAGTATTAAGTGGGCGGTACGATGATGATACCCACATCATACTATTGAAAGCGAGCTTTTGCCGTGCCTGGGATTGGTATCTGATGCACTCGAATGTCTTATCGTATGCGTCGCTCAGACTCCCACTGAGAGACTTTAATGCTTTGCGCACGCCGGATCGGGTAACTACTAAAAACACATCACACAGCCGTATGCAACGCCGACTATTCTTCTTGACAATCAATGCAAGTTTCGCAGCGTTAAAATACACCAAAAAATGTCAGTTGCCTCGATGTTGAATCTAAGCATATCGTGAAACTGTTTTAATCTACAGTTTGGCAGACTCGCTCAAAGACCGATGCCCATATACCACATTGGGCGGCAACTCAACACCCCAAACAATCTTACAATCCAACCGCGCATGGTCAGCGCTGTCCGAAGCTGAATCGAAGGCTTGATATGGCCTGACAATATCCCGGTAGACAAACTCGCCCACGCCACCCTCACCTAAAAGAATCCACCTACGAGCAATTTCCATCGCGGCCTCATCCCCATCACGCTCCCCATCCAAAGCCAAGAGTGCCCCGGATAGTACCCAGGCGAACGTAAACATAATCCTCCGGGCATCAGCCAGCAACGCAGCCCGTGGACGAGTAGGTAACATGCGAGAAAGGAAAGCAGCCTGAGCCTCCTTTAAAGCATCCGCGAGAGAGGGTGTGCGGATCAGAGACAAAACACGATTGAGCCACCCTGACAAAACAGACAGGGTATCTCCTTTCATAAGGAAGCGGACAAGTTCACTAGCCAGGATATTCGTGGTCCCCTCCCAGATGGGATAGACGGCTGCAGCGCGGAGGAGGCGCGAGATGTTGAATTCAGGCTCGTCCGGTTCATCAATGTATCCGACTCCACCCATCGCTTCCTGGCATTCTTGGACACCCACCATCGACATCTTACTAACAACACCCTTGCATGTCGCAGTCAGGACCCGGAAGACAACTTTTGCTTCGGCAAGATCCTTAGGCATGTGTGCATGTCTCGCGGAGCTAGACGTGTTTTCAATCAAACTCATCACTGCAATCGTGAAGAAGGTAAGGTTTATAGCGCCACGATGCTTGACCTCCACATCCGCAAGGACGCGCAGATGCATCGGAATCAACCACAATGGTTCGCCGACAGTACTCCGTGACTTGGCAAAATTCTTCGTAATGCTAATCGCACGGCGCCAGGTTGACAGTGTTCCAAGAAGTGTCTGAATGCGGGTGGTATTCAACAGTGGAGCAATAGTCACAATGCCCTGGTCGATTTCACCGACTAGATGAGCGCGCATGCCCTTCAGTTCCAGTTCAGCTGTGGGTAGTTCCTTGGTACCAAGCTTGTTCTTCAGGCGGTGGATGCGCACGCCATTGGATACCTCCTCTAGGTTTCCATCAGCTCCGATGGAAGTCTTCCGTAGGGGCGCGATAAATGTGCTCAGTTTGCCAGATGCTGTCTTGGCTAAGAGAAATGCGACATTGGCGTCTGTGGCGGAGGAAAAGAATTTGAATCCGCTGATCAGGTAGTCACCCTCGGCGAGGACGTCAGAAGTTTTTGATCCTTGGGGCAAGGGTGCGTAGGTAGCCCATGTCTCTGTATTTTGGACGTCGCTCCCGCCTGCTCTTTCCGTCATCCATTGGCCAGATGTCCAGTAGTCGCCTCCTCTGGAGGTCAGTCTCCGAAAGACAGTGTGCAAGATATGATCACTCGGCAGATCTTTGAGGCGCTGTGACAATATAAATGCCGCTCCATCGGACATACTCATCGGACATCTGTACATGGACGACGAGGGGGCGTATAGATACACGCTTTGAATCTGGTAGTTAGTATTCATGCCCATGAAACGACATAAGGAACTGTAACATACGCAGCATATTGAACAGTGCGTCTATCAACGCCGTACGTGTGGTCGTATCCCAGAGAAACAACCCTAGAATAACCTTATCAGTGCCAAATGCATACCAAGGAATAGACCAACGACTAACCCATGCTTAGCCCCCCACTTTCCTAACTGCTTCCATCCATCAGTCGTAATCAGTTTGTCATACCCGTATCGCTGCCCCCAGACATTGTACTTCTTGATGTATGGCAGGTTGGTCTCTGCGTCGGCGTTCCATGCAAAGACTTGGGGCGAAACAGCCTCCTCGCCAAATTGAGCGAGATGGGGTTCAACCATGTTGAGGGTCTCTGCAGGAAGGTACCCTATTGTCGTTAAGTTAGATTGAATAAAATGTGGTAGTCGTGGTGGACGTACATCCTAACATTCGTTGCAGGCTGATGTCGGAAGTGTAGGTATTCGGCAATTTCTCAAGTCGAGTGAATATTCCGGACTCTGCGGTTGCAGGAACTTGAGAGTGGGTCGCCATGCTTCTGATGTAGCTAAATTTGAGAGCTAGTTGAGAAATGTTGATACGTTTGACAGAGATCGATTAGTATATATAAGTGTTTGCTTGTTATCAACCGCGGTCTTATATCGAATAGCCGAGAGTTGTTCGTTGTTAGCGATCATAGGTCATAGGTCATAGCTCTTGACTGAAGCCCGCGCAATCACCGAGAAGCGAAGTTGATGGCTGTCGAGCACACCTGTTGATCAAAGTCCGCAAAATCACCGAGATGAGGAGTTGAATTTAATGCGGGGAAGTTGTCGACGGCTCTTCGGCATCGTCCAGGGGATTTGCTAATCATCTCAATGTAGGAATAGCAAGGACAATGGTTGTAAACTAGGAAAAAAAGACTTGACCATATATTCGGTGGCAGCAAGGTATAGAGTTTGTCGCAAATTGATAACCGAGGGTAGACAACAAACATCCTGATTTCTGCTTTCTGTTTCCAACGTAGTTGTTTATATATATATATATATATATATGTATCGCGCTTAATAGCAAAGGATGACTTTTGTTATCCCACCATTTAATCTTCTATCACACTTTCAACAGACTAAGCAACTCCCAGGTCAACATGCCCGTGTCTTCCACATTCCCGTCTATTGAGATTCCTGATGTTGATCTCTGGACTTTCCTCTTCGAACGAAATGATAGAGTGTACCCATATGATAAGAGTATGATACTTCTCATCTGTCCCTTACAGTCGCAACTTATTAATAATGTGTAGTCATTTACCAAGACGCCGATACGAAGCGCTACCATACCTACAAGAGTGTTAAAGAAGGCTGTATTGCATTTGGGGAAGGTTTGAAGGCCGTTTTTGATTGGAAGGAGGGCGAAGTGCTCGCTTTGTTTACCCCTAACAGCATCGACACACCTCTCATAACATGGGGGACAGTGTGGGCTGCGGGTATCGTTTCTCCTTCAAATCCTGTCTACACAGTCGAGGAGTTGATATTTCACCTGAAAGATTCTGGAGCTAAAGCACTCGTCACTCATATGTCGGTGTTGCCAATTGCAAAGGAAGCTGCCAAGAGTGTAGGACTCTCAGAGGATCGTATCATTCTTCTTGGAGATCAGCATGACCCGGACCTGAAGATCAGGCACTTTACTTCAATCCGAAATAGTACGGCAGTGACCAGGTACCGGACATCAATTATCGCGCCCTCGAAAACATGCGCATTCATTGTCTATTCGTCAGGAACAACCGGAACCCCCAAGGGAGTTTTGCTCTCCCATCGAAATATTATTTCCAATATCCTCCAAGCAAACGCTGGGGAAGGGGGTAATCTTACTTGGGATGGTCTCGATGGAAAGGGTGACCGGGTGTTGGCTTTTGTGCCCTTCTATCACATCTACGGTGAGTTATGCGTGATTTAGGAAAGAGTCACTCTTTCATGCTCACACATTCACAGGTTTACTCCGTCTTCTCCATGCCACCTTATATACTGGATACCACTTGATAGTGATGCAAAAGTTCGAACTCGAGAAATGGTGTGCCCATGTCCAGGACTATCGCATTACATTCAGCTATGTTGTTCCTCCTGTCGTGCTGCTCCTTACCAAGCACCCAATCGTGGACAAGTACAATTTGACAACTCTGCGAATGTTAAATTGTAGCGGTGCACCACTCACACACGAACTTGTGGACGCTGTGTACAAGCGTATACAGACGGGGATTAAACAAGGATATGGACTCACTGAAGCAAGTCCAACGAGTCATAACCAGGCTTGGGAAGAGTGGCAAACTACTATCGGCTCTGTTGGTAAGTTGCTCCCTAACATGGAGGCTAAATACATGAGCATACCAGAGGACAGCTCTGAGCCACACGAAGTTGAAGCCGGGGAAGTGGGTGAACTGTTCTTACGTGGTCCGAATATCTTCATGGGGTACCACAACAATCCCGAAGCCACTATCAATGCGCTTTCCGCAGACGGGTGGCTCCAGACAGGAGATGTTGGCTACCAGGATAGTCATGGACACTTCTATATCACCGATCGGGTCAAAGAGTTGATCAAATACAATGGATTCCAAGTCGCCCCAGCGGAGCTGGAGGGCAAATTGGTCAAGAATGACGCTGTTGCTGATGTCGCTGTTGTTGGGATCATGAGCAAAGCACATGGTACTGAAGTTCCACTTGCATTCATAGTTCGCAGTGAGGAGAGCAAATCCTCGGGAATCAGTGCAAGACAGGAGGCAGTCAATATCGCTCAGTGGTTGGAAGTGAAGGTTGCCTACTACAAGCGCCTCCGAGGGGGTGTCATTTTTATCGACAGCATTCCAAAGAGCGCCAGTGGAAAGATATTGCGGCGTCTGCTCCAGAAGCAGGCACAGGAAGCGGTCGATGGAGCCGTGCAAGCGAAACTGTAGATAATGATCAAAAATTTCTGTCTACTGGTATCACAGTATATATTTCGTGCATATTCCAACATATAGGTTGTCTTCTATAATGATACAAACTCGCTTTCGGCAGTTAAATCGCACTGTTCTCGGGTACCATCGTTGACGCGTGTGATTCACGATGACCTATCATTCCCAAATGAGTACGCTGGGTTCGGCGTCCTAGCGGCAGGGATCCAGTATCTAATATACCACACAGTCTCTGACCGAACGTTCCCAACATCAAGGCCCAAGTAGAGATTTCGGTTATAGATTCGCCATATACACCAGTTGGCCGTGATCATATATCCATTCTCCCAAATCAATTTGGCCTCGCCAGGGAACTCGGACCCTTTGCAATTTGTTCGCGCGAAATTTCAGCGCTAGATTTTTGCATTCCCCTTGACAAAAATTCCTTCTGCAGTGGCATGGATCTCGCCGGTGCTGGTTTCGATCTGGGCACAAGCCCAAACCTTTCTCCCCTCCATCTTTGTGATCCAGGAACGTGCCATGATTGTCCCCGGTGTTTTGATAGCTTTCTTATATGTAATGTTCAACACAACCGTATAGGCGGGCCTCCCATCTGGTATCGAACACTTGACGAGAATACCCAGTGCACTATCCAACACGGTGGCAATGGCCCCACCGTGGAAAACACCCGGATGTTCGTTTAACCCCGTCCCTATCGCATGGAATCTGCAGATCTCGCTCCTCCAGCCCTCTGCGACACAAGCTTGTCGATGCAAAGTGAGCAAATGCGGAAGTGTATCCTTAGTGAACCAGGTCTTGCCGAGTAGCGTGTGTCCGTGGTCTAGCGTAGCTTTCCGGGGTCTGTTGACAGGATGAAAATTTGGTTCGCATATGTGAGACCGACACCATGGAATCGACATAAAATAGTTGATTTCACTTTGTAACGCAGCAGCAGAAGCGTCTTCATCTTGTGATTCCATGATAGTTCACTCCTTGGAGGTGATAATTCTTGTAGGCCTGACGGTATAGACGTGACTCTTCAAGCTCTCGCTACTTTGCCCCTCTAAAAATGGTAGATCCACTATGGTTTAAATAATAAGCGCCATTCTTTAGATCTGAATGTATTACCTCGGCCTAGACTGCAGAATACCCGAAAATGTGGCCAATAATATACAACGCAGTAAAGTTGGTGAAATTCAGAACGGTGAAATTACCTTTGCGATCAGCTCCTAGGAAATAAAAATCCAGAATTTAGTGCGTCATTGAAGTAGTACTCGATAGTACTCAAGCACTTACGCTCAGTGATCTGGATTCGGGACCCGTGGACTAGGGCGCCCGAGGTCGTGTGGCTACGGCAGGCTTTTAGGTCCATCGCAACCTATATACAAACCAGTGCATGTGAAATAGGATAGATATGACATGAATGAAGAGTGATTTGATTTGGAAATTCACATCGAAGGTAAATGTCAATTTTCCTGAGAGTGCAGACACAAGACACAAAATGCGCTTCCATGTTGAACTGGTAGCGGAGGAAAATGCATACATTAATGCACCAAATTTCCAGCAAAGTCTCACATATCAATCAACGGGAGATCATCGAGTCCTCTCGGCCCAATAGACGGCCTCTTGATCAATTCTGCTTCAGGTACGCCTTCTTGAAGTTTCCGGATCATCTCCTCGGGGTCGTATTCGACTCCGAGTGGGTTTTCTGCCATTTCGGGGCCCGTCATATACGCATTGATCTCTTCGATATCTTTGAAACAGTCCACCTGTGTTTCAAGTTGGTTGCCGTCTGGATCCCTGTAGTACATGCTGACAGTAACCCCGTGGTTAACAGTCCAGATGGGAGAAACACCCTTCGCGGCACGCTGACGATAGGCAACAAGTAAATCCTCTAGGGACTTGAAAGTGAAAGAGATGTGCTATATTTTTTAATTCGTTAGCTCATCTGGCACCATGTGAAAATGAATAAGCTCTGTGTGAATGATAGGACAAAATGCAGCGAGGTGGTAGTGCAATGTAGTCTCAACAGAGTAGTTCGCCATGTATAAACCAGTTGCTTACCTCCAATCCACAAGTCTTTGGGTTTCTCGGTCCAACGTGGGGCAACGCAGCGATTGCGATTCGGTGATGCTCGTCGTCGTATGTAATGAAGGAGAGAACATCATTTTCCCACGACGCCTGGCCCCCCAAAAACGTTTTGTAGAATTCTGTCATAGTCTTGAAATTCTCAGGTGTCGTCCGGAGGACAACATGGGCCAGCCTCACTGGTGACAGTGTCTTTGCAGGCAGGTTTGTCAAGTCCAACACCATTTTGATATGATAAACAAGGAGTGGGAAGAAATGATAATTCAAGTGTTATTGATAACGTAGCTTAAGGATTCGGCTCTGTATATGTGTTTTTATAATGGAATTCGTCTTCTATATTGGGGACTGTCGGATAATAGAACAGTGATCGGCCGGTTTATACAACTATATCCAATAGCTTAGACTAATTTAATCCATACCCCACGATACCGACTATAAGCGGCCGTCTAGACTTTGTGGTAGCCTATAACATTGCTAGAAGCAAATATAAAAGCTACATAGTGGAGTTAACCTTTATCATAATGCGGTCCACTCTTATTCATACGGGATAACACCACCAGCTTGGCATACATTTTTCCCGCTGACTCATCGGGAAAGGTGTAGTTACGCTATGTATTCCTTGAACTACTTATGAAATCTTCTGAACTTGGTCAGATCGACGGGGATCTGGTGATCGTCGCGACTGGATGCTCTCCTCCCGTAGCGGAATATTCACCACAGTGGGGTTGGAACTATTCTCTCTCACCGAACCGGCCTTCACTGCCGGTGTTAGACTGTCATCAGCTGCGGTGTCACCAGCTGCAGATTATTCTAGATCTTGAAGAGGGAGTCGAATCTGGGCTTTTTTTTTTTTTTGGCAAAAGGTGACGAAGTCCCGCCTACTAATCCGAGGCAACTCTACAGTTACTATCATTCACATGCGGGGATTCCAGTATTGAAATCTTGACAAGCTTGCCAATGCATTGTTTTCAACTATAACATTTTCGTAGAATTAAATTGAGTAATGAGTTGTCTCACTTGCTCCATGTCCGTTTGGTCATATTTACCAAGCGTGCGTTTATCGACACTATACTCGCCAGCATCTGACCGTATGACTTCCAACAACACATTGCAAAGCAGCCAATATTCTGAAGCACTTTTCATAAACCCATCACGTCTCCATGCTTCCTCCAAAGGGTCGCCGGTATTGCCATCCAGGCTGGATGCATGCATTTTATCCCATGCAGTTTTCCAGTTCTTCATCCCCCGCTCAACATTTTCAAACGCCGTCGGAGGTACAAGAACATTCTGGAGCTGATGTATAGACACACATAAAGCTGGCTTGGGTTAGATGTAGCATGAAGCAATGAAATGGTTTGGCTTTGTCCCTTACCAGAAATTACCACAAACATGTTCAGTAGTCCAAACTGGGAGTATGTCCTTTCGAGGCAAATCTCAGTGTCACGCTTGCAGATTCCTTCAATAGCAGAGGATACGGAAGGGTGATCCACCACTTCACCTGCCCATTTCTTCAAATGCTGAAAACATTCGTTGGCCGATCCAGCTTGAAAAGCTACCTCGGGGCAATTGATATGCATCTCCAATTCCAATCCAAAGATCCGTGGCGGTGTGTTATGGAATATTACAAAGGCAGAGTCAAGTAGAAAGACATAACTGAGTGTTCTGGCACATTGTTAGTGGACTATGCACATAAGGGGAGATAGACTTTACCGAATTGTTTCCTCCTTCAGGATGTAGGCTTGCCAGTCAAAGTTTGACGCATCATTTATGAGCCAAAAGGTTTGGTGGATGGCGGATCCGAGAACAAGATCCCTTGCAACCTTCAGGCGAGTGAGATTACTGCCTGGATGATTCCGGTGAAGCGTTTAACTTACTGCCACGACTGTACTATATCGTCGACGTCGAATCCTCCGTTGTGTGATCTCCGATCCTTCCCAGTTCTGGAAAAGACAAACCAGATACGCCGCCTGTAAAGCCTCCAGCTTTTGTGACTTGCCTTTTGCATTTTCCTTCACACGGGCCTCCGGATATTCTTCTTGGAGGGATTCGTCGTCGAAGACCATCTCCTCCACAGCATCAAACCATATTTCTGCATTTTGATTATCTTGTTTGTTTGGTAGAACACAAGATCCAATGATAGCCATTGATGTCAGCAATAAGGGAGAAGCTTTAGTGGGGCTGAAAGAGGGTTTATGTAAGATTGGGCAGTTGGGATACCAGGAAATCCAGAAGGCTTCAAGGTATCTGCAAAGATTTGGCGGAGAGAAGAAGTGAAAGCACATTTGCTCGACAATGGGCGACCATTCCAATGTCACTGGGCTTCGTCGTGACTTGTGGCGTATCGTCTCCTTCAGTCCGATCACTATCTCATGGGTTTTGAATGCCAGAGGATGAGCAGCCCATTGAAGAAAAGGATCGAGTTTATCATTCAAGAAGAATGTCAACTGATTGGTTTGCTGATAGCCCATTTGCAAGTTCGATGCTGGGCTGGTCGGCTCAAGGCCATCGCGATCTAAACCGAAACCATATGAAGCACGGTTTGAGGAGGGTTGTGGCTTTTCCGTCTCTGAAAAGTTTAGTGGTGCTCTTTGGCTGACGTTTCGGCAGTCGAAACAGTTCATAAGCCCAGTCGAGCCAGTGTACCGAGCCAGAAATTCAAACTTGCTGCATGTACTGATACTGGATTGTGAAGGAATCGACATTAATTCAAAAGACCAGCTTACTGTAGTGGGTGATAGTATCAGTTCAGGCCAATCCTCTATTATCTCGTAGCCTGGTGATGACAGGCTAGAATGATGTAACCCATCAAGTCGAGTCGAGGGAGGAGTCAATGCCAAATCCAAGCAAGGCACCACGTTCAAATCATTTTCGTATCGATCCGGTGTCTCATTGTACTCTGGCAAGTTTCCAAATGTTGCTCGCTTTTCTTTGGAGATTGTATAAACACATTCCTGACGCTTGGAGATGCATGTGTTGCAGGGAAATCCAGCGCTACACGCCTTCTTCAATTTCATACACCGGTCGCAGGCCTTTCTCTTCTTCCCACGAGTGCGATGGGGAGTGAACGGAACTGGGGCACCGATTTCTAACCGAGTCCTACATGTCTTCATGTGTCTGGTAAGGGCATCGCTTTAGTTCAGTTAGCTTGAGGCGTGACGCCTATCTGGGGTGGACTCGATACCTGCGAGTAAAAGTTCGCTCACAGAACTGACATATGACTGAGTGTCTGTTTCCATCTGAAAGGGATTATGACTTAGTTCAAACAGCGGAGCCGCGGAGAGAATAATGGGTGCCGTACGAGATCCTAAGTGACGATACAGCTGCTCGAAGCTATCAAATTCAGCTGCGCATAAAGCACATTGACATCGGCCGTTGAAGTTTTCGGGGTCCATATCATCAGTTAGGATTATCTTGAAGGAGAGAATGCGAACTGGCGTAGCATTTCAGCCTCACGAAAGAACGTCCCCCCGCAATTTCCCGTTTCAGGGCGGGAATTGTCCACCTCCGCTTTCGCAAATCTCGGCATATACCACCGAAATAGGTATGATGACCGAACTAATATAGAATGTTATAAATATATGAAATCTGAATAGACAATTCATGCTTCTTTCCATTGTCTTTGAAAATGACTCCTCTTGCCTTGCCTCCCAATACTAGTCTGGAAACCTTTACACGTTTTCTAGATGAAGTGTCCAAGACTGTTGGTGAAGAGAACATCAGAGTGGTACAAAAGCTAGAAGAGCTACAAGATGGATCATATCTCGAACAGCCTCGTACCCATGACCCGCATCATATCGTTGATCAGGATTACTTCGTGGCTTCGGCCGTAATCTGCCCGCGTTCTGTACCAGATCTTCAGGCCATTGTCCGCATTGCCAACGAGCTCCAAATTCCTCTTTGGCCTACATCCATCGGCCGCAACTCCGGTTATGGCGGCGCTGCTCCTAGGCTACGTGGAAGTGTCGTTCTTGACCTTGGAAGACACATGAATCGTGTCCTTGAGGTCAATACCGACGGGGCCTATGCTATTGTTGAGCCTGGTGTTACTTTCGCCGACCTTCACCAGTACCTGGTCGATAACAATTTGAGAGATAAGCTCTGGGTTGATGTAAGTTTTACGCGGGTATTTCGAATCCCACGGTGAGCTAATGTCTTGCTAGGTTCCCGACCTGGGTGGTGGCTCGGTTCTTGGAAATACTGTCGAGAGAGGAGTGGGGTATACACCTTATGGAGGCAGGTCTCAAGTCCATTCTAGGTGCTGATGTGTAAATGCTTACTTTTGCAGACCATTGGATGATGCACTGCGGAATGGAGGTCGTGCTCCCCAGCGGAGAACTGATGCGGACTGGCATGGGCGCAATGCCACAGCCAAAAAAGCCCGGTGAACCAGCCGTTCCGTTGCATGAGGATCCTGGTAATAAATGCTGGCAACTGTTCCCATACGGGTTTGGGCCATACAACGATGGGCTATTCTCCCAGAGTAATTTGGGCATAGTAACAAAGATGGGAATATGGGTGAGTAACGTGCGAACAATTATTGTCACTGTTTATTCTGACAATCATAGCTCATGCCAAACCCCGGTGGATATCAATCTTATCTCATCACATTCCCCAGGGACGAGGACCTTCATCAAGCTGTCGATATCATTCGGCCTCTCAGACTCGTAAATATGCCTATGCCCCCCTTTTAGTTCCCAACATCCCACTGACGAAGCCCACTTCCTCCCAGCAAATGATTCTTCAAAATGTCCCGACAATTCGCCATATTCTTTTAGATGCCGGTGTCCTGGGAACAAAGGCGGACTACACATCGAAAACAGCGCCCCTTGACGATGATGATCTTGATGTGATTGCCAAGCGCCTGAATCTCGGGCGATGGAACTTCTATGGCGCCTTATATGGCCCTGAGGAAACTCGGAACGCTCTTTGGGGTGTTATCAAAGGTGCTTTTTCGGCCATCAAGGGAGCGAAATTCTACTTTCCGGATGACATCAAGGAGAACTGTGTGTTGCATACCAGAGACAAAACCCTTCAAGGAATCCCAACTTTCGATGAGCTGAAGTGGATTGACTGGGTTCCTAATGGTGCTCATTTATTCTTCTCGCCCATCAGCAAGGTTTCTGGCGATGATGCAATGCTCCAGTATTCTGTTACAAAAAAGCGAGTCCGCGAAGCAGGGCTGGACTTCATTGGGACCTTTACTGTTGGTCTGAGAGAGATGCGTAAGTAAAGTGGATTGTCACAACCTCAAGGAGCCTAAATCGCTAATTCTAATGTGACAGACCATATTGTTTGCATTGTCTTTGATCGCAAAGATCCCGATTCAAAGAAAAGAGCCCACTGGCTAATCAAGATATTGATCGAGGATTGCGCAGCCCATGGCTGGGGTGAGTATCGCACTCATCTGGCACTGATGGACCAGATTGCGGAAACGTACAACTGGAATGAAAACATCCTCATGCGATTCAACGAGGCCATCAAAAATACCCTTGACCCCAAGGGAATCATTGCTCCGGGCAAGAACGGCATTTGGCCGTCAACCTACCCAAAGAGTTTGTACAAGTTGTGAGGCCGAATTTTTTGAACTATGTACAGCTATTTTATATTGAGTGTAACCTATATCCAGTTAGTTCTCTGCAAATTCAGATCCCATTGCTGAAAGCACCCGCAAAACAAGCCTGCTTCGAGAGTACAATGCTCGTGCTAATGCCTATAATCCCCACTCACGGTCATCATATTGAATTAGGACCCTCACATGCACATATCTATGTATTCCCTAAACTACTAGGATGTATATGTATTAATATGGTGTAAAAAAGGTATGAAATTCACTGTTATCGCCTAAATATATTTTGTCCAAATGCCTCACCCTTTTACCCCCAAACTTCAAAAATAAATCATAGAATGGATAAGGACTACATTTGGGACTCTTATCTTGTCAAGATAGACAAAAGAACAATACTACTAGGTACAGATGTACTTAATTGGTGGAAAACCAAGAGATATAATCTATCGCCCGGTGAGCCTGACCCAGAACGCCCTCATAATAGCGACAGCGCAGATAGGAAAGTCCCACCTGGCATAGGAAATACACCCCATAAAAGTACTTGTGCGGCGGATTACTTCTCCCGCTCCTTGGCCTTTATATTCTGTTTTAGCGTCCTGAACATGCTCAATGTCTTGGATTATGTAGGCCCGGGTTCCCACAATCCGTAGGAGGCGATGCATTGTGACAGGAAATGCTCTTATTCCCCACCTAGCTGCGCCATAATCCATGCATATCCAGCTGTTCGGGGGAAAATGACCTAAAATGGCTTAGCCAATAAACCACGGAGATATCCCCAGCTGACATTCGGCACATATCACATAGTGCGAGTGGTATATAGGCTGACGCCCATGGCGCAATTGGGCGCTCTCCCACCGGAGGGCCGCACAATGGTGAAGAATCATAATATATTGTGGCGGGGAAGACAGACGTGGGGAATATTACGTTGGAAATGTTGGCGCCTTGGGGGTAAGCAGACATATTTGCATAATTGGCAGCTTGCTACACCTGAGGTTGTTCAACTAGTCCAAGTAAATTTTTTGACTGTAAGTCGAATATACTAGCCTTGTAGACACGAATTTCCTGAATAGAGAGAAACCCCGAACGCTTTCATCGTCTACGTCTGCTGATTGCGAAATAAGTATATAAGAGGGAAACGGGGATTTATCGGCTTTTCCGGTCATTATTGGACTAAAACTGTGAGACTTGCATCCCTTTGCCCTAGCGGCTGTCGGACATTTGTCGGACTCCATCCAACAAAAGAAAATACGGCTGTGAAGACACGACAACGCCTACACATTCAGACATTCAAGCCGACGACAGAATGGTAGGATCAGGATGTGAATGGTTCGTAGTATATAATAGCAATTATGGGGACTACATCTATAAAAGGGCGATGTCTCGCTCGATTTCAAGAGCCAGCAGCTTACATCCCACCTTCAGACGCTTGAGAAAGTACACCTAAGATGAAGGCATCATCTATTCTGACCTGGGCAGGTCTGTTGGCCTCAGTCAATGCTCATGGATACCTAACCATTCCTTCAAGTCGTACTCGGCTTGGATTCGAGGTAAGATCTCAGGTGAATCCATGGATGTAATATACCAGACTGACCTTCTTAGGCTGGAATTGATACCTGCCCCGAATGCTCCATCCTTGAACCTGTTTCTCCTTGGCCCGATCTCGAAGGACCCCAAGTTGGCCGAAGTGGCCCATGTGGTTACAACGCTCGAGTTAGTGTTGATTATAACCAACCCAGCGCTCACTGGGGCGATGTGGTCGCCACATATACTGCAAATCAGATTGTCGAGGTGCAATGGTGTGTCGACAACAATGGCGACCACGGTGGTATGTTTACCTACGGTATCTGCCAGGATCAGGCTCTAGTCGACAAATTCCTGGATCCAGACTATCTTCCAACCAATGCCGAGAAACAAGCCGCAGAAGACTGTTTCTTGAAGGGTGAATTGAAATGTACAGATGTTGCTGGACAGGATTGTGGCTACAGTCCAGACTGCTCTCCCGGTCAACTATGCTGGCGCAATGACTGGTTCACTTGCAACGCCTTCAGTGCCGATAACCGACGCGGCTGTCAAGGCGTGGATGGTGCTCCATTAAACTCTTGCAAGACAACTATCGCCGGCGGTTACACTGTTACCAAGAAAATCAAGATCCCAGACTATGATTCGGCCCACACTCTGCTGCGCTTCCGATGGAACTCCTTCCAGACGGGCCAGGCCTATCTTCACTGTGCTGATATCTCCATTGGAGGGGGTTCGGGAGGAGGACCAACTACGACCAACACGGCTACGACTTTGACCACTACGACGACGAAGACAACCACTACCGGCGCATGTGCTACTCCCGCTACCAGCGTCTCGGTAACTTTCAATGAGCTTGTGACCACGACATACGGTCAGAATATCTTCCTCGTCGGATCAATTAGCCAGCTGGGCTCTTGGTCTACCTCGTCGGCGATCGCTCTGTCTGCAGGCTCATACACATCATCCAACCCATTGTGGACTGCCAGTGTTAGTCTCCCCGTTGGTACTACTTTCACGTACAAGTTCTTCAAGAAAGGAGCGGACGGTAGCATCACCTGGGAAAGCGATCCCAACAGGAGCTATACCGTACCAGCGGCCTGCGCTGGAACCGCAGTCACTGAAAATACGACCTGGCGCTAGAGGATTTCTGGGTGCAACGCACCCGTGGAAAGAGATAAGGTGGTGTAGTAGGGTGTGTCGAATATGTAGGTAGTGATATTACAGATTGAAATCAATAAGACTTAATTAAGCGGACCTTAAGGATAAGCACCATATTGTGCGGAGTACGTATATCGCACATATGTTCGCCCGAGGACTAGGGCTGAAGGTCAATTCGGTTGTACCTGCCAAAATGAGGTTGATTTCGCGACCAGCAAAAAGTACACCAAGGCAGTAACTTATAGGAGTAGAAACAGATTACTTGAGTAACTAATAGCATTCGAAGATTATCATTTTTGTCATTTTCTAGTATGCTAGTCATTTTGATTCATTATTTTGTTGCCATACTCAAATTCCCCTCTGCGATCTTAATCAAAAGGAATTGGGCGCAGATTCGATCCGCCCATACGCTTACGCATCTCAGCTCCAGCGGCCACGGTACTGGGTACCTTGATACCGCAGCAATCACCGAACCAATCCGCGCTCTCGTGAGGATGGTCGTGGCCGTGGGCATGGTCATGACCATCATGCTCAGCATGTGCCTCAGAAGGATCGGTCATACCTTCAGCAGCAGGCAGAAGACTTCCAAACAAGAAATGTTGCATAATAGGAAGTTTCCCTAGCACTTCCTTAACAAACATCTTCTTCATACCGCTCTCAACCTTGGTCCAATTCTTGGAACCGGAGATATCGTCCAGCATAGGACTGTGCCAGCGCAGTCCCTTCACAGTCTTGACACTCTCGACCCACCGGACCTGATCCAGATAGAGATAGTTATCACCCTCCTCATCCAAAGTAGCCGTGTTGTGAATACCCAAAGGAGTGATATACGGGTGCCCGACAAGCTGACTAGCTCCGAACAAGAACGGCAAGAAATGGTAGTCATCCAGACCCCAGACACCATGCGATCCAGCAGGCTCAAGATAATACGCTGACTGGATCTCGCGCATGAGATGCATGTACTCGACATAGACCTTGACCACGACGGCGGGGAAGTCGCTGGCGGGGAGAAGACCGAGTTGATACAGACATAGTAGCCACATCATGAAGTTCAGTTCGTGACCGGAGCCGTAGTCAATGCGCTCTCGTGAACCCAGGCAGTTGATTAAATATGTCGAGGCTTCTTCGGTTGCACCAGCGTCTTTGAGGCCTAGGAGGTTGGTGTGCCATGATGCGCTCTGGGCGCTTACATCGTCGCACAATGCTCGGAAGGCGGGGTTGCCGAATCGGGATCCACCCTGGTCGATTGGGGGGTTTTTGGCTAGGAGGGAGCGTATCTGAGTTACAACTGAGAGGACCTTGGAGATGGATTCGGATTGAGGTTTTTGCTGGAGGTCCTTGATAGAATGCCCCCGCACAGAATCAGTTAGGCCGAAGACAAAGGCGAGGACAAGTTTGTGGGTCGGCGATGAGAGGAAGAGTTCATGGTCCTTAGGGGAGAGGATGCGGCGGATTGGTTGCTGGTACTGGTGGGCGGAGAGGTCTGGCGGCGAAGGGAGAGGAGGGGTTGTTGGAGTTAGGTCTCGGGAATTGGCGTTTGACCTGCGGGTATTTGACCGCAAGTCAGAGAGCTTTTTGGAGAGATCTACCTTCCCCGTAGGAGATGGTAAAGATTCATGTGATGCCATTTCTGTTGGTTAAGTGAGGGGGAAGGAAATCAGTCGGATAAGTTGATAATGAGCTTGACACTGACCGCCTGCCATAAACAGAGAATGACGCAATTTGCCAGATGGGGGAATATAATGAGGTATTAGTTTGTCGAATTATATGTGAAGGGCAACGTAGATATCTATAAGTAAAAGATTTACATTGGACGGTATCAACATGTCAAAGCTTTACAAGTCGCAGTGACACTTCCGATCAACACTTGGCCCAAGTGGGTTAGAGTGGAGCATGTGATCACTTCCCCGGATTGGTCAGGTGACCGGGATCATCACATTGTTTCACGCTTTTGCTCGAGGTCACATTATGTGCCACATGATGGCCATAGCACCCTGAGAAGAGGAGCAGAAAAAAAGAATGCAGATAGCAAGGCCTCAACTTACCAGACCCAGCTATTGAATTGTTTTTCATCGCCGTGAAAATCTTGCCTCAAACAGCTACTTTCTGTTGACATAGAAGGACCCAGCGCTTCAGACCTGCATAAGTTTCGTCCCAGGCGACCTCGGATTGGACAATACTCCCCAGTGACATATCAGAGGGACAAGCACGCCATAATGAATACATTCGACTCATCGGCGCCGCCTCCGACAGGTTCCAACAACTCTGAAGGAGCAAACAACAACCACTCATCGTCACGCTCGCCGACAGATTCAGCCCTGTCA